TCAATATCACATTGTTTGCGATCGTAAAATTTTTTCTTTTCTTTGCTTTGCTCATATGAGCATTATCAATTGATATAAAAGAATAAATTATCTCATAGATTATCACCATAGTTTCGTTAGATTGCAAATGGAAAGTCAAAAAAAAGAAAAAAAACTGAACTAAAATTTGGAAGACTATAAATATAACTGCTGAAAATTAAAAATATAAAAGGAAAAAAAAAAAAAAAACAAAAGAAAACATTAAACTCAAATACTCATCTTAATGCTAACTTTAATCCTTGCTTTTCTTCTTTTCTTCTTTAAATTATAAAAAATTTTGTTCTTTTTTTTTGCTTTTTAAATAAACATTATTTATAAAAATTATACTACCGAATTGGTGAAAATTATTCATTTATAAAATTTTTTATTTTATTAAATATTATCCATTGAATTATGTTTTAATGTCTCCCCTTTTTTTGGCATAAATAAAATGGCATAAATATGACAAGAATAATTAGAAATGAAATAAATAATTTATAATTTTCAATAAATAATAATCAAATGAAAAAAAATTATGTAAATAAATGATAAATTAAAATAACAGAGAGATATAATGATTGGAAGAAGTGAAAGAGAGTTAATGATAAATGAGATAAAATTAAATTGAGATGGTAAGTAGTAATGCGATTACTGAAAATACCATATAATCAACATCACACATGTTGCTACCACTCAATTTATGCATCCGTATCTAATTGACTAATGCTAAAGGCTAATTTTTACTATAATTTCATGTAAACAATAATTTTATTTTTATCGTATTTTTAGCATCTACCATTATATTCAATTATAATTTTATAAATTATGAAATAAATTTTTAAAGGGAAGAAAGAAATGAATGAAAAAACAGAAAAAATATGATTGTAAAATAAATAAGAAAAAGAAAAATGAAGAAAAAAAAATAAATGAATTATTTGATTAGATGAATTTTTATTTTACAATTATATTTCAATACATTTATCAGTTAAAAATTTAATATTAAAAAATTTCAAAAGAGTAAGATAATTATGCAAATGAATCATGTGTGAAAATTTTATGATTACAGTAATAAATATGTAATTTTGAGAATAATAATAATATAATTACTTAAAATATTCGATATTATCATTTCATTTTGATACAGTTATTTCAGTTTGATACAGTTACTAACCCTTAAACGATTAATTTCAATATTACTAACCATTTCAAATTATGTGGTTCAATTTTTTCAGATAAATTTTCATTTCTAAATTTGGAAATTTCTATTATTATGCAATTCTTTGATGTTTTTGTCTATTTGATTGGCAAATTTGGTCGAAAATTTTTTGGCCAACGTAATTTGATTAACAATTTGATAACAAAAATACAGTAAAAGATCGGATAGTAAATAAGCAGAGTGGAAAATATCCTCTAAATTAATTAGGCAAGACCAATATTTCAAACATCACTCATAGCTAAAGGACTGAAATAGCCATATTTAAGTCATTTAGAAATAGTAATTTCAGATAACATATTGATTAAACTTTCTAATGTATTTATTTGTAGCCAAAAAACAGAATAAAAAAGGAAAGAAGAAATTACTTTTACAATAAACAATTCAAATAAAATAAAAATTGAAGAAGGTTAGTTTTAAGGAAGAAATAGAAATTTATTAAGAAATATTACAAAAAGGGCAAAATATTGGCTTAGGCATTTATCTTGCATTTAATTAAATTAGCAATTTTTATATTAATTAAAAATAGACTGTTACAATATATCAACAATTCATTAATTTTTTAATTATTTTTTTTTTCATTTCTTTTTTTTGTAATTTTACAATGCTATAATTTAAAAAAAAGAAAAAAGAAAGAGTTATAAAGCTGCATAAAATGGAACTGAGCGGAAGAGATTCTGAATACAAAGGAAGGTTCGGAGTTTTTTTTAAAGGTTTTTTTTTATTAATGTATATTGTGTGTGGTAAAAATTGGATGATCGATTAAAAATTGTGGGGAACTATTTCGGTACCTTATTGTTATTGTATGATAAATGCTTCTGGTATCTTATTGTGTAAAGAATGCTTAAATATTAAGCCGCTAAAGAAAGAAAGAAGAATCATTGAATTATTAATAAAATGACGATTTATTAAAAAAATGTCTGGATGTCTGGAATATACTGTGAAATTACATTTCGTAATAATTTTTAATTACAGATAAATTTGTATCCAGAAAAAAACACTTTTCGGCATATAACTGAATAACTAATTCAAAAATTTAGAAGTAAAATTGCTTAACATTAAGTGATAAAAAAGGTAAAATTTATTAAATTAGAAAAAAAGAAAGAGTTTGGCTAATGAAGTTAGTTCAATTGAAGAATTTAATTAATTTGACTTTGTGAAGTCATACATAAAAAATTTTTATTTCAACTAAAATATCTCTATTAGATGGTATATTATACGAAATAATTTTAGATTTTATAAATTTAGCAAAAATGTTGTAAATACATTATGGAATTTGACTGAAACTGAAATTTTCTTTTTGCTTGCAAAACTTAATTAGAATCGACTTTTTCTGCGGTATATTGACATTGTTAAATGCTAATTCGTATCTTATAAAATCATAATATAATCATTTCTTACTAGAATTTATTAATATATTCGTGTGAACGCGTTAAACGTTCACGTATAATCACGTTGAACGTCAAATATACGTGAATGTTGTTAATTGTTATTCGTATTTATGTGTTAAAGAATTTCCTTAGTATTTAAGAAAGGAAATAAATGATAGTAATATGCAAATAATATTGTAGTATAGCATATGCTATGTGCATTTTTTTTTTTTTTTTTGAATTTGCTAGTTATAATACATTTAATATAATTAAATTTAAAATTAATGGCTTTTTCTTTTTGTTTGGCAGTAATTGTCATTTCGTAAGATATCTTTATTAAATTTAAATTTCAATATACTTGAATTTGAAAAGCAAAAAAAAATTTTTGGAAATTATCATCATTGCATATTTCCCCATTTAATGATTTTCAAATTATTGTACTTCACTTTCTCCATTTGTCTTTTATCATTCACGATAATGAATGCATTTTTTTTGCCAATTATCTAGTAAATTGATTAAAAGAATTTTTCTCCGATATCAATTTCAAATAAATTCCTTTTCAAAGTTTTAAGTAATTTCATCATTCATCAATAAATATATAATTATTTCATTCTACAATAATAAATCTTTTGAACCTATCTTTCATCTTACAATAATCATCCTTCCAAATAGCCTATTTTCATCAATCACTTATTATTATCATTCATTATTATCATCATTCATCTCATAATTGAGCCGGCTGTCATAAAGAGATCAAAGAAGAGTTTTAAGGATGGGAAAAAAAAAAGAAAAGGTAAGGAAACCTTTGAAATGAGAAGGCCAATTATGTACAGTAAAAAAAAGAAAGAATAATACTAACATATCAAAATGGCTTTCTTTTCTTTCTTCCTTTTTTTTTTTTTTTTAAATCTTACCAATTCAAAAATTTCCGAAAAAAAGAGGAAAGAGATGAAAAATGGATAATTTTTGAAGTATGGAAGAGATGCGAAAAAAGGTCCCATTTTTCATCTTTTGTATACCAAATCTTTTTTTCCTGTCTCTCTCTCCCTCTCAATTCTTTTTGTCCAAAAATGATATAATACAATGAAAGAAGCGGAAAATTGAGCGGAAATAATTTGCCTATGTTTAATTCTCATAACGGTACACAAAGAAAAGGAATAGAATGAATGAGTGAATGAATAGTTAAATGAGTGAAATAAAATAAAATGAATTGATGATAATAAGCAATGACAGTATCTTTTCTTTCTTCCTTAAAAGGAAAAAAAAAATGAAATTTAAGAATTTACTATTCAAAACATGTAATGGCGTAAAGACAATTCAAATTTAAAAAAAAAAAAAAAAAACGATAATTAAAGTAACTACCATATGATTAAATGAAATAATACTCTAAATCATTGCTCTTTTTCAAATTTTAAAATCATACGAAATTCAAAATATACATCTTTCTATTTTTCAAAATTATCATTGATGTTAAATCATTATTTGTGGATTGAAACATAGTAAAAAAAAAAAAAAAACATTCGCAACAAATATAACACCATGATCTCTTCATCAATATAATTGAACATCACGCTTATCATCATCCTTTTATTAATATAATTAAAATATCAAGTATATCACTTGATATGACTAAAGTATCACGAATATCCTTTTAAAAAGAACAATCCTAAATTAATATCTTTTAACCTTCATATCCCCTCGTTTGATTCGATTTACCTCCTTATTTCATCCTTTTTTTTTTGTCCTTGTTCAGATTCTTCAAATAAACAGTTTAGCTAAGAAGAACAACAATTTCGTATTCTTTTGAAGCAAATTTCAAAAATTATCGTCAAACATTTCAAAAGTTTACAAATGGAATGATCAATTTATCGGATTGTATGACATGATCTTAAAATAACTTTCCATTTCATATAATTTAGACCCAATGAATATGCAACGTATTTTAAAATTTCATATAATTAATACAAAAAAAGGAAAAAAATTAAGTGAAATAAAATACATTCAATCAAATTAAACAAACCATACGCAATTAATAGATCAAATATAATGTAAATAATGCAATACTGAAATAACTATTTCAATTACAATTACTTCACTTACTGATTATTTGCTAAATTCGATAAAATGCCGAATTTTTCTTGAATGGAATTCAAATGAAAATGAAAATAATCTTTTCTTATTTTTCATTTCTCTCTTTCGACTTTTTCAATATAAATATAATGAAAGAATTTTCTTTTCCTCGTTTACTCTCAGTTCTATAACACAATTTAAAATATACGTCTCTATGCACAAGTATTCCATTTTTGCTTTCCTAAAAAGTAGCAAAAAAAAACTGGTGTAACAAACAACAAATAATTTACTTATTTTCAATCAACAATTTTCTTTTTTCCTCCAATTACTTAATATTCACATTTTTCATTGTTATCTTTTGCAATCATTTCTTGAATCCAAGGATGCTTCAAGACGTCCGTTAATGGCAAACGTTTCATAGGATCCTTTTGAAGAAGCTAAAAATTTAGTCGAATATTAAAATAATATTTCTCGAGCAAAAAAAAAAATTACAAAATTATTACAAGATATTTCACAATCATTTCATGCTACTATTGATAACTTCTAAAGGATTCAATTTTTGCTCTCCTCTTTTTAAAATATTTCATTATTTTTCTGAATTACTGCTTCTCTAAAAATCACTTCTCTGAGAAATTAAAATTTTCAGTACATTATTGCAGAATTTTTTAGCATTCTTTTTCTTTTTTACCTAGAAATGAAACATATTGAAATGTAAAATTAAATTTCAATTTAGCATCTTAAATTTGCATCATCTTTCATTTATCAAATCATCAAAAAATAATCATGAAATATCAAACAATGTTTTTTGCGCAAATTGTATAAAAAATAAATAAAAACAAACGCGTGATATGAGATCTTTTGCACCATTTGGTACACTATCCGGTATTGTATATCTACAATTGTGAATATTGATTAAGGTAAGTTCCGCTGTCTGAAATATTTAAGGATAGAAAAAGAAAAAATTTTCCACCTAAAATTTCTAGTAAAAATTTCTAAAAAATTAATATAATATAATGTACATGGATGATAACCTGATTAGAGGTAAATTCAGTAAGATTTCCTTAAAATTACATGATTTCAATGTTACAATATTTGAAAACCACAATATGTACAATCCTTTCAAAATTATCATTTATTAATTAGACTTATTAGTAACTTTTAGATAAATTCAATGTGATACAGATTAATTTCATACATATTAATATGATAGTATGGTAAAAAAAAACATTTATTACCACGGCTTCAAATGCAGGTTTACCAACTAAAAATTCATATAGCATAACACCTAATGACCAATTATCAACTTTAGAATCATGCGTCTTTTCAGGTGCCATTTCAGGTGCCAAATAATCCAACGTACCGCATACAGTGTTTCGTCTAAACAATAGCAATAACAAATAGACGAAAAAAAAATGTTTTTAAACGATTTCATAAAATATAATAATTTTGATAATATTTTGAAAGATAACACCCAATAACATAAATTAAAAAAGTTTTTTTTGTTAGAAAATTTCTTCTTCGTGAAAACGATTTCTCAATGAGAAATTAACTGCTAACGCTTGGAAACTAGGAATTGAAAAATGTTAAAATAACTGAAAATTTTAATGTTAATAAAGTTAGTATATGTAGTAATATTTGAGAATACAACTAATTATATATGTATAATAAGTATAGATACCTTGATGATGGTTCATGTACTGACCATCCAAAATCTGATATTTTCAAATTATTTTTTGCACTTATTAAAACATTTTCAGGTTTCAAATCTCGATGTAAAACTTTCTTTTGTTGACAATATTCCATAGCTGATGCCAACTGATACATATATTTAGCAGCTAATTCAGGTGGAAATGTTTTCATCTAAATGAAATTTTTATTTTTTGATAAAATAAAAATGAATTTTTATACCATTTTATCAATTGCAAAATAACTACTGAACATAGCCCATCAAATTCCTCATTTTTAAATGAAATATACAAGAATAGGTTAAGCTTCAAATAGTCCATCGATACCACTTGAAGATGTTGGAACAGATTTCCTTTAGGCGCAAATTCTAACACCAAATAAACGCGATCATCGTCGTGAAAATAACCATATAACCGAAGAATATTGGGATGTCTGAATTTAAATTTAGAATTACAATTCTAAGATATATGATTAAGGGTAAAGAACAATTTTATCCATTCAAAAATAAAATATCATCACATGCATACGCATATCGACAAGTTATTGGAATCAATTTTTAATTTAAAAATTATTGGAAAAAAAAAGAAAAAAAAAAACTAAGCAAACATTGAAATATCTTTGCATAACTCTCACTCTCACTCCTTGTCATACTGTTCCAACAGGGTTGAAAATACTTCCACGAATGATATGAAATATCAAAATTTGGTATTTCATATCATAAAAATTTTTTAAAATACCTACCTTAAGTGATACTGAATTTCAATTTCGCGTCGTAATTGTCGTCTCAAATTATTTTGCTCCAATTGTGATTTGTATACAACTTTAAGAGCAACCACAAACCTTGATTCAATTTCTCGAGCCAAATACACATTCCCAAATCTACCCTTACCCAATGCTCGACCAATTTCAAAATCATCCAATGACCACTGACGAATCTTTGGTCTTACATTACTAACAGTATACATCAAATTAGTGGCAGTAATAGCAGTAGTAGTAGTAACCGTAGTGGCAGTAGTAGTAGTAGTATTGTCAACACTACTTGTTGATTGTTTATCCATGAAATTTCTAAAACAAAATTGAATAAAAACTGATTTAGAAAGGAAAATTTGATTAAAATTCGACTTTGATCAATATGAAAAACATAAATAAAAAATCAGTTTAAAATGGATAACATTTTAATAACAATAAATAATTTTAATCTAAACTGGTAAATTATAAATTTATAGGCAACTTATTCAGTTTTCTTTTTCATAATCATATTCATAAATATTAATATTTTATAATTCTTGTATACACCTCCCACCTCATAAGTTATATAATCATTAAAAAATGTAGCTAGTAAAAGCAATTTATAATTTACTCGTAGATAGCTTGTTAGATGAAGAATGGAATGAGAGAAAACATTTGTAGTACTAAACGTAGGATCAACCATCTATTTTCAAAGATCAGAAAATATCTAAAAAGAAAGATCTGGAAAGAAATCAATATTTTCTTTCTTTTATCATAAATTTCAATGATTTTCAAATATTTTAAACAATTTCACACATTGATTTGGAACAATATAATTCAAGTGAATTTACTGCTAGAGTGATGTAAAATTTACTCACAAAAAGTATATATCTTTGCTTATTCTACTGGTAAGATAAGCAATTAATAACTTGTTCCTCACAACTAAGAAATTTTTACATATTTTTACGTTTCATTAGCTTGTGTCATATATTTCGCATATGCTGAGTTCAAAGTTTTTTTTTTTAGTTGCTTTAGAAAATGCAAAATAATTACATTTCTTTACATATGAGGACTTGATAATCTTTCTAGACCTCTTTTTTCTTAACATTTTACACTAATAAAAACGGCAAATAGAGCATTACTAGAGCAATAAGCCAATTATAAATTATTATCATTTATCTTCATCACTCTCGGAATATTCATCCTCACTTTCGAAATTCTTTAAAAATTATTTGAATATTCCGGAAAAAAGTGAAAATTCCCTACAAAGCAATATATTTACATTAGTAAGTATATGATCTGGCATAAAATATTTATGCAAATGGTATACGGTTAATGATAATCATCTGAATGTCTAGTTTCAACGATAAACGATCAAAAAAAAGTTAGCTTTATCTAGAAACAAAAAACGAAAAAAAAAAATAGAAAAAATGCAAAGTATAGAAATATGGAAAAAAAAAAAGTGGAAAATATTTTACGCACCGCTGTATTTTAAAGCACTGCATTAACAAATAAGTAATAATTTTATTTGACAAACTGCTAAAATTGACGTGTTTATATTCATTTGTTAGACTTGGTGGATGAGTATTATATGACGTAAGCGGAAATATAATAATAAATAGTCGTAATTAAATCGATTTTCAAAAATTGCTAATAAAATTTTAAATCCACTTTCGATTCATAAATATTAAAGATTCTTCTATCATTAGATTTCGATTTTAAACAGAACATTATTTATTTATTGGAATAATAATGTACTGTTTAAATCAATATAATTCAAATTACAACTTCTACAGAAGAAAACAAAAATGTAAATGAGTTTCTAAATCTCTTAAAATATTCAAGTTGTTAAGTTCAAGTGACTTCCCCGCATTATAAGTAAAATAGAAATAAATCAATCAATCATTTCAATAAATATATACTTTCCTAAAAAAACTCCCACCAAACTTCTGACTTTTAGGCAACAGCAGGTAAGTTCCAAGGTCAAAATACAATTTTCCTTTAACAAGCATACTCGTTTTCTTCAAAAGTCACTGATAGATGAAAATGTCCAATTCTGGCATGTCTTATTTTCTCAATAATCATAATAATGAAGTGATATAATGAAGTGGTATAGTAGGCCGACACATATAAAATAATGAAATCATTAGCTTTTAAAAAAAGCCTACACCAAACTTCTAGCTTTTAGGCAGCAGCAAATGAAAGTAACCTATGAGGTCAAAAAGGGAAAGGACAAGCAGCTGACATGCTTATACAACAAAACGAAATATACACAAAATTATTAATTAAAATTATTAAAAGTGATTCTGTTCTGAAAATACGAAATGATGCAACCAAATACAATACACCTTTGAATGCTCGAATTTTCAGACAGTCCCAGATAAAACGTTCATTTCAGCAGAAATTCATTCACTATTTCTGACTTCCAAAGACCGATCTTCCTCTGTCTTCATGGCCAATAAATGTGACCTATAAAAAAATTGATGTCTCATATTCATGATTTTATTTGGACCACTTATATAAAACATAAAATCATTATTATAATATCAAGAAAAAGAAATTCCGTTAATGAAATGAAAAATCATATTCTACCTATTATTCGGGGGATTGTCATCTTCCGACTCGCTTTCGAGCACTGCTGAATGAATTGCAGAACCATCGTCTGATTCGCTATCTAAAACTATCGGTTGAACTGTCCTTGGACGTCTGAAAAAAATCGTTTTTCCCAACTTGAACTATCATTACAAAAGAAACCTGATAAATGACAATTCGGAATAAACATCCGACACCGATCTGTTAGTGTAACCAGACCTCCGGTTTTTACAAATAAGTTTTCTCGCTTAGCACCAGAAGCTTATTAGCTTATTCGAAACGAATTTTTTTAAACTTTGAATAAAAGCTTAAGCTCTTGAATATATTATACACTAAGCGTATTCCGCCTTCAACTAACCCCAATGTGCTAACTCAATATCAGAAGGTTATGCACATAATCCTGCATTTCTTTTAGAGATGAAATAATGAAAAAATTATTTTTTTCCCATGATTAAAAAACTCTATTCTGGTGAATTGCATTCAAAAAAAGAAGACTTGGAAATTTTTGAAAAAAAAAAAAGCAAAAGAAGGAAGAAAAGAAAAGATACGCTTTATAGTCATCAAGAAATGGGTTGAGAAATGCAAGCGAATCGAAATATTTTGCACAAGAACTCCTCAAAGGAGGAGTGCCTTGAATTCGTCTTAATGTTCGGTCTCGTGTATAAGCAAACTTCAACTTATTCCATCTTCTACGACATCCATCATCTGAAAATATTGATTGACAATATCATTAACAAAAAACATAGGCAAATAAATCAATAAAAAAGCTGTTAGTGAATATCATTACAAAATATGTAATCATTTTTTTAACAAAACATCATTTTTGATACTGTATGACTTTGATAACAAATATAATCAAGCTATTTGTTAATTAATTATAGTGGTATATGATTCCACTTAAATCCTCAATAAAAATCTACCGTCAATATCATTTATCAGTTTTAATTTTGTAAACAAATATATTGAATCAATCGATATTTTCCAAAGAACAATTACCATTAATATTATGTCCTCGTTGTTGCATACACTTTGCAACAGCTTGCCAAGCTTTCTCACGTCTTGAACCTCGTTTTTGATAACCCTTCATACGTACGTCATAAATTATTGGATGTGCTTTTACCACATCAATAAGATCATCGAAGATTGTCGACATGGTCAAACCTGAAAAAAAAAATTGCTTCATAAATTCATTGCACGAACAAAAAAAAAAAAAAAATAAATAAATAAATAACGATCAAACTTAGGCTATGATTGAATTTCATGGTGCTAAGGATGTCAAAATAGAAAACATAAAAAACTGATAACTTCGTTTTAATTTTTCGATGAAATCATTTTTAATCCGTCCAATTATATATATCATTACTTATCTATCAAGTTGGACTTTGATATTAATGGCTGCGATTAAGTACCATTATTGGACATTATTCAACGCCAATTTAAAATGAATTTGAGCAAATTAAGCCTAATACCTGTCAAAAAAGTGATCTTCAAATTCCCGTTATCAGCTACAAAATTGAAGTCTTATCCAGTTAGAACAAAATCCAAGCAAATTTATAAGCAGGAATTTTTTTCGGACAAGAAAACCCAAAGATCGATATAAAGCGCAAAGAAAAAAAAAAAAAACCGCTAAGCATGAATGAGTGTTTTCACTTTTTTACTAAATAATCATACGGAACTATGGGATTGATCTGAACGAATGGCATAACTTCTAATGAGATGAATGCATTATTTGAACGGCTACTTGTTATAATTAAGAATGCTTCCTTCAAACCACTCATCAATCCAATAGTAAAAGTAACAAAAGAGAAATCCATTAGCACTATTCACAGATGAGATAAACATCAAAATTCCTAAAGTGTAACTTTTTGAGTGAATATGCTGTACTTGTCCGAGATTATAATCATAATCCTTTCAGTAAAATAAATCCCTTTCTCATTCCGACAAAACCACAGAAATTCGAAAATTGTACTCGGTACCTAAAAATGATAAGCTTTTTCTTTTTGGAAAGAATAAACAGCAGTAAATAAGGATACTTCGAAGATATACTTCCCATTAATAAGCATTGTTTTTACTCCAATGAAGCATGAATTTTTTTTTTTTTTTTTTTTTTTTTTTTTTTACTACAAAGGCGCATTTTTCAACTGACAACAACGAAAAAGCTATCCAAATCAAACCCAAAAAAAAAGAAACATTCAAATGATACAATAACACAAAATTCAAAACCAAATTCTCATAATGCTTCCTCTTCACATCAGCTCAGTGTGTATCTGTTATATTTCATTCAAATATCGTCGTCCCGCAACGGACTGGCGAACACTAAAATAGATAATCAATCAGTTCCTTGGCAACACAATTTGGTCATTTACCTCAGCAATAAGGTATTCATTATATTTCTATTCTTAGCATAAACCTGAGCTTAATCATAAGGCCGAATTATCCCGGTAATGTTTAGTATGATCGTTATGCTATACAAATTTTTTTGCAAATCCAAGTGAAACTAATACTAACCACTGCTGCAACAGATACTGCGCTGTTTGTATAGCTGTTGATGTACCAGTAATCGTTATGATACGTTCGCCAGATTCCTGCTGTGGCCCTACAACGATCTGAGCTCCTGATTCTTCACGTACTCTGTTGATACGTTCACCACCTTTACCAATTATGGTACCACCAAGCTCATTTGGTATCGTCACCTAAGATAATTCGCATTGTTTCCAAAAAGCTTTTAAAATAATGAGAGTGAATTACACTAGTTTGAAACCGCATTTGGAATAAAAATTTTATATTTTAATCTCACCTGAGTACTTTCTTCCGGTCCCATATATGGTGGCAATGCAACAGCTGATAAAGGACCACGTCCACCAATCTGTCGTTGAAAACTTCGGCCATAATTGCCATATGAAGTTACTGCCATTGGTCCACGGATCATCGGACCGCGATAGTTACGATCTGGTGGATATCCACCATACTCAGACGAGTAGCTTGGATCATAGAACATTGATTCATATGGCTTCGTTACTCCTTTGATTGGAATCTAAAGCTTTCATCCAATAAATTCTACGACAAATTATGAAGGTTTTGAAACATAACATACGCTCATTAAACTTCACAAATAAGTCACTTATATCAATAAAACTGACGAAATTATACCTCTTTCAGCATGTTCATTATATGATTCACGCAAGCTAATATTTTGTCAGGAGCTCCTTTAATTGATACAACACGTTCTGTAGATTGAGGAGGACATTGTGCAAATACCTAGAATTACATCTATTACGCTGTATGATAATTTACAGTGATCCGCTAAGACCAATGAAAGGGAAAAAAAGGTGTTCGCTAACAAAAGCCAATTCATGCACAAATAATTCTATGATTGGAACATTGGGAACCATTATAAATCGAAAGTGTGACGATAGTGTTAAATAACATAGGATGAACAAATGAACAATATTTCAAACCACATCTTTATTAAAATGATGATTAAATCCTTATGTATGCATTGAGCAAGGAATATGTTAGAATTACCTTCATTTGAACACCAAGTTCTTCCTTCATTTCTTTAATTTTCGATCCCTGACGACCGATAACGGCACCAGCATGTGACGAGTGTACCAAAACACGAAGCTCTATTGGACGATTTAAATCACTTTCTCGACTCTGTAATGTTCTCTAAAAAAATTTCTCAATTACCTGCAATGGCATCGGATAAATCATTATAGAATAAACCCTCTTTGACGAGAGTAAGCAATCCTTTATTATCCTGGAGATACAAAAGATGGAGATATCAAAAGTCCCTAGCATGTGAACTGATCAACTGTAAACAGTTTCCCCGATTACATTAATATTAAAATGCAATAAAGCATGAATCAGAGTCAGACTCTAAAAATAGCATTAATGGATCCTCATGGTTCCCATTTCAATAAAGATAGTAATAAAAAAACAATAGTAAGTCAACTAACATCATCAAGTTTCGGAATAATTTCGGTAACAATGGCGAGTACATTTTCGACTGTCGCAACAATAGTAGCAATTCTGAAAAAAACAATATGAAGATTTCAAATTTTTCATAATAGAATTTAACTTCGTTATTTTAAACATATTCTTTCCTAATATATTTGTACATTATTCCCTGTTGGAAATATGTAAAATTCGTGGTTTAAAATATGCTAGTGATGACGTAAAAAATTTAACCAGTAAAGTAAAAAATAAGAGCTTCCCCCGCCGCTCAGAGTAATCATCTAGCAAAAAAGGATTTAAAATACCGGTAGATTTTTCTGCAGGAAACTAATTTCATCTCGAAATGAAACATAAAATACTCTGTCCGAATATTCAATGCACAATTTTTTTTTGTGCATGTCGGATAGAGTCAAGTATCGACCCCAAAAAAGGCCCGAAAATATCAGTTCACCATTTAACTTAATTCAACTATCGGTTAGGCTAGCCGCGATTTTTATAAAAACTTCATCTAGAAACAAGAATTAGTATATCATGAAATAATTACTGGAAACTGTAGTGAATTAAAAAATTTGTTCCCATTTAATAGATTGGAAAGAAGAAAAATACACAGAAAATTGAGAGACGGGAGCAGGGATTACCGTTCAGGAGTTTGGCTATCGGGGACTGTGACATTCGCATCGTACTGCAAAGCAAAGGATGAAGTTTTAAATTTGAGAGAAAAAGAAAAAATTGAAAACTGTGGGACTGAAACGGAAATTAGGACAAAGACAGGCAGTTGGTGTTTGGTAGTAGTGTTTGCCTTGGCCTTTCACTTAAATTCACAATCCATAAATACATATTGCACCATCCAACAACAACAGGGTGTTGCAGGTGAACTTGAAGGAGATCGGGCATCGGGATTGGATATCAGAATTGTAACTGGGAGTAAGGGCTGAAAAGAGCGCATTAATCAACTGTATTATATATGCATTCATTTTTTCGGGAAACATTTTAAAGAAAGTAACATTTCAATGATATGCGTGAATATTTTTTTTTGAATATATCATTTTGAATTATTTCATAATTTTTACGTAAAAAGGAATACCGACCGTCCACTAAAAGAACTTCAGGATCATCAGTGCAGTACGCATCTCGATAACTAACTACATACTGGATACGGCTAAGTAAACGTCTTCAAAGTCAACTCATGTCAACTATTAAAACTACCTACCTGACACTAACCTTTAACCTGGTACTTGTAATGCCGGTCGTCAAAAACTGTCCAGTCGAAATCAAACATGAAATCAAAATGTCCAACATTTCACGACAACTTTAAGTTCGTTTCGTGCGATCCCAACATGTTTAATATAAATTTTCTTGAAAAAGTACAAAAAAACGCAAACCTCCGATCTTAATCGTTTGATATTTTCGCCACCTTTACCGATGATTCCACCAGCCCCACGACTGGATACTAGCAATCTTAATTCATATTTGCCAGCTGCCAAAGCTTCTTGATAACTGTCCGGCCGCTGTCGCTTACCGGATTTTACACTTTCATGAATATCTGATGAGCCTAAATCATCATCACCACCGTGGCGTTTCATCGTGCACTAGTGCGAACTGACAAAACTTCTCTACAATACCATATGAAGATAATAAATAATACATACAATACCAATAGGATAATATACATGCAATCAAAATGCGAAAACTATCAAATATACTGAAGACATTACATAAAACTGAATCAAAAATTTTAATTCAATCCAACTCGACTCTTTATTTAAACAATTGTATCTGCTTAATTCATCCCTAACGCATTACTTTTGATATGCACAACAAGGATAAGTCTTGAAATTGTACAGCATGAACAGAAACATACAAAAGCCGATTTATCAATTATTTGTAAGGTTTCAGCAAATGATTCACTCACGAAAATAGCTCCAACATACGTAAAAATTTTTTCACACCCATTTCCACTTACTAAAATATTTGTCTTTGCAAGACCATCAGAATGTGTGTGTTTGTACGCTAAATTCGCAGTGTTAAGAACAAAAGGATGAACAACATAAATTTTCATGAATGAATTTGCTGAACAGTAGCTCTAAGATAGGGAGAACAGTCAAAAAGTAGAACGCTTCAGCAAACTATTAATGAAAAGTTAAACAAAATTAACTGGAACAGAATAATACAAACCATAAAACCGGAATAGCAACCAGAACGGCAACCGGCACTAATGCAAGAAAACGCGAGAAGACAACCGACAATTGGGATAAAAACACAGTTCCAAAATGGATCGAATAAGCATCAATTGGTAAAATTCGTACCATACATCCAGATGTAGACGAACTTTTATTTTATCATTCATATGAAAAAATCGGGACCATCAATTTATCTGTCACTTTGTATTTGCTTTAAGATTTAAGTTATTGATTACATGACATTCCCAATATCCCATTTTTAATTAAATAAATAAGTTAATTAATTCCTTATGTTCATTTTTTGTGATATTTTTCGGCAATTTTTCCTCCGTTTGCATCAGTTCACACATCTTATCGATTTTTTTCTTTTGTAATTGATTTGTTTATGATATATTTTGAGGTTTCTTTGATTGATATTGTTTTTGAACTTTAATTGCTAATGTGTTTAATAGTTGATGTAGTATCACTTTAAGAAATACGGTTTTCTAATTTTAGTTAGCTTCAATGAAATGTCGTTTTCAAAGAAATCCTTTTTTTTTTTTTTTTTTTTTCAGAAATTTACAATAATAAACGATTATGCATCGTCCAATAATTCGGTGTAAATTTTTTGCTCGAGGCAATTGTCGTAATGGTGAAATATGTCCATTTGCACATATTCCACAACAGGAAATTGTTGATGTACAGCAATCAGATGCAGGAAATGTTGATATGCAGCCAGAATGTCGTAGACGTCCAACTGGACAGGTAAATGATATAAATAAAATAGACTGGGTTTAATGCTTCTTGAATTTTACTTTAAATCATTTGTGCTTAATCTAATAGCAGTTTTTTGATTTCATCCTTAACTTCCTCTGTCTTAACCGTTTCTCGTCTAATGTATCATAACTTTTTAAAGAAGAATTCTAACTTATTTTATTAACTTATAATCTGCTTAATTAGCTTTAATTTTCTGTAATTAATTGGTTTTTCGCTACTATATTGACAAAGTTTTTATGGTCTTGAATTAAAAGTAATAATAGTAATTTTCTCTACCATAAGAAGTGGTTTTTTTTCTATCATTTTAAATACTTCTATCAAATATTGCATACAATTAACAAATATTCCCTGAAGTTTCGCTTAACTTCAGAAATTAGATTTCAAGAGGAAGTTTGGTATTGTTGGAAAATTTTTGAATAATAGTAGGTTCACAATTCATACGTCTAATCCAATATTAATTCAGGCAGGTTTTATAAATCACGGATTTAACGAACATTTCCAATCACAATATTTTGACAAGAGGTAGATATTTCCAGTACGTTTTTTAACCTTCATTAAACTTTTAGCATTCATTTTTCAAATTTTGTGGACATTACCAAATAGGAGCACAGAAAATTGCACTCATTTATATTTTTCTCAACGTATTTCTCTGTTTGTTTCAGCCGCTATAAATGGATTTCACCTTTCCTAAGAGGAATCGAAGAAACACAAATTACAGTGAAACAAAATGGTACACATAAGGGCATTTGTAGTAGTGATCTTATTCACAAATGGAAGTTAGCAACAGAAGTATCAGGCGCAAATTTGAATAAGGATGCAGAAATGGATATCGATAGAAGAAAGTAAATAGATTTTTATACACGATTAAGGACTTGTTTAACCGGTAGCTCGCATTCCTATTTTCAATATCATTTATCAGTGTTGAACATTGCTAATAAAAGTCATAACGATAGCAGTACACAAAATCTGATTTCAGATCAGAGAATCCAGATCGTATATCTTCAAGAAATAATGAACTAACATACGATAGTTGCAGTAATCTAATGCAACAACTTTACTCGAAGATGACAGACTTAACTGTGGAACAAATAAAGCAGTTCGACGGATATGAGTTTGAATATGGCAAAGTGCCGACTGTTCCACCTCCAAAGGAATTTTGTTTCTAATAGCTTTGGTTCGTTATGGTTTAGGTTGTCTCTCTTAGATCAATTATGATTCTCGTGTGATGCCTTCGATTCCCTTAACATGTGGCACAATGACTGCAATAAAATGAACAGGTTGGTTCATACTGATATTTGTAATTTGAAATTGAGCGGATGAACATGAAACGAAACAAGTATACCCGTATTTCATTTTACAAAAAAAAAAAGAAAAAAAAAGAAAAGGAAAAGGAAAGAAAAAAGCCAGATTGACTGATTGTTCATTGTAAAAAATAAAACCAATAAATTCTCAGCAAATTACTGTTCTTGATTTCCTTATTTCATCACAGATTGTTTATTATTCATTTAAATTATACACCAGTGCAATGTGAAAACAACTGCTTATGAACGATTAATGAAAGAATAAAAAGCTCCCAAAGCGACACGCAATTATTTAAAGTCCCGCTACACTTAATCTCTTTACTGAAAAACCAACATTATTACTAGATTGCTTGAGAGGCAGATAAAGTAAGTAATCCCTATTAAATAATTATGAAGTGCTAAATCCGGGTTAGACTTTTAGCAGATTCATATTCCCACTTCATTAGAAATTTCGCAGAAGGCTGAGAAATGATGCACAGCACCTCGGGTCGTACATGGAAGAGGCTAGTGTAAGAGGTGCAAAGAAGGGGGTTGATAAGAAAAGAGAGCCGTGGTTAGGTATTGTGCAAGAGCGGAGGTTGCAGGGATGCTGAACATTTGCAAAGTGTGTGGTGTGTAGAAGGTGAGATGAGAAAAGAATTATAGTACGATGTGGCTGCAGTGATGAAGAGTAATCTACCGATGGAAATTATACATGAAAAGGTAAGTATGAAATAGTCGCAGCAGATTTATCAAAATGTATTAATGGTATCATTTGCTTACATCAGTGATACATATATATATATATGATTGACTTTATTGAGTTTTGAAGGATTTCTCAGGATGAATGTTAGTTTAGTGTAAGTTATGTACATATCACATACGTATTCATATGTAACACGTATTTCATGCTTACATATACATTAATATATATATATGTATTTTTTTTTTTTTTTTTTTTTATTTAGATTTGTAACTTCAGATATTAAAGTTGTAAATAATGAAAGTTGGATTACAAATTATACGATGAAATGGCCGGAAATTTTTGGCAAAGCTCACACTGGTTCGTACAAGTTGTAATTTATGCCTTTTTATAAAAATTTATCATATAGATTTAGATATATGACTGTAGTGATTTATTATTTTTTTAAATTTGAATATTTGATAATTATATGTTTATCATTTTCAGCGCTTTCTTTCTCCTTTTCTTTTTGACACTCTTTATTTGCATTGAATACATGAGTGAAGTGACTATAGCTGGAAAATTTCTAGGGAGCAATGGATTTTGGACAAGCAGGATATTCTGCGTATGCGTGGTGAAGATATGAAATGTATCACAGAGGAAGAATATACGAAACTGATGATATTTTTCTGCAATTGTAAGTATACTATTCATTTATTATATATGATGCGTATTGAAATTGTTACTGATGCATGTTCTGTTCAAATATATGTGTCATGGAGGTCTCATGGAGGAATTTCGCAGTCACTGAAGTGTTGTTTTTATTTTTAGTCTAAATTTAAGATGTTTTTAGTTATACATGCCATTGGAATGGATTCACAGCAACCTCATAAAACACGGATGCAAGTGATTGCCACAGCGTGTGTTTACTTCCGTCGTTTTTATGCGAGGTAATGAAATTTTGTAAAATATTCTCATGAAAGGTAGAAATGTAAGGGGATGTTCAGAGGATGTTTTTTTGAATGTTTGGTTCAGCGTTCCAGATTGAGCGCCGCACACACGTTTATTTCAGACGATCACTGAAAGATATTGATCCATTTCTCTTGGCTCCTACTTCTTTATTTTTGGCATCAAAGGTTGAAGAACATGGAATGATGTCACACAATAAACTTATACAGGCCACAAATAATGCTTGTAAGTTATTGAAGTCTTTAAAAAGTTTTTTGGTTATCTGGCATGTCAAACGCAGAGTGGTTCAGGTAGGGCATTACATAATTTTCGATATAATTATGACTAAATTTTAAGTCAATCATTTTCATAATGCATGCAGAGAGAAATAAGTTTGCAGTAAGAAATTACTACAGTTATTATGTTTATGTGTGAATTTCAAAAGTTTTTCAATAATATTTTTGATTACCCTCCAATAAAATAATAGTTATAGTTCAAGATGGTGTTAGTTCATTATTTAAAAAATATTTGTTTGAACAGACAGAATATTTTCTGTTATCCGGAGTAATAAAAGAAAAAACATGGACGTTCAATATTTGCATTTACCCATTGAAAATGCCACTTATTGTTTTTCATCAATTTTTGCAATTGCAGTGAAACGATGGCCCTTCATACAGCAAGATTTGATGATAAGAGTTCAACATATACAGGAAGCAGAATTTTTTCTTTTGGAAATTTTAGACTGTTGTCTAATTGTTTATCACCCATATAGGTTTATTTTTTTATATTTCTGTGATAAACATGAATAGTCTAATTTCCATTGATGAAGTGTTCTGTATAATCAGATTACAATTAGTAAGTTTCATTTGGCATCCAAATTATGCAATTGTCCAGTTAGTTTAGATGGAATAGGAAAGTTAAGGTGCAACATAAATATAAATTTTAGATGCGCCTGTGACAGCTACAACTTTCCACACATTTCTTTTTCATCAAGAGATATCGATTACAAATAGTCGATTTTGGAAATATTTTAGCGCTAGAAAGTAAACGGAATTTTTTTTTTTTTTTTTTTAAGATTTGAAGACATTTACAGACCACTGAATCAGTTAATGGCTGAAATGGGAAGAGAGCATAAAGATCTCGACACAATATCATCATATGCTTGGAAAATTTGTAATGATTGTACAAGGACGGATCTTTCGTTAATGTATCCTCCTCATCAAATTGCAATTGGTAAATTTCATTTGACGTTCAAGAAACTTCTGTAATAAAATATATTTCAGATTGGGCTGCAATAAAGATATGAAATATGAGTTCTCATGTTTGTTATGAGGGGATGATACCGTTTGATAGTGAAGGTAGTAGTTTTCTTTAGGATGGAGTTAAAAACAGAAAAATGAAGTTTGTTGATAATCCGAAATAAACTTGATGTACAGTTCTTTTCTCCATCTCTTACAAAAAATGAAAGTGTGAAAAGCTAATCAATTCACAAAAGTTCTAAATAATTTTTAGCATGCATTTTGATAGCATCAGTTTGGACAAACAGAGATAGAGAGCTGAAAAATTGGTTTGCTGAGCTTGCAGTTGATTTTGAAAAGGTAGATATTTATTCATCTATTGATTTGTAGATTTGTTTCCTGTTCAATTTAGCTTCTCATTTTGGACTGTTGAATATATGGAATGAACTCAGAAATTTAAGATTTGGTTTTTTGGCTTGTTGTCGGCTATGCAAATAGCAAGATGAATAACTTTGCGAGTAAAATTATTTCCGTTAAAGATGTATTAACATTACGCAGCACTTCAAATTATATAACGACGAAGTTGTGAACAGTTCTGAAATATTATTGATCCTCATAAACTCAAGATTTAATAAGGAATCTGATAGATTTGAATGTACTGTTCAATATTTATAGAACATTAATCCGGATGTGCCATGCATGATTTCCACACTTTATTTTAGGTACTGGAAATCCAGAAAATCATTATAAATTTATATAGTGTATGGAAGACATTTGATGAAAAAGAGCAACTAGTGGCGATTTTGCAGAAAATTCCACGTCCTAATCCAGGTCCACAGTCATCGGGTACCACAATGATGCAATCACATCCTCATGGTAGTCTTCAAGTGAATAACATGAACGTACATCAAGGTGTTAACATGGGGCCACCACCTATGCCTCCAGTTGGTAATATTAAATTTGAAACACATTAGCTAGAGTGAAAGAAATTCAAATGCTGTGGTGATTCACAAGAAAAAGGTGAAGTACTCTTGTCCAGGTAGTTTGCAAATTTCTTATTACTATTTAAGAGATATGGTTATCTTGGAACCGTAAACATAAAATACCTGTTGATATGCAGTTAATATTTCGTTTTCTATTTCAAGACTTTGCAGTATTATGTTCCATAGTTTTCATTATTTATCGAGCTTTACTCTTACATTGTTTTCTGTGATGTACGAAATGAATATATGGTTTCTAATTGCTTTTTGAGCTGAAAAAAACTCAGTAATATTTCTGTTTTGCAACTCTGTTGAGGTACAGTACACACAAGCTAAATGATACATAGGTTCTTCTACCATCTGAATATATGCTTCCCTGCTGCTTTACTCTAAAAGATGTTGGCTTACAAACAGAATTCATTTTTCTATGGATGAAAGACTAATTCACTGTTATGTGGTAATAAAGATGTTCGAAGCAGTTTTAATATGAATTACTCTGCACTAAACAACAAAATATTAGCATCATTGAAACTAAAATCAGTAGCAGATCATAATCATATTGTTTTCAACAATAGTTTATTGTTTATTGTTCCTTTACGATATTCATACAATATCACACCTATACGAAAAAAAATAAACACAATGTTGTTGTATTTTCACTCTACCACTGTTATTTTAATTTCAGAAGGTTAGAGATTATAGTCTCTATTGTTGTTATATTATCCTTTGCTGAATGTAAAATTAAGTGTTTCAATGCTGAAATGAATCGAATCAAACCTGGCAGTATCCAAAAGTTAACACAAATAGGGATTTTAAAATAGACATTGACTTGTAACAAAGCACATAATTGCAGTGAGTAAAGAGTTATCACTATTAGATGATCTTTATATAATAGGAGTTGGTTTATAATATTTTTTTATTGTTACACCACATTTTAAGTTTAAAAGATTAGAGGTAATAGTATTTCGATATTGCAAGCATATTTGGTTTATAAGAAAGAAAATTTGGAAGAAGAGCTCATGATCTATTAGCAACTGAATCTTAAAAATAAAATTGAGAGTAACTGAAAATTTATTAAGCATATACTTTGTTAACATATTTTCTAGACAATTCTGTATAAGCCTAGTTGCAATTGAAAGACATGTAAATTTGGAATAGTTTTTATAGTTGTTTAAGGAATTTTTGGAGGAAATGGTTTTAAGTTTACAGATTCCTGATTTAAATATAAAATAAATTTATTTGGATTTTTCCAACAGACATTTTAATAAACTGTCAAGCAATACCATTGGTCATTTGAGTTGAATTTTTGTTTTAGAATTATTGAATAAAAATAGCAAGAAAGCGTTCCTTTGCTTGTCATTGCAAACTAATGAAATCAAATTGAAGCATTATATTAAGTGTAAGCGTTTATCTTTGGTGTGTTTGTTTACTACCTTTTTGGTTGAGTAATATAAATTTTCGAAATCAAGTCTGAGATTTACAAATGTAACTTTTTGACTTAACAAAATAAATTTTCGAAAACTGGACCTTTTCTCAAACCACACCTCTCTCCCTTCCCCCCAAAGAAGAAAATGTTTTTTAAAAAAGCTGTTCAATTTATTAACTTAAGTCGGAAAAAAAATTTCTCAATAAGTTATTGTCACATTCATCGTTGCTAAGCCACCATAAAAGTCAATAATTTACATATGCTAAGGTAAATAATTAATGGAAATGACTCGTTAGATTTAATGAATTCGTCGTGATTTAAGATATATATTACCGAGATTATGTTTTAGTAAATTGGAATGAAATATTGCTAAAATTCATGTAATGTGTTAGTATTTCACTTTATAAAATAGCAGTTATAAGCAAAGTATTTTCTTTTTTCATATGTATCGAATTAATTTTATGATTAGAAATATCATTATATCATACCAGTTGATGATTACAGTATATTAATTATTAATTTGATACTATAATAATATTTACCCGCTGCTAAAATAAATATATATAATGATATATCATCTTATATATAAGTGTGTGTGTGTGTGTGTTATAAAACATATATAAGTGTTATAAAGCTAAAAAATGGTAGAAATTATTTAAATATACAAAAAATATACAGAATTTATTAATTCCGATTACTTTTTATTTGCAAGCAATATTGGCTAATTTATGAAAACAAATGAAAAAATAAATGATTTTTATCTTCCGAGTTTCAGACTACAAATTTAACATAATTTCAGTTGCACCTTAAACGCAATTAAAGTAAATTGCCGCATTGCAAAATAAATAAAAATTCAATCAATAAACAAATAGAAAAAAAAATATATGAATAAATGTAAATAAAAATAAACGGATAGCATAAATTGAAAAATGATAAACTGTTAACAATGTTTCTTCTTTTTCTTTAATTCATTTTCACTTTGTTCTAAATATGCTTCAAAGACAAAGAGAGAGAGAGAGAGAGGACAAAAACATAAGATGGATGAAGACATTTAGCAAGAACAGAAGCACTTGGACCAATTCGTTCACTTCTTTTCTCTCTCGTCGTTTCGTTTTTTTTTCTTGTTTTAATCATTTTTGTTCAAATTATGTTTAATTTATCGAAAATAAGTGAGTGGATGAATGAATGAATGAAAAAATAAATAAATAGGGGAATTAATTAAGTAAATAAATAAATCAACTAATTAAGTAAATAAGTAAATAAATAAGCAAAAACAAACAATTAAATAGTTAATTAATCAAATAAATAACTTTTAGCTTATATTGTTTTCATATTATTTAATTCTCTTTGTTGGCTTCATCTGATTGTTTTAATTTTGCTCCTGCTTCTTTCAGTATGATTGATTTTTTTTCCAATTTTTTTCTCTTAAATCTTAATTCAATTGCATTTGATTGAAATACATGAAATTCAGACTGCAATTTTAATTCCCCTTCAATTGCATTTCAAAGAATCCAAAACGAACCGCTGCATTTCCAAACAAATTAATCAATTTCAATCGTCGAAAGACTCTTTTTATTTAATATTGAAATATGTTCATTTTATTTTCATTTCATCTTCTGCAAATTAAATACATTATTCATTCAACTTACTTGAATTTCACTACAATTCAAGTCATTCTATCCTAACTTCCTTCACTCCCATTAAGCTTATAAATATAAATGTAAATAAATAAATGTATATATACTTATTTGTTTGTTTATTCAGTTATTTATCAGCTCATTTACTCGTTTAATTAAGTAATTGATAATTACTAAAACTTTTATTGTTGCAGGAGACCAATTACCACTTGTAAAATTTATTATAATTCCATTTCGGTATCACTGAATGTCATTTATATGATCTTTATTGGAGTATATTTGTTCAGCTTATTTTTGCAAATAGCACCTGCTATTTTTAATTGATAGACCTGTTATAGAAACTTTAGCATCTTGTGCTACTAAGTTTAATTCTATTTCTTCATTCTTGACTAATCCATGTCATTTTATTTATGCATTTTATATCTTTTCAAAATTTATCTACCATCCATAATCTATCTATATAATTAATAGCAACAAAAAATAAAATTAAAAGAATAAAAAAAGGCAACAAAACGAATAAAACCACAAAAACTAAACAACAAAACTTCCAAAAAAAGGAAAGTTAAAACGTGAAGGGACACTTAAAAAAATTGTGAATATTTTTGATCTAAAAAAAAAAAGAAAAAAAAAAAAACAGAACTAACAGTAGGCTGCTCTGTGTTTTCTTTTGTTTCCAATTTTCTATGAATAATTTCTTTTAATTTCTTACGATAATTTCATTTTAAATTTTGAACTATTTATAAAATTTTATTTTAAATGATAAATTTTACTATCATAGCAAGAATCTTACTTAACTAGTTTTTTCTTTTGTTCCTTTTTTTTTTGTAAATTATTTTTTCTTTCTTTTCTAATTCATTATTAATGCCCAACACATACGATTAACCACGTATAACTATAGTGATCTTATAACTATACTAATAACTATAACGGTACTACTGGAAAAAAATGAGACATTCACCCCTTTACAAATATTTGTACTTATATTTCTTGTGCATTTATAAATATATGATTATTTTCTGTGTAAAATGTAGCAAATATTTAAATAAAAAATGATTAGAAAAATTTGCATAGTAGAAATGCATTCTGCAAACATCAAACGTTGATTGTGAAATTTTATAAAAAAGTGAAAAATGATTAAATGATACCATTTGTTGAGAAGCCATTTAAACAAATGAGGAATTCATATAATAATTGTGTAAATAGCTCAGAGAACAGAATTTATCCTTTTTAAATGTAATTTATGAAAAGAAATACAAATAATTATGAAAGCAAAGATTATTCATTCAGTAACATATGTATTTGAAATTTCTCATAAAGAAAAATATTGTAAAAAATAGTTCATCATATTTCTTCAATTTCTTACACAATTATTTTGAATCATATTTTACTAAAAATCATTTCATTTTTCATTGATTTTTTTTTTTTTATTTATGGAATTATGTTTTCAAACCTGAAGAATTTCAATTACAAAAATTAGACTTAGAAATTAAAACTAAAATTCAAACTTTAAGTTGTGTAAAGAAGAAATCGATAATTTTTTTTTGTGTCTAAAATTTTCTTTGAATTCTCCACTTTTTTGATTTCTGATTAATTTTTCAATTTCAGACTAATCCGCCTAATTCATTCCGTATTTTTAACCGACATGAACATTCGATAATTTATTTAATCGTTTTTTTCGTGGACGAACAAAACTCAATGGAGAAAAAAAGCTTAGAAAAATTCCCTAAGTTTCCTAAAAAAAAATCCGTTTAAATTTAAGAATTACCAAAATCAAATTGATTTTCAATTAACTAACCCTAAAAAAGTTTCATTCAAATTGAAACTAATTTCTCAAATCTGATAAAAAAAGTAACCGACATTCACATTACATTTTTGCTTTATCTTCCCCCCCTTAATTTTATATGCTCCATGAACTATAACCCTCAACCCTCAATACAAACACTCTCCCATCCCACTTCCCAAAAACTAAAAGGTTGTAAAATTCGTGCATACGAAGATGTAGAAGAGAAGGATTTATTATTTTCATTCAAACTTTCTGTCACACTGAAAGGGTTATTTTGCGCGTATTACAAGGAAAAAAAGAGAAAAAAGGGGGAAGAGTTGCCTTTCAATATTTTGTCCGAATGATCAAAGGATTCCATTAATGAGGCGGCATTAGTCCTAAGAAAATTCCGCGATCGTCGTACAACAGTAGTTGCAGTCATACAACACATACTGCGTCATCAAAGTACATGCTTATGTCAGAGGGTAATGTATATGTATATACAAGCAGCAATTTTAGTCTTTAAAAGCTTGTCTTATCAATTCTTAAATTTATTTTATCAATTCTACTTAGTCCGTATACATTGTGATTCGATTAATTTCAATTTTGAAGCATTTATGAATTTCAATTTGTTTTAGCTAGCTGATGATTAATTCGCAATTGATTTGACATTTGTTGCAATTTGTTCGCTCATTTAGCATTGATTAATTCAGGTATTATCAGCAGTTTGCATATTTCGGAACAAAAAATTTCAAATGGTTGAACAGAATCCAGTTTATGGCAAACGTCGCATTTATAAAATTGTCCTGACAGGCGGTCCATGCGGTGGAAAAACTACGGGACAAGTGAGAAATTTATTTCTTCTTTACAACTATTTTTATGGCTTAAAAGATATAAGATTATTTGATTATTTGGAAATGAAGGGGAACAATTTGTTATATATGTAATTTATTTTTGCTTCCTATTTGTTTCTTTGAACTTGAGACTTTATAAGTGGAACTTTTTTATTCTATTCTTTCCATTACTAATGTAATTACTTGAAAATTGTTTCTTAACTGTTATTGTGCTATTCTTTTTTAGGAACGTCTTCGAACATTTTTCGAGGAAATTGGATGGAAGGTATATACTGTACCGGAAACAGCTAATATACTGCTTGGTGGTGGTGTGAAATTTGCCGAGTTATCAAAGGAACAATGCTATAGATTTCAGAAAGATATGTTATTAGCTTTGCTGAGAATTGAAGCGGTAATAACAATCTGTGTTTCTTTGTCACTAGAATATTTTTATTTTCACTTTTCCTTTTTTTCTACTAGGTAATGTTATATAAATCACTATATAAAAGAACCAGGTTTAATATAATGGTTGAATATAAAAAAACCAACCTAGCATATTGTTATGAGGCAAAAAGTTTCACGATGCATTAAAACATATATGTGCTACGTTTATTAAAAAGGATAATGTCACATGTCAGGTTTTAAGTGGGGTTATTTTTCATTCATTAAATAGACTGAGATGATCGATATGCATAATTGATCTTTACGATCTTCACGAAAAATTCGATAAACAAAAAATTAGCATTTTGATATATTGATTAAATATACTAAATTCTGTTTCTAAGTAGTTTCTGTAGTGTTGTTTGAAAAAAATTGGCAGGTTTTCTTTAATCAAGCCGATGTATCAAATGCTGAACGTATTTTAATCATATGTGATCGTGGGGCTATGGATCCGGCAGCGTATATCGACAAGAAATCTTGGAATGAAATGCTAAAGGAAACAAATTTGGATCAGTTCAGCCTACGGGAAGAGAGGTATGACCAAGTAAGTTCTCGAAATGTTATTTTGAACGTTTGAATTATGATTTCAAGGCAATCTAAGTCTTCATTCTTAGATATCTGTTCCTATTAACTACGTTAGTGTTATAAAATATTGTATTGTAACATTTTTTCTTGTAATAAAATCTGTGCTATAATCCTTGCAAGCTAATTTATTTTATGAGGAAAATAGATTTTGCTTATGGGTGCCCAAGAAATAGTAGCGTTTCGAATGTTACTTTGAGGCCAATTTCTGCAATTTAAATTTTTAAATATCAGCGGACGTCCAAGACTGTCTTCTGAAGTGTTTCATTTCGACAATTCAACCATTGGTTCAAGTACTGGTGCATGGTTATTGTCAAGCTAACTACTTTTTTTGATTTTAATAACTGAAAATATTTGTTTGTAGATTCTACATATGACGACAGCAGCAGATGGTGCTGAAGAGTACTATACTTTGGCAAACAGTAATGTAAGGACAGAAACTATCCAAGAAGCTATAGAACATGACCGACGTACCCGAGATGTAACAAGCTTTTTTTTTTTGGTTGAATCTTGATATGTTTTTTTCCAGTTCATGCAAGCCTTTGGAAGATTTCTATAACCATTAAAATAATTACTCGAACTTTCCACATATTTCTTTTGTTTATTTGGATCATTATTTAATTTGTGTTTTACTTTTCTATCTTTGAGCATGAAGTCCTTCATAAATTTCCGTCTCTTGATTCCCTTTTGTTCATTTCAATTTTATTTTCCACTGTAAGAGAATAAGGGTAGCTGTGAAATTGTATAGCATTTCAACAACTTCAATTGTATGTTTTCATACAAAATGTAGAGAATATTTTGAAAATGAGAGTGGAATCATTTTAGCATTTTCATGTTGTGATTAAATCAGTAATTTTAGTAATTAAACAACCAGTCATCAAAATTTATAAGTTAATAGTATAATTGAAGTTGTGAGCTATAGTTATTTCAATGATCATTTTTATATAGGCTTGGCTTGGTCATCCGCGCGTTGATGTAATCGAGAATGTCGGGTGTAAATCATTTGATGACAAACTGCTGAAACTAATTGCTGCCTTGTGTAGTCGAATGGGTCTTCCTACTGAAGATCGATTAGCCTTCAATAGCAGGTAATTTTTCATTTCTCGTTTCAGATTAAAAACTTATGATAATTGTAATTTGAGATGGTGGTTAGATTGAACAGATTAATACCATGGCCCCATTTTGGGAATGGAATTATGTATAGATGATATAACTTCGTCGTTTATTGTGTATCGAAAATTTGATGATCTGCAACATCTAATGCAAGCAAATTTTCCTAGCAGGAAAAGGAAATGGCTTGTTGCATCGTTTGATAAGAAGCGTTTACCACGTTGTGAAGTGTTCATTGTAAGACATAATTATTTATGTACCGACGACCAAAATGTTCAAGTGAAACTTTTTTTTTTTCATAAGTTAATCCCAAATAATTGAACTATTTGTTCATATTTAGAGTTATTAAGCAGCGAAAGGGAATGTACGAGTTTCCTTGATTTTTGGTCCTTACCTTCCCTTAGTTTTTTTGTAAATTCGGATAAGACGTTCTTTATTTTAATCTTTGGCTTTATTTTGACAGTTTCTTGTACTGATTAATGTATGGTTTGCTGGACATTTACTTTCTTAAGGTAAATGAAAATATGAAAGTTGTTAATGACAAGCCATTTTAAGGTTCGGTTACGTTCACGAAGTCAGCATGGTCGGACAACATATGCTATAACAACCCGGCATTATGAAGGTCCAGAACCAGTGGAAACTCGTATGCAGTTGAATTATCGAGAATATATGAATTATATTAAGATGGAAGATCGTTCAAGAGTACCAATCAATAAGGAACGGAGATGCTTCATGTATGGCAAGCAGGCATGTTTAAATTTTATGTTTTATTTTAATTTTGCAATTTGTTTTTCAAATCAAAACGCAATATGGTCTTGAGTAAAGATTGTTCCTGCACAACATTGAATATTTAAGATCAAAAGGGAAGCACTGCTAATTAAATTAATTTTAATCATACACCTCTGCTGAAAAGTTTATTTTATTGGAAATGAGATCCTTGCTGAATGTAGATATTGCTCACTGTACTTCTTCTAGATGGATGTTAAGTAAAGGCAATTGTTATTTGAAGTATGTATTCTTTAAGAAGTTCATTCACTTTATTTAAAGAACTGTACCGATCTAATTTTATGTAATTTATAGTACTATCATTTGGATACGTATACTTCACCATTACCACCATCATGTGAAGGGAAGCCGTTAATGTTACTGGAAACATATACGACGGCCCCGGTCGGTGATACCAGTGAACCACTGTTACCTGACTTTATGAATATTTTAAAAGAAGTGACAGGTGATTCTGCATACAGTATGTATACAATTGCCAATCTAAAAGTAGTCAAGAGAAGCTAACGTTTTATTTTGTAATTTCGAGAATTATTTTGCGTTGCTCTCAACAAGTTATTTTTTTTTTTTTGGTCAAAAATTAAATTAGATATTAATTATGGCAATAGTAACCTGAATTATGCAGCCTGAGTTCTACTAAGTCAAGTGTATTTTTTGATTTACTTACTCATAAGCCATGCATCAGAAAGCATGGGTGGCGACAGCTTTATTGTCATTTATCTCTCGTGTTTTTCTCATAAGTTTTTCCCTTTGGGAGTTGATGTGTTTTAAATTATTGAGATTGAAAAGTTCTGTAATATTTCTTAAACTATATATCTTCGAGTATCCGCTCTACTTTCCATCGTCTTTATTTTACTGGCAGTACTATTCTTTAAGAAGTTCATTCACTTTATTTAAAGAACGGTACTGATCAAATTTTTTTCAATAAGAGATGTATTGCCAATATGTTCCTTTTTACATTTTCAACATTTATGTTATTGATTTTTTTAGTATTTGTTAAATTCAGAACTCAACCTTTGTTAACAACTATCATAAAACAACGACTATCGTTCAGGTGGAGATTATTTCGGTGTTTTTCTTACTTGATTTCTGTTTCAAATCAATCATTTTTCAACAATTGTGATATCTTCACCCAGTATGAAGCGGATAATTTGATTCCAATATTTTTTTTTTTTATTTTTTATATTAAAAACTGTCGAAATTCTTTAAAGTAGAAAATAATGTTTACATAAAAACAATTCTTGTTTTTTCGTAATTTCTGGAAGATTCCTTTCGTCAAGAATTTGCTCGCAAATCATCAGATTAATTTAATTATGAACTGAAATTTTCTGCCTTAATTGTTTTGATTCGACCAATTAATACTTCTTTTAATAGATTTGAAAGATTTCGAAATGCAAAATTACGTTATGCTAATAAAATATTGTTGAACAAAAGTATGTAATAGTTTTATATGATATATTGCCAGCCATATCATCTGTTACACACAACTGTTACATTTTTTCGTCACTTATAATACCTAAACAATAATAGTTAGTACTTAGATTTAAATAATACCTTAGATTTAATCATTATCAGGAGACTTTTACTGTTTCATAAATGACAGTAATTTATGGTTAGAAAATTTGGTCAGGATTTACCCTATTATTATCATTATTTTACTTAATTATTCCCACCTAATTTTTCAATTGTTTTGAAAAATGCGAGCCATATTTCTTCCTGGAATAGCAATATATGATTTATAATTTAATTATACGGAAACAAAAAAGAAGCAAGGGAAACTTCCTCCTAAAGATAAAGGAATTGAAAATTTTTGATACAATGGTATCTTGGATTACATAAGAAATGGATTCTTACAACAAAGAAATCAAATAATTGGAACAATCGAAATTAGGCTAAAACAAATTTAAATATCTCGAAACATTACAATTCCCTGACATAATTTCCCGGAAAGAGGCCCGTCCGATTCTTCATTCTGCCCTGCCACCAACCAGAGGAATCTGAAAATTCAATCATAACAATAAGTTAAGTACCAGAACGAAGAACAATTGCAGCAATAGTAAATTAAACTAAAGAATTTTAAAATGAATTTAATCGAATTGCCGAGAAACTTTGTTTATATTAAAATCCGATCAAAAGTCTGGGCAAAGAAACAAACGTTAGATCAAGAAATTTTTAATTTAAAAATTTGAAAAAATCCCACTAAAAAGACTGGAAAATTCTCAGGTCATATTGTTATTTAAGATAATATCTAGTATTTAATTACCAACCCTAATTCTTCATATTTTGATATATCTTTATTGCTCTTATGATAAAAAAAAGCATACAACTGCATCCAACACAATACGACTAACCAATAATTCTAATGAATTTTATTCAATAAATCAAATTCCATATTCTTATCAGTTGAAACATATCATTTTTACATATAAATATATTTATTATAATACAAACTACCAATTTGTTACTTATTAATTAATAATGGATTCAAATTAGTTAATTTTAATAACAGAAACTAACCTTTATTCACAAGTTCAAATTTATCACCAGCAAGGAATGATAATTCATCAGTATCTTGAGCTTCATACGAATATAATGCTTCAACAAGAGGAAGGAATCTTGGTTTTAATGGTGGCTTAGGTTTTTCCGGATGTCGACATATTGCATTCTGTAAAATATTCTTTCTAAATATACACCAATACTATTTTATGATTGTTATCCCTTTCATTATTGCAAAAATTTACAAATAATTAAGAGAATATAAAATTAACCTGTAAATGAGTAGTGGTACCATTATTTCTATTAATATCTGTGTGATTATTATTTATCAATGGATATACACGATTAGACGTAGTTACGTGTTGTGTTGATAAAGAAGATGTTCGATGTGTTAGAGAAAACATTTTATGTTTTTCATAATGTCCTTTCATCGTTATTCTTTCATCAGTTGGTTCTAAAAACAAAAAACAAAAAGAAAAAAAAAATCATTTCATTTTAGGAAGAAGTCACTTATTTTAAACTTCAACTAAGTTAGCAACTACCTGTAAAACAGACGAATATTTTTTTGTATTAAAAGACAAAGATTTGTAGCGGCAACATCAATGCTATTATTTCTAATTTAAATTTATGTTTATGAATTTAAAAAAAAATGTGGATTTAAATTAACATATTAACATATAATGCTATTCTAATTATCATTCAGAGAGATCAAAAGAAAATAATTTTTATAATTTAATAATTTTGTAATATTACAAGAAAAATTCATAAATTGTCATGAATCTGTGATCTGAAAAGATTTAATATTATAAAAAAATTTTGGGTCATTCTAGTATCATCAAATGATAATAACAAGCATACTTGCATTACTGGATAAACCAGGTCCAATATATACGAATAAAATTTTTCCTTTTGGAAATAACTGAGTACTGTTTGATCCATTATCATTTTTTGAAAATTTAATAATTCGAGAACCACCACCAAATTGAGTTTTCTTCAAGATAATTTGATGAGAAGTATTGAAATTTAATGGTAAAATTCGTCCATCAGCTCTATCATAATATCGTTTGCTGCAGCAATTGATTGATTTATTGATATTTGTTTAAAGCTTATTTAATTTATAATAAAATTAAAATTTTGCCAAAAATTAAAAGTTGCCGAAGTTTAAAACTACAACGAATTATCCATTTGTCAATTCTTTTAATTGATTAAGAGCTAGTTAATTCTTTTAATAATTGATCAAATTTATAAAATTTACTTGATTGCATTTATTAATTCCGTTTTTAGCGGTGTCTCCAAAAGTGATGTATATGAATTATGAACATTGAGAATAATAAAATTATCCTGATATGGACTTAATCCAATATTATCGATATCATTAAAATTAATTTGTCGTTTCAAAACCTGAAAAAAAAAATGAAATAAATAATAAAAATTGGATAGTAATTATGAATTTATTACATTAGTGAAAATAATATCATCTAAAGAAGTGAACAATAATAAATTTACCTCAATAATTTTTCCTTTATTTAATCCTTTCTTTTCCAATTCTCTCCCAATGAGAACAATTTTATTTGCTGTTATGAGAAAATCAATTTTTGAGACCTAAAAATTTTTGAGATCTGACAAATATCAATCAAATATTATTATATCATGCATGCACAAAACGATTGTTTTCTCTCATAGAGAATTAAAATCGTTGGTAAATTTCAAACATCAAAATAAATAACTACTTACCATATAATTATTATTCACTACGAATGAAATTTCGATCTGAGCAAGTTTAAATCATAATTTTCCTAAATCATTTAATGATTCAAAAGAATGCAATAAATTAAATTCGAAATGTAAAATTAGAAATTGAAAAAATCTAAGTTAACCTTAAATCTTCGATCATACTTATTAATGGTAGCAGCAAAAATAATACGTTCCTTCTTTCCGACCAATGCTTGTAATACCGGATGATATTCGATACCAATGTAATCACCGATAAAATTACGATTTATTGAATAACGTCGTCTTTCTTTTTTATTCAAGAATAATTTACATGCATCTTCCTGCAATATACAATTTCTTTTCCCTTCAATAATGATATGATAATATTACAAGTAATTATGTTACGATAACATAAATCGGATCCTATTTAAACTATTTATTAAATCATTCAGATTGAAATTTAAAACCTTCTTTTTGGTATATCATTTCTATTAACCAATCTGACACTAACGTATTTACATCGTCAAATGTACAAATTAAAGAAAAGAAAATGCATTTCTGGTATTTTCATTAATCATATTAGTTGCGAAATTCTCACAGTATCAATGTGACTAATGAAACTGATATTTTGCACTGCAAATGATAAAATGCAGTTTCAAATTAAGCATTTAATAAGTTGTTGAAATAGTATCCTATGTGTTAATTATATGGTTTGCTTAAGAAAGTAGTAAAGACATTTTATCATTTCATTTAACTGATTGATACTTTTATAGCCAAGTTTATTTTTCGTATTACTAGCAGGAATATTTTCCTAATCATTGTAATAATAATGCGTTTTTAATAATAATAATAATAATTGATAATAATAATAAATAATAATAATAGCAATTAATAATAGTAATGCGAAGAAAAATGCTACGCAAACCTTTAATTTTGTGTGTCGTTTACAAGCAGTGAATTTCTTGAATGCTTTTTGAATTACACGTGCATAACTATCATATTTCCTTTCACGCATTTCTTCCAAAAGGAAAAGCTATAATTGACAGATAAAAAGTACCAAGTAGGAAAGCATGTAATTATGAAACTATAAGTAAATCTAAAGTAAGCCACAATATAAAATTTAAAAGAAATAAACTTGGTTAGTCAATTAAATGAATAAATAAATGATTGAATAGTTAAGTAAAAAATAAATAAATAAATAAATAATGTTCTAAAAAACAACATACCGATTAAATAACAAATTAAATTAATAACTCGATATGTGTATAATATACAAATCAAACGAATAGATCAAATAAATGAATTAATTAATTTAATTAACTATTAAAATAAATAAGTAAAGAAACAAACAGGAAAATAAATAAACAAATTAGTTGATCAATTAAATGAATAAATAGATAATTAAATAGTTAAGTAAATGAATGAAATAAAGAAATAAATAGAAAAATAAATAGTGTTCTAAAAACAACAACATACCGATTCCGGATTTTTAATGAAAATTTTTGATCTACCCATTTGATACTGGTCACGATCCATATTTACCGTTTGACAAATGATCTAAAAATGAAATGTTAAAATGTTTTGTTGTACTTATTATCGTTACAGAACTTTTCAGAGTTTCCATGAATCACAAATGAGAAAGCAAATATTTGATATAATAATAACTAATAAATATTAATAATTAATAATAAAAAAATAAATAAATGTTCTACTTGATTCATATTTATTATTAAGCAATAAATATAACAATTAAATACAAATTTAAACCTCAACTCCTTCCCGAGGATTACCATGATAACTGGGCCATGTTTTTGGAGTAAGAATAGCATAACGATAAAGGAATTTATGAAAAACACGACGATAGGCAAAACCTGCACGTCGAACTCTGATATTTTCCTTTAAACCCAAATATTCAACTTGATGCAGAACACTAAAAAAAAATTAGCGAATTTAACTTTTAACTTAAATTTAATTTTAACCATTAAAGCTAATCATAAGAAAGTAATGATATGATGAAAATTTTCAAAAGTTATATCTTAATTTTTCATTTAATCTGTTGAAACGAACGATTTATATAATATCAACAATTGTATCTTATCATTTGTTCCTAATAATAATTAAAATAATTGAAAAGTGTAATGAATTAGAATCAGTAACCGTTTTTCATCCCACTCCAGTGATCGCTTAGTATCATTTGGCTTAATACAACGTACATAATGAGGAGCGCATTTGCTAAGTGAATCAACAAGATCGTTTGCTTGATTCTAAAATAAAGTAACTTTTTTTTAAAATTTGATGAAGTAAAAAAAAGGGAGAAAAAGTACGAAAGTATAATTTAAAGTAAAATTATATGCTTGATTTGATTTCAAAATAATTTTAATTATTCGCAATATTATTTTAATTCAATTCTTTTCATTGCAAACATTTTTCCTTTGTATATTATATTAATTTTATACAAAGTATTGCGTTTTTCTATTTTTCATTTATCTTTATTCCGCTTTATTATTTTTTATGCTATATACTTTTTTTTAATTTAAAATTAAAAGGATGAAATAAATAGAAATTAAGTATAAATTAATAAAATTAACCCTAATTTTTGATGAAAAACTTGTTGGCTTCTTACCACTAGACGATACTATTTCGGGAAAAAGTTGCTTGAAAAATTGCCTGCAACAGTGATATTATTGATTTATTAAATTAATGTTTTCATATTTCACCCAGTGGATATTTCCAGCTGTTGTTAATGATAATTTTAATTAAAATGAAAAATAAAATGATCTTACCGATTACTTTGTTGCATCAGCGTAATAAGATCTTTATAAAGTGTATCACGATTTTTCTCACAAAAACCATCAATATTGTATAAAACCTGAATTTCAAAAAGTTTAGAAAATTTTTTTATTTGCTTGTTAATTTATTATGAGAGCTGTTATGGTAATCATTAAATAATACGAACTTATTAATTTATTAATATTACATGGAATTTTTCTTTTCATTTTTTGAAATTTATCATTTTTAAACTCTTGTTATAGCACAAAATAAAGAATACAAAAATACATATTTGTTGAAATTTCAAAATAAACTTATAATGGAATTGCTATTTATCACTCAATTAATGTATCGCCATGCTAAATTAAATAAAAATGACAAAGTGGTGTAAATAAAAAATGAGGTTACTAATTTACTAAATTTACTCTTAAAAAATTCAGAAAACAAAACAGAAAAATAATTCTGCAATTAAATTATGAAACAAACAGTTCCAGCATAATGTTTAATAATGAAACATTGTGCGCCACTTTGATAGTGCTCATTTTGCGACATATATTTATTTAATTCAATCAAAAATTGACCATCAGCACCTTCATTTTGTGCATGAATTTGTGAGCATATGTCATCCAAAATACACATTATTCCTAAAGTTAGCAATATAATAAATATATGAAAATTTACATAATAATGTATAAAAAGTATTGCTATCGCAGTATCAATTTTTTTTTTTTTTAAAGAAAGGAAAAAGATTTACGGAAGCAAATTAAAAAGTGATAATCAATAATTTACATTTTTATATCCAAGATATCATGGTTTCTAATTAAAATAAAACTATTATTTAAGAAATAAAGAATTTTAGTGATAATGAAACTATTTTCATTGTTACCACAGTAAAAAAAAATACATCGAATAAAATACAACTTCAATTTAAGTTTTTTTATTTAATATTTTTCTTACAGAAGGCTAATTTATAGAAAGAAATTAACAAAAATACCTGGTGGTTTTCGTGATTCAAATAAATCACAAACAATTTTATTGTTGAAATATTCAATTGGTGTCCATAAAATTCCTTCGCTAATATATTCTTCTTGTTCCGCTTTCAATGTTAATTCAATAAATATTTGTTGCAATTTCTCATTTACAAAATTTATGCTAAAAAGAAAGAAAACTTTTTTTTGTTTGTGTTAAATTAGGGGAAATAAATAGGAAGGAATATTATTTATGATAAAACAAATATGAAATATATGAATTAAAATAGAAAAATTTGTTTTTTTACTTTGCTGCTGTATCTAATCTAAACAATTTTCCTATTTTCTTTTTCTCTTTTGTTGTTAAATTTTAATAAATATATATTGATATGTGATAAATAATTTTTAACGTTACAAATATTCGAATGCATTAAATATATTTAAGAAACGAAAGTAACTGACTGAATTAAATGTTATCTTATCTTTAATTTATTAAAATTTACTTATTATTTAAATAATATTACCAATAATACTTGTCATCTTTCTCGGCATAAAAAATAAACAATGAGAAATTATTATACAAAATGAAATTAATTAGTAACATTGAGTATAAGATTAAATAATGAAATTTATGAAATTTTTATTTATTTTTTAAATTGAAAGTTTCGCGACAGAAATCATCATCATCATTCTAGCTAATTAATTTAAAAAAAAGAAATCAACATTCATTTCATGCATCAATTTACCAAAATTGTTCGAAACCATTATTATCAAATATTTCAAAACCATATATATCAAGAATACCAATTGATAACGGTTTTCCGGATAATCGTGAAGAAATCTTCATTCCTTCATTAACAGATGCAACTAAAAATATGAAAAAAAAGAAATGAGGAATCATAAAAATAAATTTTTAATAATCATAACAATAAAAAAAAATTTTTGAATAAGAGAAAATTTAAAAAAATAAAAAAATATTTTCGTATAATGGAAAAGTATAATAGAAATTTTTCATTTTTTTTCTGCAATTTTCACAAACTTTTTTTAGTTTTTACAAGAATTTATAAAAAAAAAAAATGCCTTACTTAAAAATTGAAATAGACGTATGTATAAATCTTTTGACCATGCATCACGTGTAAATTCCGCTTGTTCAACATTTAATGATACATTAATTTGCTCACGTTGTTTACCCCATTTACTTTCCATTTGTCGACTTGTTAATTTTTCACGTATTGCTGATGATTTTAAGCCAAGTAAATAAGCTGGGAATTCTAGAACTAAAATATTAGTATTAACTAGAGAAAATATATGAAAAAATATTTAAAAAAAACAACTAAAATGATTTTAATAATTCATTTTATTTACATATTTTCTTAGAAGATTATGAAGACTAAATGAATGTTTCTTAGAACATGAATAATACTAATTTATTACTTATTTGAGGTCCATTAATGTAATATTTAATGATGATATAACTTATAATAAAAATATCGTCCAGCATATATCATTTAAATGAAAGGAAAAATGCTTCAAATATCAACAATACTTTATTACAATTTAAATACCATTTCAATATTTTCATTATTTTCAAAATATTTTAAAAAAATTCCTTTTTTAATTTTATTTTAAAAATTTGCAATATTTTCAGCACACTAATTTTTTTAAAAAAAATAATATAAAATAAAATTTTGAATAATTATTGTAAATTTAACTTATATTTTTATAACATTTCTATATGAACACTTACAACGTTCATCAGCGATAGCTGCAAAATTATTACTTTCAACAAATGTGATATTACCAATATGCATAATGGCTGCAACAAGTTGTAAAATCTCCATTTGTTTTGTTGTTTCAATACCAATAATATCCATTGCATGCTAAAAGTATTAAAAGAAATGAAATTTTAAGTAAATCAGTAATAAAGATATTATTTGAAATATATGAATAAATTATGTTTTAAAAATAAAAATGAAAAACATTTCAATAAATGAAAATATTTGCTTTATTAGTAAAATAATACTCAAGCGTTTTGAGATCAAAAAAAAAAAAATCTATTTAAAATTATTATCAATCACATTTGAATAATTTTGGAGGGGAAATTTAATTATGATGTATTTATCTTGCAAATAGAAAAAAAATATTGCAAAAAAAAATTAATTAATTATGTATGAGAAGAAAGTAGTAAAAATAAGATGAATTAAATTTGTAATACTTTTTTTATTTGTTTGTTTATTTTTATAATAGTCTTTTATTTTTGAATATTTGATACAAATTTCATCTCTAGTAAATATTTTCACACTTACGAGAATTTCTTTAAATCCTTTAGCATCATCAGTTCCATCAATTTTATAGCAACCACTATGATTCAGATAACTGTAATAATCCAATGCTGTGATACCCAGATTATCTCAAAAAAAAAAAATTTATCAAAATTGATAAAAATTCATATTGTATGCAGTTCTTCTCATATTTGCACTTATTAAGTAATAATTAATTACTGCACTGATATCGCATCAGTCTTTACAAGCATTTGTAGTATTAGTATCTCATCACATAACAATTTATATTAAACTACAAAACGATACTATTTTAATTAATAGTTGGAAAAAAAAGCAACTTTTTAACTTTTCGTCTGCTCCAGCGCATAGTTGATAAAATATATGAAAATTACGCTCTCCCTGGTTCTGATGAACTACTCGAGATTTCTCGAGTAAAAAATTTGATACCTACAAGTTATATTATCAAAGTTACGACTATTTAAGGAAGATAATGGGAAACTTGTTGTAATGAATAAGTTGAACTTGTAGGAAGTATATAGCTTCAATAATACTACAATATTAAATATACATTGTAAAGAACATACGAGTAATCGCGATATTTCTAATTAATTATATGTTTCATAAATACAGCGAAAGAGAAAATGAAAAAAGGAAAGAAATTGACCTTTCCGCCAATTGGTTCACCGCCTCGACTGAATACAATTTCAACATATTTACCAAAACGACTAGAATTCCAATTTCTAACAGTGGCGCTATTACCGAATGATTCCAACAATGGATTTGATTGCAAAATGACGTCTTTCACGTGCTAAAATTTGAAAAAAATTTTTCATTGAATGTAAAATTTAAAGTTACCAAACTAAAAATACAAAAATAACCTATAATTAATCTTTAATTAAAAAAAAAAATTTTTTTATAAACTAGAAGAAAAAAAAAAATGTTTTATTAAAGAAGTTCATGAAATATTCCATTGCTTTATTCTAACTTAAAAAAAACTATATCCTTAATTTAATCTTAAATTAAAAAAATTAAAGCAATTTTTATATATTCATAAAACACTTTCTTTTTATACTTTTCAAATTCGAAACTTAAGCTTATTTCTTTCTTTTTTAACCGACAAAATTTTTACGGTAGAATTTTTTAGTTCTGCTATTTTTAGTATCATATGTCTACAATAAACGATCGAATACAAAATTATGAGCTGATAAATGCAAAAATAAAAAAAAAAAAAAAAATACAATTTATTGAAAATTTATAAACCACACAAAACAAGATTAATGCTTGCTAAAGTTTCAAATCTTCCCAAAAAATTGAAGTTATCAGGGCGAAAAAAAACTTTTTTTGAAAACCTGAAGTCGCTGTCTACCACCGGATATTCGAGCAATATATCCCATAATATATTTAGCTTCAACCGTTTTTCCAGCACCACTTTCACCGCTTATTATAACACATTGACTTTCGTTATCTATTATCATATTCCTGAAAAATATCTGTGAAATATCAAATTTATCAATAAATGTTCATTCTTATAAAATAACCGTATGTAATATCAACTATTAATACTTGATCACAGTGAATTAGACAAAATTATCACACTAAATATCAATTTCATAGCAAACTTTGCTAAATTATAGAAATGACGAAAATATTAAATAAATGAATTGAAATTGAGAGAAAAATTTAAATTGATTTAAAAATAAGCAAAAAAAAATTTTTAATGTTATAAAGGTATCGCAACTAAAAAAAGAATGAAAAAAAGAAATTCGGAATTATGCAAATTTTATAAAATAAATATTAAAAATTTCATAAATTTAAATTAAAGATTGAAATTTTCACCTAAACATATTATCAGCAACGGCATAAATATGCGGTGGGTTTTCATACTGCGCTGCTCCCTGATATAATTCTATTTCTTTATTTGTAAAATATGGCATATCTTTGAATGGATTAACTGCTATAAGTACTGGCCCAATGTATGTCTGAAAATTTCCTCCTTTTTTTTTAGAAGAAACTTTTCGCATTTAAAAGTTTTATATAATTTAATGACAATTTTATAAACATTTTCAGATGACATATGTGTGGAAAAAATATAATAAATTTAAATATTACTTAATTAAGTACAATTTTTTAAAAGAAGCACATTTTTCTAGAAACTAAATTTAGACATATAATTAATTATATAAATAACAATTTATTAGCCATATTGATTATAAGTTAATTATCAATTTATAACGATAAAAAAGAAAAGAGTGGAATAAATAAACTGATATAATTATTGCTAATAGCGTAACTATAACACTTACAAAAATAGAATTAGCCATAAAGCGTTTTCGCATATTATCGACGACTGATTGTTCATTAAGTTTATTAAGTAATACCATATCATCCACGCCGACATGTTGAATATTTACTTTTGATTGCCAGTGAAATGCCTAAAAAAAGAAAAAAAAAGTACTGCGTAATATATATTGAAATTAAGAATATAAATCAAATGTAAAAATAAATATAAATCTAAAAATATAAACATAGGAATATAAATATACGATATAAATATAAATAAACAAATAAACATATTATGTATATAACATCGTACTAAATGTGGAAAGTTTTTATGGTTCACGTTTGTAAATCTAGCACTGTTTTCTACGGCACGTAAACAATAACTGATAAATACACGTGAGTGAAGGAATGGATAAGTTTTAGCATACACTACAGTTAAGAGAAATGGTTTAACATTTATTAGTATTCAGTGATTTCTTAGCTTATCACTAAATTAGTAGCATTAGTAAGAGCAATTAGTTTAAAAGAATTTTTCAAATTTTATTCCTCTTAAAATTTATATTTCACGAATTATTTTCAACTTTGCAACAGAATTCAGAAATAGTTGTATAGTAAATCTAAGAGCTATTACAGAATTTAAATCAGTTAATCAAAATGCTTGAACAATCTGACATACATTGCCTAAATTATCCATAGAAAAATTATACCTATTGAAAATATTTTTTTTTTTTTTATATTTAATTATACTTTCCTTATGCTTAATTTTATCAAATGGAAAGAATTTTTAACAAAACTTTTCTTGACAATCTATTAAATTATTTATTGATAAAATTCAATACAAATTGATTTCTCACTATGTAAATAATAACATATATCATTCATTGTCGATTATGAATGATAAAATTTGTTACTCATTCTAGCAACAACAACTGGTATTCTAAATGTTTGCAACTCCAATAAGCTAATTATAATTTATTAAGAAAATTTTCCGCAACAATAAGACGATCTATATCAAATGTAAAAAGAAGTAAGATAAATTACTGCTATTTCATTTCTTTTTTACACATTAACGATATTTGAGATACTATTGCTAGTTAATAAAAGCTTATCAATATCAAACTTATCACCATATATTGGTTAAAGTTTTCAGTGCATATTAACCGAAATTTAAAAATTTTTAAAGTTTAAAAACAAAAATATATATATTAATATATATGTAAGGTGAATATATAAAATTAGGATGAAAAAACTTTAGAAAATATATATAATAACTTAAATTAAATAAGTGACACAAATTTCCGAAGGAACAAAACAAATAAATTATTCAAATTAGCTGAAATGTAAATGAAAAATAAAAAAAAAAATTTTAAATAAAAAATCCCGATCAAAATAGCTTTAATAATAACATTCCTTCGAGTGATTTTGGAAATATTTTTTAAATAAAACAAAATTTTTATATAAACATTTGCTAATTAAATGTCTTGGCACATTGTAACATTATAAAGATATTTGATATGCTAATTTTTTTTTACCTTTTTACCTTAACTCTTATAAAGTTAAAATAAAGATAAAAAATTTAAATGACAGTAGCATTAATAACTGTAATTAATGAGTCATTTGCAAATTTTGTTTTTGAAAAAAATTAGAATTGAATTCCTCTGGAAATTTTCAACCAATATTAAAATAACACTAAAGAGAAAGCAAGCAATCAGATAGAATGAGAAATTTTTTTTAAATTAAAAAATACTTGAAAATTTAAACTTACCATTACTACATCGTTCATCAGATTAAAGTTTACTCCACCGAATAGACATTAATTTTTCAAAATAAAATTGCTGAAATGAAAAAAGGAAAGTGCAAAAAAAAGTAGAATTTTGGAATTTGTTTATGACGAAAATACAAAACCTAATGCTATTAATTAATATTCGAAAAATAAAAGAAACAGGAATAATGATTGTTCGACTGTTCAGCAAATTTTTTCTTCCAATAATTTCTCTCTCTCTCTCGCTCTCTTTCCCATATGAGCAAATTTAACAGGTTTATAAAAACAGGACATGTAATGACTACTGGTCAAGTATTTCACTTTCAGACATTAGGTATGATTCTGACCATATGCCTTAGTTAATTAAGTCCAAGTCATCGAATAATTTGATTGTAAGAAAATAAAGATTAGAAGCAGTGATAAGCAAGTGATGCACAATTAATCCACCATAAAAAGTAACCTTTTGACCCCACCCTCTCTCCTATATGGTTGACATAACCAAACACTCCCTTTATTCATGCTTTTTGACCACATTCTCTCATTCTGACCAGCCTCTTGTCCACTATTTTAAATGTGAACAATTATGAGGAAGAAGAAGGCTAACGATGACCCTCAATTGATGATGACAATGACATACAAAGTTTCCTAATGACACCATGCCAGCAAAGCTAATTGAACGAATTCCATAATATGTGATGAGATTTGTCATATTTCAATCAATTTTAATTGAAACTTTTCCGATTTCCTTTCATGATCTTTTCAAAATTTTCAATTGGTTGTAATTGTCATACGTAAAATGAAATACAAAATAAATAATTATATTTCAGTCAATGATAAAAAATCATATCAAATAAGAATTTGAAAATTTAGATATGAGAGGATTAGTGCAAAGAAATGACTGAATTATTTTGTGATAACATGCAATCAATATGATATAAAAAAACTTATCAAGGGTTAAAGGTAAGCAATTTATCACAAAGCTATTATTGCTAGATACTTTTGTGTCAATTAATATTTCTGACAAAGTAAGATTCTGATAAATATATGACTATCCATTAAACAAAAAAAAGAAACCTTTCAATTTACTTTCTCAGACAATCAGTCCAGAATTCCTACAATTTTAAAAATGGAATCATTTTTTTAAATAATCTAACTGAAAATTTTTAATATAAAATCATATATCCTAAATAAATCTAACAGTAAAATATTTTATTGCCATATATTTTTTAAAGACAATGTTTAAACTAAAATGTCTTCCAGTTATATAATTTAAATTATCTATCAATTAAATGCATCATTATCCCAACAATTACAAATTAATTTATCTATTTTTAAGTTACATAAAACGAAACAAACAAAAAAAAAAAAAAAAAAAAAAAAATGCTGGAAGGATTAAGAAAAATGAAGGAAAAAATATGAAAGAGAAGATGATACAAAACAGGTTTTACTAATAAATGAACTGGACAAAGAAGAAAAAAAAAATACCAGCAAAAAATTTCATTTAAATTAAACCTGAAAAATTTTAACGAATGAATTGAAGAAAGTGAAGAAGGAAATAAAAAATAAAAATGAAAGTAAATGAATGATTTATTATTTCAGATGATTTCTATTTAGTAATATTAATCAGAATTAATGATAACAGAGAGTATATTTTATTGATTGCTATAAGTAAGAACTTTTATTCTTATTTGAATATTATTATTATATTTATTAGTTTGAATCATAAGTCTGATATAATTAAGTTTGATAAAATTGATTAATTAGTATTTGGCATCTTTGCTGCAACTGTATGGTGGCTAGGATTATGCATGAAGTAAGTTTTATATTGATGATAAAAACGTGCTTGACATGTAGTTTCATACGTTGAATACGTTTAATGCAAGATAATACATTATTTTAACATCAAAATTTCTTCGTTCAATTCTTATCCACTGATTAAAGAATAAATTTTAAATTTCCTCAAATAGATTATACAGTTTTTCAAATTATACAGTTTTGATGATTCATAGCTGTATATAAACTAGGACAACTGCATAGATGGATACGACATCGTGAAATAAACGAAATTTGGAATTAATTATTGAATATATTACATTTAAATATAGCAAAATTTGATGCTTTCATTGTCACGAAATTTAAAAATCAAATCCAAATTTAAGGAAAGCTTAAAATTTAATTCAAAGAATTGCAGCATTTTGAGGAAAAGAGAGAAAAATGAAGCGACACAAAAACGGCAAATGACTAATAGTGGTAGTGATGACGCGTGATCGTAACATGGCGGTGGCAGTAATGGATGATCGTCGTGCCGTCATCATTTGACAGGGAAGGAAGGGTAAAAGCTATCTCAAAGCAATGTGGAAGCATGGATGACTCATCCCATAAGATTTCGATTTAAATATCAATGGTGAGTAATAACTGCATTGATTGGAATAATTCCTGATTAAATCACAGATCACAAAATTTATTAATTGATTGAATGATGCCTATTGATTAAAAAAGGGATAAGCAACGATTTCTCAAATTTTATGCTAATTCAATCAAAAATTAACACTTATTATAAACAACAATTAGCATTACAAGTGTGACGCTTTAATATGTATAAGAAGTTCAAAATGCTATTGATTGATTTCGAATATGAAAATGATGAAAGGAAGAGCGTAGAGTGCAAAAGAGAGATGATATTATTGATTTTGGAAAAATGAGAGAATTTCAAAATTTCCTGATTTCAGATGAAAGTTTTTTAAAGACCTTTGCTTTAAAATTTGAACAATTTTAGGCGATGACACTGATAAATAAAAAAATAAATAAACAAAAATAAATTTACCCAGATATCATTAGCCTAATTATGTATTACTGTTAATTTGTTAATACAATTAACGATATGTTTTTAAAATTGTCATTCTTTAATTTAAAATTTCTAACCTGCTACAAATAATCAAATGAAATAAAATTCTTGCTGTATCCATCACTTAAATTATTATCCAACTGAGGTATTGTTTTTAGTGAAAAAAAAAAAAAAAAAAATTATTTAGTTAGTTTTTTTATTAGAAAGGCTCAAACCACTGCTTTCTTTGCAAAAAAAAAAAGAAAAACATCTGATCGTTTTTTGGCAAAAAAAGTGGTTTTTTCCCTCAAATGAATTATTTAAACGATTTTCATTTTGCAAGGGGAAGTTAAATCAAAATTATATCGTGTCAATTTTTTATCAAAAGATTATTGAACGCTAATTTTAATATTTACAAAATTGATGAAATTTATTTATAAATAAAATTAATGTTTGGGTATAATTATGTAATGTAAAATATTATATGAATTTAAAAATGATTTTTGATTACGTTGTTGCAATTTTTTTCAAGAAATTTTTTTTTTTGAAAAGAAGCTATCAAGTATAAATTATTTGTACCTTAAAGAATTTACAAAATTGCAATTATTTATCATATTTTTACAGTTTGAAACGATAAAAGTACAAAATGCGATATAAAAAGAATTGAAATGCTAAACTTAAATTTTGCAAAAAAAAATCCTTTTCACCCTGTGACTAACTGAATGTAATTATATTCGAACTCATTTTTTAATATTGAAAAAGCTGATTTGAATCGTTTACATTTGAAATGAAATTTTGAGATGAAAAATAAATGAAATTAAGTTCTTGAATATAAAAAAATAAATTTAAGTTATATATATATATAACAAGAGAGAGAAAGAAATGATAATCCAACAATTAAAAAATGAAGTGCGATACTAACTGGTTGTGAGATGATTTTTGTATAATCACCAGTCAAATTGCTTGATTAAGCAATTTGATAAGCACTGTTAATAGTACATGAAAAAATGAAATGGAAAAGAAAAATGATACAATGATAGGAAAATTATTTAACGGATAAACTGTTATTGTAACAATCATTTCGAAATTTTATTTTATTCTTTTTTTTTTGCTTTTTATCCATCATTTGAAGAAATAAGACTAACTGGTTTTCTTTATAATTTAAAAATGTAAGTTTTCCGATAACAAAAAAACTTATTTGATTTTACTAAAATTTAAAATTAAAAATTGTCTAATTTTATTTATAATTTAAAAACATAAAACTGCAAAGCTTTTTTTTTTTGCATAAATTAAAGTTAAAATTTGAAGTTGTAATGGAATATATTTAAAGAATTTCTTTTTGAAAACTAATTAATCATTAATTATTAATTACATAAAATGAATAGTGATGTTTTCAAATGAAAAAAAAAGTGAAGAAGCAGAAAGAAAAATGAATAGTAAAAGTAATTACTATATAATAGTAAGAAAGAAATAGAGGTGACTCAGCGAAAAGTAAGGGATATTTTCTCATTGCTAAAATGATTCACACCAAATAGTAGCCATTGGTCATTAATCTTTGATTCTATGTACATTAAGCAGATCGATGAGGCATGTGTAATCCGTCAGTAATTGTTGTCAGCCTGTAATGGCTATTATTTGAGTACTCTTCCGCTGAAATTATTCCTCATTGGATTTAACCGAAAAATAACATTTCATTAGCATAAAAGTAGTAAATTTTAGTTATAGTTTAAATAAATTATAAAAGATTAGCCTTCATCCAAAGATTGATACAAATAATTAACTAGCAGTAGCAATTATTGATTAATTTATCAATTAGCTTATTAATTAAGTTGAGATAGTGTCCACTATCGATTTCACTTAAAACTTCTATAATATCAATATAAAGCTTTCTTTTTTAAAAAAAAAAAAAAAAGAAAAAAAAAATGATAATTACAAATTGTTTGTTGCAATTTTGAGAAATGGTAAAAAAAAAGGTGTGGGTAAAGACTGTCATAAATTGCTGAGGACGAATTTTGGTAATAAATTCAAATTCAAAATACATAATTAATCACTAATGGCCATTTATAAATTTGGCATTGCTATATTAGAAGAGGCAAATTGTTAAAGCATGATTAGTAACTGCTAATGATATATTTAAATCTAAATATAATAAATTAAGTATGGTTAATAATTCTGAAAAAAATTCATTAAGCATAACTAATAACGAAATTACTACACTCACTGTCTTATTTCATTTAATTTAGTTGAACATTTGTTTAAATCTAATTGATAATGTAATCTCCATGGAATTAAATGACCAAGTATCATCGATCATTTTGGTCTTACGATGCTACCATAATACTTCTGGGCAGATATATCTTTGTCTTAGGGAAGGAGCTTGCATGTTAATTCTGCGATTGTGGGCTAAGTTGATGGTATGTCCTCGGTTAGGATCCCGCAAGCCACGCAGATCTTTGTTAAAGAGTCAGACAAAGCGAGTGTGCATGGGTAGAATTTAGGGTACTATCCAAATAGTGGCACCTGATCGACTACAGATTAGTGCGTCAAAGGTGCATTCCCGGTGTTTGCCATATCCGAGTAAAGCAGAGATGACCGCCTTGTGCGATGCAAACTCAGTCTCTTTCAGGGCAAACCTAAAAGAGATAACGCACGAAAAGGCCTAAAGCAATAATCTTGAAATTATTGCAATAAAAAACAATTTCCGGGCAAACTTCAAACTGGACTTGTAGGTCACTTTATGGATTCCTTCCCTGCAACCTTCTGGCTAATCATCAAAAATAGTATCCGGCAGTCTCCACAGAATGCCTAGGGTTCACATCAAAGAAATCCAAAGACTGATTCGATGAAGACAATCTACAGACTAGGCATTGTTACCCAAGGAAATTCACTGCCACCACTTATGACGCCTTGAATGTTTGCATTAGGTTGTTGATTTCACACACCTTACTTAGCTACACTGCCCAGATGACCAATATATCGCCCTCAACAAGTAAGCTTACTAGTACAGAGGTCACGTTACTTAAGAGACAGATATACTGGACGGGTCACGTCTTCAAGATGGAAGATTATTGTCTCTCTGAGATCCTATGCTACAGCGAACTCACCACGCAGTAAGTTTGTGTCCCAAAAAAGAGGTACAAGAATTGCTTGAAATAATCTCTTAGTTTAGGACACATTGACCAAGGTGTCATTGGTCCACTTTGGCCTCTAATCAAGCGACACAGAGACACAGCATCCATGGCACTGATAAAGCCCTTAAACATGCCTGTCTCATTGAGAAAAGACAATGCATTAAGAATTATCCAATCTGTTGTTCTACTGCAACTGGACTTACCTATCTCTCCTTGACTTCCTTAACTGTCAACGTCTGCAACAAGTGTGGAGTAGATTTCTTCATAAATTTTCTTTCATGAAATAATAATGATAGTGGTAATGGTAATAATAATGATCACGATAATGATAACGACAATAACACAGTGATAATAGCAGTATCATTTATGCACAAAGATATTAGTTAATATAAGCAAAAAATTATATTACTACAAAACAGATGTTCTGATATTATTATTGTTATATTGTTCTAATATTATTATATTATTATCATTATTATTGCAAAATTATGCAATAAAAAGATTTAGCTAAATAAAATTTTTAAAAAAATAATTAAAACTAATGTTTCAGATGATTCAACAAGTCGCCTGGGTAGCGCAGTTGGTTAGCGCGTCAGTCTCATAATCTGAAGGTCGTGAGTTCGAACCTCACCTCGGGCATCCCTATTTGCAAATGTTAACTTTTGCTTTGCTGGATTTACGCAAGCGTAGTGGAATATTGAGCACTCTAATATATGATTACAGTAAATCTCTTTAACCAGAATACTAACGAGATGAGAAATGGGAATAACAGTTAGTATGAAATCATTTGCATATTGGTGAACAAGGAAGAAACCAACCGATTTATATTGGTGAAATTGAGGACAGATAATAAGTTTAGTGATAATAAAAAAAGGACAAAACTGATCATTTAGGTGTTAAAAAAACAAAGAAAAAAGACAATTAACAACAAGAAACAAATTGCCATTAAAAGCTTGGATGATTACAAAAGATGGAAGATGGAATGCCATTAAAGGCCTGACTGTCACAATAGATGGAATGTCATAGAGGCCTAAATGGCCAGAAAAGGTGGAATATATTAAATCAAGAAAGAGGAATTTGTTAAGCTAGCAATGCATAAGAAATCGTGATTAAAAATTAACGATGGGAATAAAATCGAATTGGAAAAAAAATAAAAACAGAAAGCTAAAATTTCAAAAAAAAAGCTTAAACTATTTCACATTTTCAAATTTGATTTTACAAAAAATTCATATGTCTACTTGTGTGGCCTGAGTAGCGCAGTTGGTTAGCGCGTCAGTCTCATAATCTGAAGGTCGTGAGTTCGAACCTCACCTCGGGCAGCGCCGGTTTTTGTACTAATAAAACTACTGAATAGTAGTAGTAATTAAATTCTTACCAAATTAAATTACCAAAATTTAAATAAGTATTTGTGAAGAAGAAAAAAAGATAGAAGCGCGAAAAAGTAAGAGTATATGTGTTGATAAAATAGTTGTTACATAAGCTTAATTTCCTCATTCGGTGATTTGAGCGAATATTAACCCTTAGCTTGTTCAGTATATTTGATTTTTATTCTAATTTAATATAACAAAGTAAAAATAGAAGAAATGAGTGAAAAAAAGAAGCAAACATAAGAAATACTGAATTGTTGATACGTGATAAATGATACTTATAAATTATGATAATTCAATTAAATGAATTTATTATTCCATTACGATTATTATCATCAGATCATCTTTTTCAGTGAGGTTTTTTTCTCTTTTTTCTGTTGATAGCTTGATATTGAGAAATGAAATATTATATGTAATAATGCATTGATAAGAATATTCTTGAAATATTATATGCATAATAGTATATCAATAATTATGAACTCTGATACTTCCGGATTTGGCGTCCCTTTATCTCAGTAGTTTCCTCCGGTTGAAGAATAAACTTCTGATTTTGCTTTCATCGTAAGTCCGTGTACCACCTATTTGTACCTGGGCCAAAGGTACAAAACAACTTACGCAACTTAGAAAAAAAACTTCTTGTCCTAGTGTCACCAAATGTGGTGCCTCATAACTACCGATTTACTCATGTCAAATCTGGAAAATTAAATCAACGTACAAAAGTGGTGATAAAAATTTGAATAACAATGGGACAAAATTTTTTGAAGGATATTTTTTAATTTCTTAGTAATAAAAAAATTTTTTTTGTGATAAAAAAGAAAAATTAAATGCTATTTTTTTAGCGACAGCATTTAATTTTTTAGAGGTGGTATTACTAAAAGCATCTGCATAATTTATTTTTTTTTAAAATCATAATTTGTATTACACAACCTTTTTAGCTCATGTTTCTTTGCAAATTCATTTGAAGAAAAACTTTGTTTATACATTAATTGGAAAACAAATCTATTTGATAATAATAAAAAAAAAAAAATTAACATGAAAATTAAGTTTTTGAATTTGATTTTATGCATTCATTCCACCCTTCATAGATTTTCAATCGCGTAACAAAAAGAAATGTGCAGTTGAAATGCTCGAATTATCATATTTAACTGGCGTTTTTATATTTAATAAATCTTGCATCCATTTCACTTCTGAAATAAACAAAATTTGCATGTTTTTACCTGAAAAACATAAATTTTCGCCTTATAACAGTTCTAATGTCTACTTATTATATTATATAAAAAGTAAGTAATTGTTAGTTAAAAATTTTTTCGTCAATATTATCTTTACCACACAAAGTTTTATCACACATTTATCAATATTATCGGTTGTACTAGCATCAAAAATCCTTTCAGCTACCAAAGCCTGAGATCAGTGAAAAATTAGAGAATTAACAGTTTACTAATTAAAAATGATTGCAATAACTCAACAATTCATGTATTATTTGCTTACCAAATTCGAGAACTAACAATTAATATCATAAAAATATAAAACAGTTACCTAATTAAAGAAAAATGCTTCGAGCAAACAATTTATCAAAGACTAACACTTGTTGCTTATTAAATTCTTCAGTCTAATTTAATTTGATAATAATTTAATTATTGATTTTTCCATTTTTTTTTTAAATAAATAATTTTTTAAGCATACGATGAGGATTTTCAGGATCAAAGCCTATGACATTTGATGGACAATAACCGGAATCTTCCTTGTTTTGTGCAACAAAAAGAGCTAATGCAAAAAGCATTAGCAGTAAAATAACAAATATCAAAGTTCCTATTGCCAAAATTTTCATTTTGTTGCCTTTCTGAAATAATTTGTGTTAAATAAAATTAGCTTTGTAAATGCTAATTTTCAGTATACAAATAATGCAATAAAACTTTGCAATTAATCTGATATATTAGGAAGTCTATCTGATATTAAAATAATCCTTGTAATCACTTAATCATTTATGAAGTTAATTTAAAATTTTAATGATGGTATTTAATTATTTTTCCATAAGATTTGTTTTTTTAATATGATAAACTTTTTCAAAGTTTATTGCTTACTTATATAAAAATCTCTTTGGTATTAACTTTAATTTTTGCTAATTTCTTTTTTCTTTTAAATTTCAGAATTTAAAAAAAAAAGTGCAACTTTACCTACCAGATGATAACGATGAAAGGATTCGATGACATATGGTATCGAAATATGATCTGCGCGATCAACCAAGGCTAAATTTGAAAAATCTGAATCCAATGGCCATGCATCACGATTAGTTATCTGAAAACTCAAAATACATTTATCCCTGCAAACTTTTCTTTTTTTTTCTTTTTAAGGCAGTCACAAAATCAATTATTATCTCTGTTTAGAGTTTCGAGAAATATTTTTGCAAAATAAATTTAAATAGGAAAAATACTACAATAATCTAAAACCATTAAAACTAATTAAAATTAATCCAACACCTTATACTCATGTTATAATTATATATATGCATATATAAAATTATAGTACCAATAACTTTAAAATTTGCAAAGCATTTGATGGAATTCGATTCGAATGAATAATCTGTCGCCAGCTATCATTGATATATAAATTTGTTGTTGTTGAATGACCACTTTGTAACATACCAAATGATAATGTTTTTTCATTGTCATCCTAGAGTGATATGTTGTGTAAAGTATTTTCAACTTTCAGTTTTCATTTTTAAAAATGCACCATTTACAAATCATTTTTCATAAAAATTTCATGAAATCTATGGAAATTTTATGAAATATTATCAAAATTTCGACTATTTGATTATACATTCAAATAACTGATTTATTATTCAATCACTTCATTTCATTTGATAAATTTATTTTTCCTACCCAAACAATATTATATTATTTGCCAAAAAAAGTAAAGTCTAACTTTAAACATTAATCAATTTTGCTATTAACTGTGAACAAAATAAACCATAATAAATTAATGGTAAATGGTGAAAAAACGAAAATTATTCCAACTTGAGATTTATCAGTTGATTGTGTTAGCTGTTGATAACTGTCATATTTTGATAATGTTTGTTCATAACGTTGTTTGGCATAATATAGAACCTTAATATTGTAATTTATTTTGTTTCATAATATTGGAATAATTATAAAAGAAATAACTAAAAATAATTAACATTTTCGTATTATCAAAACATGTTTAATTAGCCAGCAATTTAATCTGCTAAACATTTTTGAAGAAGGAATAATAAAAATTTATATTAAAAAAAGCAATGAAATGATAGAAATTTAATTCTATGAGTTTTTCTCATTTAATTCCATGCTATAATGTTAGATGTATTTTTTTAAAGAAATTTTTTAATTTCTACTAGTTTTTGATTTTTCTTTTTTTAAAAAATTTTTATATCAAACAGAATTTTTTAGAAATAAAAAATCTTCAGCAATGTAAATACTTTCAAATCTTTCTTTTCATCATCAGTTGGATTATCTTTTGTCAATATGGAATTGATATATGATTCAGCTTTCTTAAGCCATGTCATATCACCATGTCTATCAAGAATATCCGGAAAAAAGTTATTAGTGTTACATGCTGCTATTGTGCGTGGATCCATTTTATGATTTAGCATTGTTTTTGATAACACCGTTTCGATATCACTAAAAATTAACAATTTGATAGCATTACATCGTTTTTCTTGCAAATTGTTTTGAAAATAAAAGAAATAATTCATAACAATTTCTAAAATTGCAAATATTTTTTTTTTTTCTTAATATGACTAAGAGTCCTTTTATTTCTGAATTATAAAAAATTATGCCTAAAAATTACGCAAGTGCGAAATCAATTCGTTTATTGAGTTCTTTATTGAATCGAATAGCAAATTGTTCATCACCACGAACACGTGTATCTCGTACGTCTGGTATCGTCGCTTCAGTTAAACGATGATCGTATTCATCATGACGTGGTTGCATCTTCCAATCATTTTGCCATGAATTTGGTGACTTAAAATAAAATTTACCAATTAATATTAATTAATAATCATACTGTATTTCATACTGGAATGTTTTTGTTTTTCCTTTTTTTTTTTAACTCATTAATGATTATTGACTAAATATGAGACATACATAAGAATTTAATAATTTGATATTAAATCATGCAAATGAATATTGCATTAAACTAAGTTGCATAATTAATAAAAGTAATTAATTAAATACACACTGTAGTGGCAGTTGACATTTTTGTAACTGTAGAATATCCCGAAACTGATTCAATGCTAGGAGGATAGTCACTAAGTGGCCAATGGTCAAGTGGAATCTGAACGAAAAGGTGGAAAATTACTCTCAAATTAGTATCTATAGCTAAGTAATAGAATAAATAAATGAAAGAGTTAAATATATCATAAGTTAATAATAAATTAAACAAAAGAATTATTCAGTAAGTTAATAAAATAATATAATTAATAAAGATTCAATAAATGAACAAAGAAATTGCTGGAAAATAGTGGGAAAAAAGAAATGAATCAAAGAATGGATAAATATAAATGCACAAATGAATAAAATTAATTGTGCCTTTTAATTCCAAGTTCATATGTTTATCAATTAAAAAATTAATAATTTTTATTCCAGCATAAAAAATTAACTCGTACCTGTCCTTTGCTATATACCTTTGTTTCCCCAAAAATTGTTGTCGCTTGTGGTTTATACATATATTTGGAAGGCATAATGCGTAAATGTCTCAATTTGTCACCTTCTTGCTAAAAAAAAAAAAATGAAAAAATTGCTTTTTGAAAAACTTTTTGTAATTTTGGTTTTTTTTTTTTTTCATTTTGAAAATAATTAGCAATTTTTTAAAGCCAAATTTAGATTACAATAATTTTTACAAATAAAATAGGATGATTTATTCAAAAATAATTGCTCATTTTAATGATTTTAACTGAAAATAATTCGAAATTTAGATTTCATAAGTCAAATAATAATGCAAGTTTGAATTATTAATATTATATAAAATAACCGAAGCTACAAATGGAATATGTATTATGTTATTACGCTAAGGCTGAGAAAAATTATTGCAACGTTTAAATTAAATAATCATTTAAATTGGTTATTAGGCCTCTTTTTTAAAGAAATATCAGAAGGATTATTGAATTGCAAAATAATCGTTAAAAAAAATAGTTGGAAATGAAATAATGAAAGAACTCACAACAGCATAATTGATATCATCGTAAATAATATGTAAGCCATTTTTGTTAAGTACTCGCATAGAATAGTAATGAAAACCAACCCAAATTGGATAATCAATTAGTTCGTTGCATAAATCCGATACTGTTACATTTTTGAAAGCTATTAACCTATTTCAAAATTTTTTTTAGAATTATTAAATATTGTTATCAGTGATAAAATTTTTTTGAATAAAAAGTTTTTGATAATATACTGAAAATTCGAATAATATACTTAAAATCTAACTTTAGCGAAGGAACTTCAATCATTTAATATCACAAAATATTATTAGTATCAATTTTAGCAATGATAAATTTTGATTATTTCATAATTTTTAAATAATAAAATAATATAAACAATAACGAAATTCCGATAGAGTAAACTTTTTTTTTTTCCTTTTTCATAAATAATAGAACATTTTTTATTTAAATTAGCATAATTAGGTACATATTGTTGAATAAATGCAATATATTCTCTGAAATCACTATGCTATCTGATAACATTTTTCTTAAAGGCTTTACATTTTCATTTTTTCCTATTTTTTCTCTTTTTTATTCGTTTTTTTGCTCTTTTCCAGAACCTTATATTTTTGGGATTACTAAGCTACTTAAAAAATTTTTGAAGAAACGATCAAATTGAATTTTTTTTTAGCAGAGAAACAAATTAAAAACCTTGTAGCAGAGCATCGTTTAAACGGAACTGTTTTCCGTACCTTGCGCTGCAGTGCAGTATAATTACTCATCTGTTTCCGACCGTGAACCCAGCGCTTATGATTTGATATAAAAGTCTAAAAATGACCAATGACAAAAGTTTTTTGACATAGTACGTTTAATTATTCATACAAAACAATAATTATAATCTTCTTTTTTTTTTCATGAAAGTGCTAAAGAATTATGCAAATTAGTAAGAGTTTAATGAAAATATCATAAAATGTATGCCTTAATTTGTTTAGCAATATTATTCTGCTCCAAAATTTTCTCAATATTTTGAAGTCGTTTCTTCTGATAAGCTCGTATAGCAGCAATATGACGATCGATTAAGATTTTTATCATAGATGGCCCATTTTTCTAAAACTATTATTAAATTTTAAATTAATTTTTTTTGAATTTAATAATCAATCATATCTGTTATGGTAAAAAATTTTTTGACTTATTTCCGATTTGAGATCATAATTTTTTTAATTTTAACAAAAAAAAAAAGAAGGATATAATATCAATTAACTTGTTCTCTTGCGTGCGATGCCAAAAATGTTGGTAACACTTTGCGACCTTTCATTGTTCGTAAATTTGGTCGAAATCCACCACCTGTAATGTGTTGTAGTTCCAATTTACGATTATATTCACCATGCAGTACTGAAACTGTCCTAAAAAAAAAAAAGTTATTATTATTACTTTTATATTTTTTCAAATTTACCAAAATTTTAAATAACTAGTTAAAAAAAACAAACATGAAAGATAAAAATTTAGATTTTCCAACTTTTATTTTTAATAGAATGCATAAAATTTTATTTGATAAAATATTGTTACAATGCAATTAACTCTAAATTTTAATATAACTTTTAATATAAATTTTAATATAAAAATGAAGATAATTTACATACGAAATGAAATCATTAATTTCATAAAAATCACCACGATTCATAATATCATTTGGAATAACACCCATATAATATACTTTTGCATTGAAGTTATCAATTGCAAAGAGCTAAAAAAGAGAAAATATTATATTATCAATTTTTGACACTTTTTTCAAAAATTTTTCATTAATATTAATGCAATGAATATTTTGTAGTAATTTGCTTTATTCTTCCATCGTTTGCATACGAACTTTTAGATAATTAAATAAAATTAACAATTTTATTTCATACTGATAATTTTAGGTTATTAAATAATTTATCACAAAATTTTAAACAATTGTATTTCCTTTATTAATGTACGGCCGTTGAAATTATTGCAAAATTAATGCACGTTTGACTTAAGTTAATTGACTTTCTTTCTTTTCATATTTCCAACCAACAAAACTAATAAACAGGATTAAATTCTTAATTTCTTTCGTTATTCATCAGTGCTTGTCAAATGTTACACGAAACTTACATCACTGATACGTTGGTAACTTTTATAAACATACCACTGATTAGATACTTTATGAAAATAGACGCGATATGGTTCATTTTCCGGATAATAACTGTAATTTTGGCATAATTATTTTATATTTTATTAAAAATTTAAATTTACACATATTTAATTTTAATTCCTCACCGTATATTTTCAATCAAATGTAACTTTTGATTTTTGAAACAAAATGCAATACATACTTAGAAATATTTTTTATTAGCATAAATAGCACTAACTATTCAGCATAGCTATATTGTTCAGGAAGAAGTTTTAATCGAAAAAATTTAATTTTGGTAATATCTTCCGTTTTCATTTCTGTTTCAGCCTGTGATGCAATCCATTTAGAATACTAAAATTACAATTGTGAGCAATTTGGAAATAAAAATCATGCACAAAATTGAAATTGTATAAAATTAAATTTAATATCATTTTAACCTTTGAACTAATAAATAAAAGATACTTCATGCTCTTTAAGCAGGTTAATCGGCTTGTTTCGTAAGATAAGTTCTGCTTGATGATTACCAAGTTTCAGTTTTCCTTCTAATTTTGACATATTTCTGAACTACATCAAATCTATGATTTGGATATTTTATTTGTATCACATTTACCAGTTAATAATCATTTATTAAAGCACATTCATTATTTATGGATAATTGAGCATAATCATACCTTCCACTTTTTATAATATCAGTTTATTTGATATTAACAATTTATTGACTTTATTTTATTGAATTAAATAAAGTAACGCCTTATGATAAGTCCAACAGATATGTTATCTCTTTCTAATAAGTAATAATGTATCAAAAAAGTTAACAAATTGCAGTACAATGAAGTATTATTCTTTGCACAAATAGTTTAAATATAATTTTGTATTTGAAAGATTTTATCATACATAATGTAAATAATAATATCACTAGTAAAATAAAATGATAGCAAAAAACTAGAACATACAACTGCTTAACAGCAATCAAAAGATGAATGTGAAAAAGTTTATCAATAAATTTGTATAAAAATTAGCTGCAGACAAGCACAACCGCAAAGTTATTTCTACATTTGCAAATGATATGGAAATAATTACAAATTTTACATTATTTACAACTGCCATATTTAAACTATCATACTGAATGTTATTTTAAGAGTAATTTCTTGAAATCTTTTTCGTTCAACTAAATTAACTCATTTATTTAATATTGCTTATATAGTTAATTAAGAATTAATGAAATTATATTGGATAGGAAATAGTTATCAAAATGGAGCAACAAGAAATGTATTCAATAAATGTGAACTACTAAAAAAAGCGCAAGCGCAAAGGACGAATGGATGAATGTGAGAGTGATATCATTGAAAAGTTGCTAATGATTATTTATTGGTCGATTATCAAAAAATCATTTAATTTCATCAATGTTTTCAAACATTATTGAATTTAAAAAATTTTCAGATCAGTTGTTGTCAGATCTTTTTAGATATATACAATCAATCGATATTTCTCAAATTGCAAATCCATAATTTTTTTTTCAAATTTCCATCATGATTTACAAAACCGGAATTTGCACTTCATTAGACAGAGTCAGGATGCTTTTTTTTCCGCATCATTTAACCTAGAAGATAACACTACTTCTTTTTAAATTTTTAATTATTAAAAAAATTGTAATTTGAAAAATTAGATTCCTTTTCAAACAATCGACATTTTTCCACTTAATCTATACTGTATTTCAAAAATGAAAATCAGTTTATTTTGTCGAACTCTATTGGATAATTTGTTGCACTGATCTGGTTGGATTTGTCATTGATCTATAATATATTTCTATATTTTCTGTTCAATTCTGAATTTAATTATTTTTTTAAATTTAATTTTAATAGTTTTATTTCTTCTTATAAATACTAGCTTATTCATAATTGAATTTATGAAAGAATTACGGATGATTATCAGTGTTACTGACATATCATCGATTATATCATCAACTGCTTTTATGAGTAGTTGATGTTTTAGTTAAAGATAATATTGATATCGGATTAAAATTAAAATGATATTTTGTTGACTAGAAAGTGCGATTTGATAAACTGATGCAAATTAGAAGTCAATAATTACAATCTTCGTTCCAAGCGAACTGGGAAACCTCTGCTCGGCCTCAGGGAAAATTCCGGCATTGGTGGATTTTGCATCTCTGATAACATTGAAATGACACGATAACGTCTCAAAATGTAGAACTTGAATGTTGCCTAAGCCAAAGTTACTACCAACTCAAACGTAGCAAACTTACTGCCTGCATTAAGTATTAATGAAAAAAATTCAAGATGTGATACTTTTTCATTTCTCCTACTTTTCGAGAGTGGATGAGACAGGTAATGAATTGATGGAAATATGAGCAGAAATTCAAGTTAAATTCAAAATTGGCAAAAGATATTTCATTTTCATCAATTATATATATATATATATATATATTACTTATTTCATATTTAAAGAAATACTGCATTAAGTGCTTGAAATTTCAATTAAATATGGCTAAATTTTTCTTACCTATACAATTTCGAATTCATGCAGGAAATGGCACAAAAGCTAATGGATCACGATTTTTTACCTTATCAGCAGCAAAATGTTCAGGGTCATACTCTTCCGGAATTTCATAATGCTGAAATATTAGAATGCAATGATTGATAAATACAATTTGGCTTTTTTATTTTTTTGGAAAATTTGCAAAAAAATATGGAAATAAACAATAGCGCAGAAATTCAGTCCTATTGAGAATAGTGAAATAATCGAGAATGAAAATAATCATTATAGAATACTAATAATTGTTGCCGTAAAAAACGATACATTTAAATTACATTCAAGTTCTAATACTTTTGCCAGATGTCTGATAAGTCATTCACCAAATAATTTCGCATTTGTAACTAATCATGTCTAGATCATTTAAGCCATTATGCTAATTCCTTTTTCTCACACAATAAAAAACCCTTTGTTAGCAATCTTTGTTTCACATCATTTAAATATCCTCTGCCGGATATCTGGTCAGTTCAGTTCTGCATATAAACCAACCATCCTCCATTACAGTTATTCATTCTACATTTTGGGGTGGTTTTTGATATCATTTTAATGTCTTATAATTATATTATATCTTTCGTTACGCATTGTTATAATATTGATTTGTCGGTTTAATTACCCATGTTTGGGGCAAAATAAAATATCTGGCAGTCAATACATTCCACGACTTCAAGAATTTTCAAATTTAGCAAACCTTTGGATCTCGCATGATGAAGAATGTGATATATAGCAATCAGTACTTACCGGTATTGTATAGCCACCTAAAAGCAATTACATAGCAAACAAATAATTCGATTAAGCATTTAAATAAGTAAATTTCAACATTTAAATAAATAAATAAATTTAAATTGAAAGAATCAATGCAAAACATACAAAGATTAAGCTCGATATGTATTTTTCGTCACATCACAACAGCATTTGATGTTATGCGACCTGTTTCACATATGCACTGATAAAGATATTTCAGCTTTTTGACGTCATTAATCGTAATTCCCCGTTCCGTGTCTCCTGCAAAACAATATACATTTGTGGAAAAAAAAAATAAAATCTATTTCTTCTCCAACAGCAAAAAAAGACTGCTAAAAATTTTAAATGTATTAAAAAAATTTTTTGCTAGATTCATGTTTGATTTCTTTGGGGATATTACCAAGAACATATTTAATTTCTTCGTACACCTTTTCCTGATAATTTTGTCGATGACCCACTGCAAATAAGTTAAAAGAAACTTGATTCGATATTGCATTGCTTCCTATGATAAAAATACAAATTAAGCAGTAAATCAATTAAAATTAAATTGCTAAATTTATGGTCAATCGTATGAGTGATAGAAAAACAAGGAAGAAATCTACCATTCTAATTTTGACTAATCAGTTTATAAAAAAAGCAGATTACACCCCAAATTAAAAATCCTGCGGCAATTGATTTTTTTTTTCTTAAATTTGTTAAATGTAAATCTGTCTGTTACTGGTTATTCACTAGAGATGGACGAGCTTAGCTGATAAAACGAATCAATAATTTTATTTCATATTTCAAAGAGATCAAAGAGCGTGGACAAGGGATCATCAAGAAAACACGAAGAACGGACAAAATGTGTTATCAGAGAACGTAAAGAATTAACAATAAGATCAAAGGATTTATAGAATCCGGAATATTTCAGTCTTGAAATGTTCATGATTACGATAAGAAATATTGAAAAGGCTCAAAATAAATTCATTATACCATTAAACAATTTAAATCAAATCATAAAACATTAAAGTTTAAGAAACGAAAATAACTAAAACAAGCTTAACAAAGGAACAAAAATTATAACTGTCATAAAAATAAGAAAAAAGAAAAAGAAAAAGAATACACATAAAAAATCATAAACTTTATTGACATTCTGTTAATAGAAATAGACAGATTATTTAGTTCAAAAATTTCGAATTTTTTTTGAAAAAATTTTTTGAAATTCATACCTGCTGCCATAAATGTGTTAACTTGATCGCAGATATTTTCATCGGTTAAATTGTACTGATCACAAACGTTAAAAAAGAAATCTAAGAAAGTTAATTGCTTCTTACCTCTAACTGATAAATCATCCTAAATGATTAATTATTGAAATTCTCCCATTCTTTTCTTTTAACTGCCATTAGCTGAAAAGGCGGACAATAAATAATAAATTTTTCAATTTGCACAGTATTTTTCAAAATTTCAACAAAGTATTGTTTAAATTGAGTGCTACTTAGTTTCAATTTCATATTTTAATTAAGAAATAATTTATTCAACAGACAACTTCCCATCATACCTTAATTTATCTGAATTATTTAGAATGTTACAGTTTATGACAAAAAATATGTGCGTTTTAATATGTTCAGAATTTTTCCCAATTTCATTATTCAAATTCTCCGATCTTCCAATCTGACAGCTAGACTTGTATTGAATTGTCGAAAGGTCAAAAGGTTACCAGATTTTTGTCAATTAATTACCACTGTTCTAAACCAGCAATGTATCAATAAATATCAATATGACATTTATGCTTATGAGCAATTGTTAGAATCCATCTCTTACTATATCAAGAGTAAAGATCATCCGTTAGTGACAGCTCCTCACCCACCGTAATCATACGCTTTTGTCGCGAGCCAGTGCTCATCTGAATAAGAATTAGAGACTTAAAATTTTTGTCTGAGTCAGTTTTTTCGTACCGATAAATTTCAGTTCGGTTGATCTCACTCTCACTGAGTCAACTCCCTTCATTAAATCCTTAATTTATTTTTCATATTTCTTTATTTCTTTCGCTTCATTCTATATTCATAGATAATGCATCTACGAAATTATCAGTAAATGAAATAAACAATATATAGATTATTAGTTTATTTAATGTAATTGTTAGCTAATAAAATTCATTACAACAGATTCCATTACATAATACATTTTGCTTCTGTACAAAATTCAAATCACAATCTTTTTCAGTGAAAGCTAATTCAATTTTGAAATAAACCAATCAAATTCAAATAGTTTTATTATATAATAAAAAGAATCTATCCGTAATTTATTCAAAAATAAAGCGATAAGATCATACTTCTCTAGTGAGCTTTTTACACAGATTGCAATGATATTCAGTTTTCCGATTGTAGCCGGAAAGAAACGAGTGAGAGCAAACCAATACCACAGCCATTGGATTCTTACCCATGCTAGCTCCTCCACTACATGTAATCCTTTGATGTATGAGTATTTAACATAGTGATTTTGTGCAGCTATTCCTACACCCATAACCGTTTCTGAAATGATTTTCCTTCATCATCCGGAATATGAAACGGAGAAACGGCAACTACTTCATGTAATATACTATAAATTGTTGTTTAATATTTATTACCAATTATTTTAGTATTTTTAAATCACATGTTAATGTTAATTATTATTAATGTTGATTAATTCTTCTCTAAAATTTTAATGCAAAAGCAAACCTGCGATGACATTCAAATCATAGCGTCGTAAATAAGGTAATAAATCAAAAGTTTGATTAGTGTCACTGTACTTATGTTTCAAAGTTTCTAACAAAATCTGAGACTTTTGTTTAAAAAAAATTTTTCTTTCAATTAAAATTTTTGCATAAAAATTACAACTTTTAGTTGGGAGCAGATGAGTGAAATATTGTAAATGTGACAATAAGAGAATTCATGATGAATTCATGATCAATTTAAAGCGCTAAATGCATGAAAACAATCACATCTTTGAAAGATTTAAAACTTTTATTGACTAAATTTTGAAAACTAGTAAACATCATTTAGACTCTCTTTCATAATTATTTAGCATTATTTTAGTAACAAAATTTTGATTGCTCATCAAATATTTCCACGTAATTCCGTAAAATATTGAAATGAAATGTTGTGTTAACACTCGTCTTTTTTTAAACCACATATTGCCAGACCTGTAAAGTGAATTGAATTTTTTTTAAATTGTATTGAATTTATCAATTTTTATTCAAATGCTAGTCAGATGATAGATGATATTGAAATAACAGAAATCATTCAGTAGAATTTCGATTTTTTTTTCTATTTAATCGTAAAGCCATAAAATTGAAATGAACTTACGCGGCTAACAGCCCTTCACCTATCAATTATTTTACAAAATCGTAACCATTCGTTTCATATGTTAATGTCCTATTTTCAAATATAACCTTCAATGAAGAAACGAAAAATTATTAAAAAACGTTTCTATATCACAAACAGATATATTACAATAAATAGCTTAACTTTTTTGCATTGAGCATTTTAAAATCTTTTTTGTAATTTCAAAAAAACTCTTGGGAACTTTTGAAACTTGAAAAATTTGTCCAATAAATTATAAACTTTAGCAGTCGATGATCTCATCAATAATAACATTGGTTTGAAACTAACCAAAGACACACTATTCCACGATCATATTTATAAGCATGTTTCCGAAAGATAACTTCCAATTGATAAGTAAATTCTGAATTAATAAAAAGTATAGTTAATGAATTTTCACCAATATTTTTTAGAAATTTTATAAAACAAAAAAGTCTGAAGATTATTTTTATTGCATTTAAGTTGAAAAACACGACAGATTTTTTGTATCTTATATGAAATAACCTTGCTATCGCCATTTTGAGGGTTTAGCCAGATGATTCTTTTATTCTTATCATTATCATTATTATTATCATTATTACTATCACTATTATTATCATTATTATTAATATTATTATTATTTTTATTATTCTAATGAGCTCAAACTTAACTTGAACTTGTAAGCTTGTCAAAGTATAAAATGAAAAAATAATTTTTATCGCTACACAATTGAACATACGTTCACGATCTATCTTCAGTCGTAGTAATTCTACAAATATTTCCAATAAACTTGGCCCAGGAAATTTATTAATTAGTCTGATCATACGTCATTTTTCTCGTATCTTCTGCTTAGTTTGTTTTACATATTTTGTAATTAATACAAGAATAAATATCAGGAATAATAATAAAACGGTTAACATTCCTGAAAAGTATGCAAAAAACATGTAAAAGGAAATCAAATTCAAAACATCAATTCATTAGCAATGACGATTTGACGAAGTGTTAATAACAACGAAATGTTGAAGTATTAATTAGTTTTACAACTTCTAGGCCAATTATCATCAGGTTTTTCGGATGCAGCCAATAAGTGTCCTTCAGACAATGTTGAAAAATAATAATAAACAAGAACTTTTTGACGAATAAAAACAAGATTTTCTTTATCATAAACTTCTCTTTTCTTACCAAACCAATAAAATGGCAATGTTTCTCTTCAAACTTTCAATTACTAAAATAATTTATTGTTTGAAAACTAAATTGTTTTCCAGTTAATCGTCATCTTTTCTCTTAATTAGTAGCATTCCCTTTTTTAAATGTAATCGAAAATAATATGGTTGAATTGTTCCAATATTGATGTAAGCGAGCGCAATTTCTGGGTATCACAAAAGTAACTATATTAAAAAATGAATTTAAAATAATGACAATTCAGTGGCATTTCTAAAGAGAACTTTCTCTGACTTTCGGCGCAGATAATTTTACTGTTAAACAAATACGAAGTAATATTAAAATGATAATATCGATAAAAAAAACAACTGATACAGTAATGAGAAGTAGGAATGAAAAGATATGAGAAAACCTGATCAAAGAAAGTAATTATTTGGGTGTGTCCGATAAGGAAAACAAGTTTAAAGGTTAAAAACAAATGTATTTCTGTAGAACTTAACTAGTCCAGATATCTAATAATTGTTGATCTGAATTTTTAAAACTGAACATTAGCAGAAGTTATATTGTCAAAAATATTAGTAGAAGTTATTCATACATGATATCAGTGAACTGATATCAAGAATAGCTTCCTAACCTTACTGCAGCATGTATCCAATGATTAACTTTTGATTACTTTAATGAATTAGTGGAAATAGAATTTTTCCAAACAAGGAGTTAAATATAAAAAAATATAGTAACAAACGAACAATTTGCTGAAAAAAAACAATCATAAAATCATGAATGATTTCATCGGCCAATAATAAATGTCTCATATGTATTGTAAGCTGATTGACAACCAACAAAATTCAATGTTTTGACGTGCCACCATCTCCTCCATGTAATTATAATAAACTGTATACCGATAAATTTATAGTATTTAACAGGAAATGATTTTCATCGACAAAAATTAATAATATATCAACAAACAAGAAGTTCAAAATCATTTCTTATAATTATAATCGTACAGTTGCAAAATTAAAGAAAAAAAAAAATCATGAATTTGTAATAGTTCACTATCACTATCACAACTTCTGAATTTCGGAAAATCATCGCAATTTTATTGGTGTGTTCAGAAGATTGATGAAATGTGACTTTAAACTGCCACGTCATCACTTGATCAATAGAAAAGCCATTTTCCACAATAATGTCTGATAATCAGTGCTTCATTTTAAACTTTAGGCTAAAAAGTTTGATCCCATCCATTATAATCATTTCGCTACCTGGTAACTTTAATAAATCACTCAAAATATTAATCGGAAGGACAAGTTGAGCTGCTCAAATGATGTATTGCAATTAAGATTACAAAAAACTAATCAGCAAAAATTTCTATGAAATGTTTCTATGAAAAATTAAGAATATGCGCCAGTAGAAGAAAAAAAACTTACTATTGTCATTCCATAACTTTTTGCATAACAGTTCACAACTACAGCAAATGGTACGTTCTTACGTATTAGTCGAAAGAAGTTACAAGTTTATTTAATCATCGAATTTATTATTCTTATCGCTTCGTTTCGCCCTTTCTTAGCAAAAAAATTTATTTCAAATTGAAAATTCAAATTTCCGATATAATTTGCGATAAGAACAAGAAAAAAAAAAACAAATATCAAATATTACATGATGTTAATGACGCTCATAGAAACAAAGTTACTCCTACTCAAGGAAAGAAAAAAAATTAAAAAGAAATTGATTTCTAAACATTTAATTCCTTAGCAGTTATTATTCAAATTAGTTGTATGGCATATTAATATATTCCCAAATTCTTCTAATGGTTAGCATATAAGGTGTATCAGGTTAAATATCATCATATATATAAAGAATATTTGACGCAGCACGTAGAATTACGTAATTAGCGGTAGAATTATGTATACATATGTGTACATAAATATCTTATTCTATTTTTTCAAGCGCAACAATTAGAGTGCTAGAAACAATTGTTTAATTATTATTTTTAGATTTTTAAGCATTTACTTCCTTAGCATAGATTACAATTGTTTCATCATTCCTTTAAATAAAATACCGATATTGAAATGAGAAAGAAAGTGAAAAGTGAGCATATTTTGCATGTAAATGTGAAACTTTTACCATTCATCTTACTCAAAATTTTCGATCTTCAGTTTCTTTTTTTCTTTATTTTAAAGGAAGAAAGAAGAAGAAACAGTTAAAAATGAAATGCAAATGTGTTAAAAAAGATGGAAACAATTTGTAAAACCTCTAAATTTAAATTTGAGCCTTTTATTGCTAGGTAGATAGGAAAAAAGGTATAAAATTTAGAGCAAAATTACAATTATTTCTGGCATAATTTATAATTTTTTAAATTGTAGAAATTATCCACAATTAACACTGTAAATTAAAAAGAATAAAAAATGAACAAAAACTTTTGAGCATTTTTAAATAGAAAAAAAATATTGGCCGATACACAATGAAGACTATGCATGTGATAAAAGTAATAATAAGAAAACATTGGCACATATAAAAAGAGATTTTTTAAAACGAAAGAAATAACGAAAAGGAATATAAGAAGAAAATAAAATGTCAATTTAAACAACCAAAAAAAGAAAAAGGGAAAAAAATTAAAATGAAAACGAAAAAAATTTAATTTGCACATGTTCGCGTTACTATGTGACACGTTAAAACGTGTATTCACTAACTCTGATTCACGTTGCTACATGAAACGTAAAAATTTATCACCCATCAGTTCCGAATAAGGTGTTTGTTATAAAGACACGGTGTTTGTCTTTTATGTTTTTGGTTGTTATAAAAAGTTTTCATTTTTTATTTTTACTTTTATTTTCTTTTGGTAGTGATTGGAATATGCTTAATGTCGCTACTTCACAAATTTCTTAGACTTCATTTGTACATAAATTATATTTCATATTTATGTAAAAAAACTTTCATTTGTATATAAAACACCTGTCAAAGTGTTTTATAAAAATGGCTTTGAAAAATCTTAACTTTGCTTTTTCAGAGTGTGAATTTGCTTTTTCATTGCTGATATTCTGAGGTGCGTTATTTTGCTAATGTGTATACAAGATTGATGGATATTGAATACGATTTCAAAGCATTCTTTGCGGAAGATGATATAAACGAACGCGAAGAGATTGAAAAAAATGGTCGATTATAATAATATATTTGTTTTCTCGTTTTTTTATGGATTTATTTGATGTAGAAATGGAAGTTTTAGTATGAATAGACTTTTGAAGATTACTTTGCTAAAAACAAATAATGAGCATTCCATTTAGTTTTTTTTTTCTTTTTTTTTTTCAGCAGCGCCTTCGGAAGAACAAATTTTGAACGACCTACTGAAAAAAGATGAAAGGAAGATCCCCAAGCAACGTCTCCTAAGAAATCCAAAATTACGAGATATTGAACTTTGTGGGCCAAATGGCTTCTTTGAATTGAAGCGAAGTTTCGACAGTTTTACTCCAAAAAATAAAAATCCAGTTGGTCTTTTCCAGTTCCATCCTGTAATTGTTTTCACACAATTTTCTCATTTTATGCTTTCACGAACATCCTATGAGAGATTTTGGTAATATTCTAGAGGTTAAGAAACTAACTTAAGATCAGTTTAGTAATAGCTCATATTAAATAAGTTACTTGTTTTGATTGCAACGTTAGAAATAATGTTTTTGTCACTTGAATAATCTATTATTAAAGTATTGAATGGTATGCAAAGTTTTGTATGGTTTTTGTATTTCCTATTAACTAAAATTGATAAATTTTTAATTTGGATTAGGTGTCGTGTATGTCAAACAGAAGCAAAATATTCGTAGTGGTTGTTTTAAAAACTTTTGTTTTTCTTTTTCAGTACGATGATTTGCTTGTAATGATGAGTCGAATAGAACACTGGAGCCATTTACTGTGTCCTAAAATGACATTTGAAGATTTTGTGTCTCGTGTGGAATCCCTAAGCGACAAAAGAATGGTAAAAGTGAGTTGTTTATAGGAAAATTCATTTGGGTTTTTAATGCTGTCTTGGTTATTATTTGCTATTTTTAAAGTTCGTTTTCAAGTATTGTTTCCTACTTTTCAACCATTAAAGAGAAAACTACTATCTACCATAATCTATACAAAAATTTACTTTAGATGAGTGGATAGTTTTTACCTGTTTCGATTTATTTATTTTAGACAATGTTGACAAAAATGAGACTCGACATGCCTTTGACTGATGAAGATTTTCTTGGAAACAAAGAAAATGAACAGGATAAAGAAATAGCTGATAAGGGAGGAAATAAGGAGTTCACTGATACGCTAGTGAATGATACAGATTTGTTTGAAAATTTCGATGATGCGCCATCCGTGCCTATTACATCGCATCGAACAGCAACGTTACTTGAGTCCTCCGTACGTGAGAAATATATTTTTAATATATGTTCATATATTTTTAACATTAAAATTTGATTTATAACATGGAATTGAGGAAATTACTAGGATTATATATATATATTTTAAGATATCGAAATTGTCATGGGAGCAACTACAACGTATTGAAAAAAATAAGCATCGTGCTCAAGAACTTCGTATGCAACGTGAGAAACGAATGAGTCAGTTGGATGGTTTCAATTCAGTTTTGAAAAATGACGACTCACCCGTTTTTGAGGAAACAGCAAGCAGTATAACGTTAAACTCGAAATCGTTTACTCAGGATGAGAAATCAAAAAAGCCCCAAGGACACGTCGATATTATGATGGACGATAGCGAAGCATTAGATTTTATATTTTCATCAACTTGATACTTTTTTTGTTCACTTATCTTCATTTCCAGTGTGATTGCTTGTACTTCCGTCTACTTACCAAGCTTTTTCATCTTTCATCAACTTATAGGAACTTTTTAATTTCGATGATTATTTTTGCACATCTCTTGTGTTTTTCGCTTCTCAATTTTTCTTTTGACATATAAGCTAATCACGAAAACAAATGTTCTAATTTTGATAGTTTTGAATTTTGATCGACAAAAAAGCTCTAGCATTATTGACCCGACTTTGAGTTTCACTTTAACTATTGGGAATTAAAATCTCGAGATAAGAATCACAGCACAGTTTTAAGACTCATTACAGAAGAATATAGAGAAAACATGGAAGCTTAGGTGTGGAATAGATGCATATCAACGATGCAAAACACCCACTCGCAGCGAGCAGGGTTCGAACCTGCGCGGGCAAAGCCCATTGGATTTCAAGTCCAACTCCTTAACCACTCGGACATCGCTGCACACATCTGTACAAACCACAAGCATTCATAATACATTTTCTTGAAATCATTGCATTCTGTAAATTATTGTCATTGATATCATCGCTGTGAATTCCTGGTAAATTTATCAGGAGGTACTGTACAAATCAACCGTTTACTTCAAATTTGGAAAAGGTACAGTGTACGCAGCGAGCAGGGTTCGAACCTGCGCGGGCAAAGCCCATTGGATTTCAAGTCCAACTCCTTAACCACTCGGACATCGCTGCACGGCAAACAATTCTGACGTAAACGAGACTTCATTCATAGATTCACATCAAAGAAACTAAATTTTTATATTGCCTTGAAGTAAATTTAAAGCCATATTGAATGATTGCAACAAATTGGCGAATTCATGAAACTATTCCTGGTCAAATCTATGGAGCTATTCCATATTAATTTTATCAAATTTTGATTTTTTAATCTGTCGAGAAAAATCAATTATAATATGTCGACGTGAAACTGTGTTAATTTATTGAATATTCTTTAGACAGATGTTTCAGTCTCATGCAGGAAATCATTTATCCATTTACACACTGTCTCAGTTAACAAAAAATATGTGTTGAAATTTGATTCCAATTAGATTGTTTACAAAGTTACCAACTGTTTGTGGGCTTTTCACTAATGGTGAATTATATTTGAATATTTGAATTTGAAAAGATTAGCAGTTCTTCGTTCACTGATCACTTTTGCAAATGATACATAAGTACTAATCTATACAACAACATACTGATAATTTCATAAAGTTTATCTACGAAAATAAACGAAAATAAAGAAAATTAGATTTAAAATGAATGAATTTGAATGAGAACGTAGTAGCACTAAATTAGAGTTTGTTGATCCTCAAGAATGGAGGATGCTATTATTTATATAATAAGCATTCGGTGCCACGAAGAGGAAAAATTGCTAACCTTGTCAATATTTGAATATAGTTTACAGTTAGTAAGAAACCGACAAACAACAATAAAACAGGACAACTAAATAAGAACCAATAATTTATATTAAACAATGATAACAACGTAAAAGTTGAATTTTTCAAAACTTAAAATTTCGTTCAAATCTATGCTACAATAGCCACATGAAGTATGATTTCATATTTGAAATGATTGCAAACAAATCAGCCTTTTCTTGTTATATTTGTTTAAAATCTTAGATACTTCTAATTTTTTTTAATACTTAACATTTTCGTTTGCTTTTTTTTTGAATATAAAACTTTTATTTTCTATTCTTTTTTTTCCTTTTCACACAATTATGAGAAAAAAAATTTTTTTTCCTTTTTTTAGACAATTGAAATTTTCATCTATATGCCACATAATTTCATTCATATGGCATGTAAGAATGAGTGATTGTGATTTCTTCAAATCTGATCTTTCCCAAACAAAAATGTACTTTTCCATTTTTTCAAATTATCAATTATATCTGTGACATACATATACAATATACACTTGCATTGATCATACGGCCAATTGCACAAATCGCTCCCACAAATTTATTATTTTATGGCTTAAAAACTATTAATTGGATGTTATTTATATCACATATTATTTTTAGGTCTGTTTAAACTATTTTTCTTTTTTTTATTTCATATGCTAGCTTTCATTTGAATATTTTAATATATAAATTAAGTCCATAAATTTTCTTAGAAATTAATTCCATATGCATGAAAGCGCATTTTTTATGTGCTATAATACATCATACATACATCACCATATCCAGAAGTGGTGACTCATATTGAAATTACAGACGGTTAATGATCTTTGCAGAATAATGAAAAAAAAAAAAAAAAACAATGAGTTAACAAATGAAAGAATTCCAGGTCTCATGCTTGATAACATTTATATCTTTGTTAGCAATACTTATCCCTTCAATATTTTATCTGCAACAGGAAAGGAAGGAGTACCATGCCATTTCACTTATTTTGCTTGTCATTTTAATCACCCTATTTGTTATTGCATGGTTTCACGTTCTAGTATGTTCACATTTTATCAATTATTTAATGACTACGATGCAGGAATGTTAAGTCTTATATAATACATTTTACGAATTACTTCTTAAATTTACAAACTTTACAGAAATGCCCTCTATAGTATATATGAAAATTGTGACATAATCGTAAATATGACGAATCCAGTGAATTGGCGGTCTCTAATGTCATAGGAATGGTATTGCAAAATTATTACAGTCTTATATACAAAATAAGATAAAAACACACCCCTCTGTCCAAAAAAGAGGGATGTGTTTTTCTTACAACACTTTCAAAACCGAAAACTCAAAATTATCCTCGAATGAACCTTCAAATAACTGCAGATTTGTCAATTGAAATGTTACGATTTTATCAGACTATACACAAAAACCGGCTTCTCACTTTCAACAACCCGCGAATTCCATCCTCCATTAATAGAGAAGCGAACGGAAGCTATACAACAAAATCACAAGAACCAGTAAGTGCAATCAGTGCTGCAGGACATTTACAATTCTTGGAACATTAACCAAAACTGATATTGTTTGAGTTCGGAAATTTTCCAAACACCCGTTAACATTACGAATAAATCAACTATATCTAAATTATAATGGCCAGCAAAGAACAGATAAAGGAAGCAATACAAAAAGTTATAGTATATTGTTATTCAAGATTGTACTTTTAATGCAAATAATAAATGAATTACACATAAATTTGTAAACAATAAAATTGCTGAAAACAGTACTCATATTCCAGCTCAAAAATTAATAAAATATATCATATGCTGCACATGCCTAATTGTTCGGTAAATATGTTCTGCGTATTCGATGACCTTTTACGGTCACACTAGTTCTTTCTTTTTCTTCTACATATCGTCCGTTTCCTTTTTCTGTATTTTAAATATTTTAAACCACATTTTGATTTTCAATATACCGAACAAGTACATCATGCGGATCACAAAAACAACTGAAATTTATAAATTCGTTACCCTAACAAAGTTGACTTAAACATAATACTGTTAACCACATGCTAACCCAAAGTGTTCCTGAAGGCATACAAATTCCTCAAACGTTTTATAACTATTTTCTAATACTAGAAATTTGGGATTAAAATTCCTGACTAACTCATTTACCTGATCAACTTTTTGGTGTAATAGCTCCTCAGTTTTGTAACAAATGTAAGAGAGAGATTTATACCAAAAATCTCTACACATCAAAAAAGACGAATCTATTTCAAAATAATGCATCACAAAATATTGGAGCACTGCATTTCAAATTTAACGGGCTTCTCTGCGGGATGATCCCGAAATGAGATTTCTACCCTTACTTTCTTCTGTTGATCGTTGTCATGGGTTACTGAGCTTGATTCATGTCGAGAATCACATACAGAATCCGCAGACGTCATCAAACATCTGGTAGACCTTAAACATTCAAAATAACAATTGCTTCCAAATACCATTTCGGTTCGTAATTGGTGAAAATGATAGACCGTATGCAATGTAAATACTATATAATATCTTAAAGCGTTATAATACAACATTTTTTCTAGTGAACTGAGTCAGAACTATATTTAAGGCAAAGTAATGAAAAATCGAATTTATAAAACTAAATCAGCAAAACGAAATCATTACCTGTTAAGCCTTATGTGACTTTTAACGAGATCATTCGAACACTGCGCAGCCAAAAGCGATAATTCACCCGCTAGCACTGTTGAACAGATAATTTCTGCCAAATGTTTCGCACATTCACCGGGGACTGAAGTTGCTGTTACGCAACCCATCATCTCAATAATATACACTTATCACACAAATACAAGCATCACAATTCAGAGGCTTTCAAATGTTGCACTATTTCAGGATACCAAACAAAACATCTCTCAAGTGCTTCAAAAAAAATTTATGGAAAATTTCAAGAAACCTGCAAACATGCATTTTGAGCTGGTAATATTGTACCACCTCCAACAGTTCCAACTTCTAGGCAACGCATGCTACAGGAAATATACAAATCATCAAGCTCAGTTTTTTCCATTGTAGTTAAACACATACTACTAGATACAACCTGAGCAACATCCTGTAATGCGAAAATGGAGAAATTAATAAGGTACCACACTACTAAAATCTTCTGGATAAATAACAGGAAGAAAACTTAAGGATACTGGAAAAAAGCATACTGATTTATACACATATATAGATCAAACCTGTCCAGTCGCAATAAATATGGCTGCAACAATGTTAGCTGCATGCGCATTCCAACCACCAATAGTGCCAGCCATGGAGGAACCAATCAATAGTTTTGCCTGTCCTAATCGTACCAGTGCATCAACCGTAGTTTTAAGGACAGTTTGTACCACTGCAGCTGAAATTACTGCCTCAGCAACCACCGATTTCCCACGTCCTTTAATCCTGCAAAACCCACGAATTGACAAATGCGTTAAAACGGAAAGAAAAAAGTATAACATGAAACTATAGAAAATTAATGGCATAAAATAATTACAAGTAAAAAAAAAAAGTAACCAATTAATCGCGCTAGCTTTTTTGTCTACACAGTAATTTCCAGATAACGACAATACCTCCATTTCGGGACATTTCTGCTTTAGATATGATAATGCTGCATTTGTACCTCTATAACACTGAATACGTTGCAATGTTAAGCAGAAGTATTGGAAAGTAACAGATCACATGAAATAAAAAATTTTTTTTTACTTACTATTTTCATTCATTTATCAGTAAAAAAGCAAAAAAAGAGATGCACGAAAGTACAGAAAACTTACTTTGAAACCATATTCATACCCATCGCATCACCTGTTTTAGCTTCAAATCTTATAAATAACAGACGACCAGTGATATCTGTCTCAAGCCTTTGTAGTCTCGCAAAACTGCAAAACAATAAGAAATCCTTTCGCTTGTCTTCGAAACAAAATAAGCGTTATGCCAATTTTCTAGTTGATCAGTCATATGTTCAAATATCAAACAGCAAAACAGCAAACAACCATGTATTTTATCTATCATTCGCGCAAGTCACCACAGATATAATATTTCAGATTATACCTGCTTGTTGAATCAAAAACAGCTTTGATTTCCTCGAAACCGGTTGATGAATCTAGAAAATCCTTCATCTCGCTAAAAAGATAGTTTGCAAATGTTGCTAAAAAGATATACTTAAGCAATAGATTTAACAAAGAACCACGCTTTAATTTAAATATACATTTAAACATAAAAGACAAGCTTTTCTACCTCAAGACTTATTATCATTACTCCTAAATATAGAGAAGTGCAAAGCTGAAACTACGATAGAAACAAATGAAGTGACTCAGATCACTAAGATCTCATGAGCTTACAGCGTCCTAGCGACATTTGCAAACTGAACGACTGGCGCACGCGTCATTCCATCCCTATACATCCGAACAGTTACACCGCCAGATTCCTGTAATGAATCATATGTTCTACTTAAAGTCAATTTAAAGAAAAATGCAACATATCTTCTACATTTTCAGAATTTTTTTCTAATTAACTCACAAAGACTGCACGACAACCACGGTTGGTACTAGCGACAAGAGCACCTTCCGTTGTAGACATTGGTACGAAACATTTACGCCCATTCACTAATAATGGGCCAACAATTCCCGTCGGTACCGGAACATAACCAATAACATTTTCGCAGCATGATCCGTTCACCTATAACATAACAATTCAATTAAACTATATCAACAAAGATAAAAAGTCGTAAATAAAACAATAAAAGAACACTTACGTAACTGTAGTCATACTGCTGGAATGGTAGATTTTGGAATGATATATTGGCCGTCTCATAAAAATGTGACCTTCGCAATGAAACAGCACGGAGAAAATCATAACTTAATTTTTGTTCTAAATCTCGCTGTTTTAAATGTCCAAAATTTAACAGCTGAATTATTTCTCTGTAAAAAAAAAAAGGAAATCTTCCAACCAATAACGTAATAGTGAACAAATTAATAGTTTAAACATTAACGGCTGCTATCATTAGATCATTAGTCCTTATTAGGTTGAACATATCTAATCGACATATAAAAGCACGTTATCACTTATCACGTGACTCTGCCACATTTGTAGTTAGCAAAAGAAAATACTTAGTGACATACTTGTCATTCAATGACGCGCAATTATCCGTCGTTTTACCTAACTTCAAATTTCGGATTAATGCTGATGTCGTTTCATTAGTCTTCGAATTTTCTGAGACTGTTAATTCGTTATTTGAATCACTATTGTATGTTATCGTCTGATCATTCACATCTAAAGTGGAATAAACTATAGGTTAAAATTATAGGTTACAGCTAAAAAAAAAACTTCGTTACATACAATAAATATTTAATCGCTTAAATGTTTCAAAATAGCTTCTACATACTTAGTCTATCGGAAATAACATTTTCGTTATATCACATGAAACAATACCAAGTGATCCTACATTATTCTTTCAGTGTCTTAGAAATAATGAAATATACCTTCCGTATCTGCTCCATTCCCGAAAACTGTTTTACATGGGGTACTTTTGTATTTAAAATTTTCGCCTATTTCTGATATGATGTCATTGAATAACTTGATTCTCCACTGGTCATCTTTATCAACGATAACGTCATTTATCTTTTTCGAAAGCCATACTTCATCAATCATGAAATTTCCTACCCATTTCAGACATTCTGCCATTCTTATACCCTGCAAAATTTTTGGTGAAACCTCATTGATTTGAACGTTGCTAAGATAAAGTGGAAAAAATTAGAGAAATAAGTAAAAAAAAAAAAAAAAAAAAAAAAAACTAACAAAGAAATAAAAAACATATACATAACATACAAATTGAATAATACACCGCAGAATTCTAACATACACAAGTAGATGGAGTGAATTTTCCACCATCTAAGAGAAACTGTGATCTTCACCATATTATTAAGAAAAAAACCATTTTCAACATTATTTAGTATTCCTTACATTACGCAAGAAATATTTTGATTTAAAAGATGAAAAGAACACCGACGAAAAATTTGTTATGCTACGTACGCGACTGTTTAACTCGAAACATCGAAAATAGCATCAATTATCAATACATTAATTTAAAATAATCTAAGTGATAAAAAAATTATCAAATCTTTAAGATATTCCATGGATTTCGGACATATCATAATGACGTAACTGAGAATGGAAAAAGCCAAATTAACGAGATATCTCGGGGACGCCACTGAGAACTGGCAGAGACGACTGAAAGAGCTGTGAATCTTACGGTAGCACATACCTTAGCCTAACCAAAAAGAAGTATTGACCGCATTCCGAAAATCATTACAAGACCATACCTGCATTGTTGCAACTTTCTACTTGATTAGAATGTTATAGTTGTTAGTAAAATGATATAATATATTTCATCTAATGCAGTAATTTGAAGTTCTCAAAAAAAAAAAAATCAATGAATTTAAAAATTTAAAAATATTAGCGTGTTTATTTCAATATTAAACTTGAAATACTTACTGAAAATTCAACATTAAAAGTACTAATTTGGTATTATAATTAGAAATATTAATAAAATAAGTTATTTTATAATAAAATATTAATTCTATTGTTAAAATTGTCAAATTAAATATGCTAACAAAAATTTTTGTTAATATATTTAATTTCTAAGCATTAAAACATCGAACTTCCATTTTAATGCATATTTATGCATTATATGTAAATGTTCTCATATCATTCTTGTAGGATTATATATAAGAAATTAATTGAAAATTTTTAATTTTATTTTATTTGAACGTCATATGAATAAATATGTTGGAATTATCGGTGATTTTCATTCTTTTCACAATTTGTCAGTCGTTTGATGAAAACATTTTTGGTTTGCTTTACTTTAGTAGTTCAAAAATATTTTTTTTTAAAAAAAAATGGACACTTTTGCAAAATTTAAAACAAAACTCTATATTTGATAAAAAATTTCCGGTAATTATATTATGAATTCAAGCAGACTTTTTAAAATTATGTATTATTTGCTAACTTATAATACTTCTTCTCCTGCTTGAATATTTTTTAATAAACTCTTCAATTTAATATATTGATATAATTAATACAAAACACTCCATTAACTTTATATTATTTTAAAAAATTATCCATTAGCAAATATTTGCCTAAAATTACTGATCAAAAAATAATTGATGATTTTCAATTTATTTCTAATTAAATAAAGCTTTGCAGATATTAATGATTGCAAAGCGGTGAAATATATTATAATAGTTTATACTTTTTATTAAATAGCAAATATTTGTGTGGGATGAAGATTTTCAAAATTTTGCTTTTCTGATTCGTTTCTAATTCATTAAATGCCGTTGGAAATATAATGCTCGAATAATATAGTACAACAGAATGCAATTATTTCCTTATGAAATATTATAATATCTTATATATATATTAAGGAATTGTTTATATATTATGAAGAATTTTTGAAGGAATTGTGTTTACAGTCAAGAGTAATCTAAAAATAAAAATTAAAAGGTAATAGAAAAAAAAATTCAAACGAATAAGAAAAACACGTCTTGCTCATTTTTTTTTCGAAAGATTACAAAAATCTTCGTTAAGCATGAAAAATAAAATTAGTAAAACCAATTTTTTAATACTAGTTAATCTAATCTTTACTTTCTAACAATCATCATAATATCGCTGTTTATTCATAATAATTTTATAATTTCAAAGTAGAATAGCATAAAATGCCAGTGGCAAAACGATCAATATTGATTATATTATTTGATCAATCAAAAATATTTCATTATAATTCCTACAGTCATTTCTTTAAGTATATTATACTTGTAGCAATTGAAAAAATAATATTAGTTCCTTAATTAATATATTATAAGTTCATATGATATCCAGATGTTATTGTATTAATTTTGCATTATAGAACCGCAATATATATTTGTGAAAAATATGGACAACTCGATGCCAATCGTAAAAACTAACGTAACAACACGTTACGTACCAATGGGACGTCATATTATACTTAACTGTGTGGCTTGGAGTTCAGCTCGCAATAGTTATTACAATGGAAATAAAAAAATGAAATGGATATTTCGTGATATTCAAGAATACCGCAGCATTCCTATTGATAATGAAAATAGGTAACGTAAAAGCATAATATTTCCTTAAAGAACAGAAAATTAATTTTAAAGAATTGTTTTATATTTTTATTTCGTCTAATCATTGCCTTAGGTATATTGCAGTTATAATAACTTAAGAATTTTTATAAGTTTAAAACTCCTCATATTTATTTCTTGATTTATTAAGTATAATTAATGACTATATTTTGTATTTGCCACCTTCTAAGATTAATTTATTAAATTTTTTTTTTAAAAATTTATGATTCGGAATTTTATGTATTGTATAGTTGTACATGTTCATTGACTAATTATTTCTCTATATTATTATATTTTTTGAAAAATATTTTTCTTATCTTATATATATATATATATATATATATATATATATATATTAACTTAAATTTATTTAATATTTTAAGTCGATTCTCATTAAATGAAACAGATGGCCGTCTTATTCTTTATGCAGCACAAAAAGAAAACGAAGGCATCTATGATTGTCATGTCGGTTTGACCCAAAACATTGAATGGATTTCACGAATTAATCTTTGTAAGTGTTACAAAATTACAATTGATATTAAAATTGGAATTTCGATTTAATTCATCAAAAATTTTTCGTTCCGAAAATCTCTATTTTTTTTTTTTTTTTGTTTTTTATAACAAAAAATTAAATGAAGAAATAATTGAAATAATGTAATGTGATTTGTTGTTGACAATTCAGTTAGTATTTTTAGAAAGCTAATATTTATTAATAGATATATGATGCATGAACAATTAGTTTAATATTTCATGCATAGAAAATACTTTTAAAAAAATAAGAAAAAAATTAGTTTGGTATATGGGAGATAAATAAGCACGCGTGCGTATTATATGCATCAACGAATTAGTTTTAATTAGATATACTGAAATGAATTCAAAAAAAAAAATTACGAATTATAATGTATGTCGCTTGCTTCTAATAATTGGTAAAATGTTAAGATGACACCATATTAATTTTTACATTAATTATAATTAACCATTATTGTTTAATACAATAAAAGTATTATTATAGTGTGCAAAATATAATATAGGAAAGGATAATTTGGGAAATTTAATTTGTAATTATTTAAAAATGTAATGTTTACTAAAATTCATTTGAAATAGTATTTTGATAATAGCTGTTTCTATTTAAATTAATTAAAAATTTGATAACTGATTTGCTTGACAAATTCGCATATCAAAATTTCCAATTAAACTCTCATTTTTAATTCTCAATCAACAATTTAAGTTGCTTTAATTTTTCAATTTACTGTAAATTTAAAACAGTACTATTTATACAATATATTACTTACCAATCTGTAAAATTAATTTGCTTCAGATGTGCAAGACTGTAATGAAAAAAATGATATGACATCATACCATAATGTCATGAATCCATGCCTTTACGGTGGTTGCGTTATTGATACTTTTCCAAATGCACCACTTTTAAAATATTTGAAATGTAATTGTGTATTACAGTATACAGGAGAATTCTGTACTGGTAATTATTTGTTTGAATAACAAACATTATAGTACCGTTTTAATTTTTGTTTTGATGATAAGAAATGAAATTTTGTAAAATTTTCGATCAAAAGTAAAAAAAGAAATAACAGAAAAAAAATCATGTATATATATACAAATGATTAATTTAAGCAAACATGAAAATTTTTATGCAATTACCACAAGCAGCACGTAAAGAAAACTTAGTAAGAAACAGTAAAGAATAATACTGTATAAAAATTTTAGCATTAAGTTTGCGTATTCTTCAAAAAAAAAGGTAAAAAAAAATAAAAACAAAGGAAATAGGTAACTGAAACATTTCACTTTTTTTTCATTTAACACACAGTTTAATTAAATAATTCTTTTATTGAAATGATTTTAAAATTTGATTACATTATTTTTGAAATGACACATAAGTCTATTTGTTCAAAAAGGAATATGAATAAGCAGTATTAATTTCATAATATAACAATTTATCCATTCCGTTAAATTAGTGCAATTTTGACTAATTCAATTATTTATTAATTAGTACAATCATATTAATTTTATGCTTCTAACAGAACTTGTTGATGGAGCTATTGGACGTGAAATTTTACGTTTCTCACCATTTATAGCACATATTTGCTCAACATTATGCATAATTATTACATTCTTTTGTTGCAAGAAAACGTTTGCATTTTTGACATATTTTTAATTATTCGATTTCCAATTAATTTTCATAACCATTTTTAGTGCGAAATATCTGATTGTCATACTGATTTCCTATTTTTATTCGTATATATTTTGCGAAAAAAAAATTTTTTTTAGCGAAGTTCGGAAACGAATTGTTTCATTGGAAGATCTTGCACCAAAGCCACCAGACGTATCCGACGATCCGAGAATGCTCTATCCTTCAGCTATGTTACCAGTTGTGGAAAATGCAGAACCGATTGAGGAAACGGAATTGAATGCACAAACAATTGCAATTTGTCTTAAACAATTACAACATTCTAAAACTCTATGAAATTATTGAATTCTGTAATATAACAATGACCAGCTATTCGAAAAAAAAATATTTCTTCTCTTGCTTTTGATTAATTAAATTGAATTTCATTTTTCCATTTTAATTTGTTATTTTAAAGGATTTTTTTTATAGCATTTTTTTTTTTTTCATATCAAAATAATATATGATAAAAATATCTTTTGCTTTCCTTTTATCAGTATGGTGAAAATCAGTTTTTTAATGATAAATCTTTTTTTTTTTTATTTCATTAGATTAAATACTTCAAAGGAAGAAAAATGAAGCAAAGCAATTTTTACATTAATTTATATCTTTTATCCCTTGTTACTTCAATTTGTAAACATCTTGAAGTGATAAAAAAAACCTTCAAAAAAAATTTTTTTTTTAAAAAACGAAAAAGGAAATAGCTTAAGTTATTATAATGCATGAATTATTTCGCTATTTGAATTATATAAATAAGAAGAAAAAAATGCGAGAAAAATGACGCGCAAAAAAGACAGAATAGCTTATGATATCATAAATTATTGAAATTTTAGTGCAAATTTTATTGAAATAAATGATCCACTAAAGATTTGACAAATTTAAAGTAATTCGAAAAATAGCTAGACATAGTAGTTATCTCATTAAAAAATTAGATATTACACCCTTTTTAATTTATCTTTTAAAATTCATTTTGAACTTGAAGCAATATTTAAATCTATTCTTTTATACAAACCATTGTCAAACGTTTTTTGGCATAATGTATGTTTTTAGCATCAAATATATTCTTAATTTCATTTTATGCAAAAATTTTTTTAAATAGCACAGAAAGTGCTCTTATTATAATTATATTTTGTTGTAATTTATTTTTTGTTTAATTTAAAAAGTCTAATGTATGAAATTAAAAATAAAATTTAGAAGTTTACTTTTTATCAAACTAAACTTAATTTAGATATATCTATTCAACATTTTTTTTGGCTCTCATTTTCAATGAATAATACTATGTTAACCTATCCAAGTTTCTAGTTGTACAATGTAGTTATTTTTATAGTAACGACCGTATGATGACCACATTATCAACTGTTATCAACGTTTTAACAATCACATTATTTTTGAAATAAATTTATAAAACAATTTCAATAACTGCAAGGGATATTTAAAACAGAGGAAAAGTAATGTATAAATCTGAGATATTATTCACACTGTGCGATAAGTCGATGCTTTAAATTATTTAATTGTTTATTTGGAATTTGCAATTTCAAATTTGATAACAGGATTATTGCTCTCATAAACACTTATTACCAATGAAGTTGAAAATATCTTTTTTAAATGAAATGATTCAAATCACAAAAGCTTACTTATAATAATAATTTTATGTGCTGATTAAATTTCGTATGAAATAATCATATGCGGTACATAATTTATAATTTATAGCATCATGTATGTATATTGTTGTAAATTATATATTAATTACAACATTTTTAATATTTGGAAGATATTTTTGAATATTATATTGTAACCTATTTATTCGGTTCTAGTAAGTAATCAAAAATATGCCATTGACTTTTCGTCTTGTTTAATTTTAGAAGCAAAAACAAAAACGAAAACAATGTTATTACTAAATAAGTTAATTTTGTTTGAAAGAAAGAAGAAATTTGTTAATTTTAGTCATTTATATTTTTTTAATTTTTTTTTTTGCTTGTTGACAATTTTTCAATTTTACGCTTGTTGAATATTTATTGGAATTTTTTATAAATCGCAAGTACAGCGCTACGGTTGATTAAATTAGTTACAATGTTGTCAGTCTAAGTGCCAATGGTTTTTTTTTTTTCCTTATTTTCTAGAAATACTACAGATTTATATTGCTGATTAACATAAGACAAGATAAGCTGATTGGTAAGATAAGATTATTACAATTTGAAGAATTTTAACTTTAATAGTTTTTCTTGAACTGAAATCCCTTAAAAGAAGCAAAATTATTAATGCTGATTAAAAAAGATTTATTTGTATAAACAAATGAAGCAATTTTATTAGCTGGTATATCCTAACATTATCATTTTTAAGTACTATAACTTTATTAAATAAGATAGCAAAGATTCCTATTTATATTTTTAAACATTATTACTTTCAATTATTATCACTTCATTATCTAATCCATCAATATTATATTCATACCTTTCTTCAAATATTACTTTATTTTTTTTTTTTTAGAAGAAAATGGGAGAAATTAATTATACGATTCATGCGATGTGATGTAAATTTAGTAATGAATAGAAGCTTTTTAATTAATTCAATTTGAAAAAAAGAAAAATAAAAAGCTTCGTGCTGTCTTCACTTTGAATTGAGTTAATTAGTTCGTACTTTTAGCTAACATTTTGACATCCTAATATCAAACCTTGTTTACGGTAAATTTTGAGTGTATTCATTAAATTCAATTTATGATGTCACTCTAATTGATATCCTTCAATTTCGAAATGAAGACTAGGCAATTCAAAACAATTGTTAGTCACAATTTTTACTTAAAGAAAAATTATTGCAAATGTAAAAAAATTTAGCACTGATGCAACAAATTTAATTACTTTTAAACTTTTTAACTCAGTTCATTTCATGCTTATGAGATTTTTGAAATTCTGCACAATTCTTCTGCAGAATTTTTTTATTTCCTAATTATTCTCTACGGTAAAATAGAAGAATAAAATATAAATTAAGCGAAAGAAAAATGTGATGTAAACAAGATTTGCAAGATATATTCAATATAATGCAAATGAAATATAATTTCAATGTAATATAAATTTAATAAAATTAAAAAAAATTTTCGGAGAGAGAGAGCAAAAGGAAGAGAAGCAAAGAAAGAAAAAAAATTTTTTAAGAAATATAATAGAATCTAATTATGCGAAAGGACGGAACAAATAACGAAAAATGCAATAGTGAATCGAAATTAAAGAAAATCGGAAAAAACTGTTTAAAATCCTAAAACTATTAGAAGATGAAGTAAAGTTTCAAAAGTTTTTGTTTACTGCTTCTCAACCGTATGTAACGATACATTTTTCATTATTATTTTCTCTTTATTAGAATTTTCTTTCCTTTTATCTTTATTTTCCTTTTTTTAAAAGTTTTTATGTATTAAGAAAAGAGAATTTCTCACTTTTTTTAAAAGAATTTTAGATATATATATTTTTTTCCTTTTGAATTCCTACAAAATAAATGGAGTTGAAATGATGATTGGTAAATTAATAACATAATCAACTAGATTGAAAAGTAATTTCTTTTTTTCATTGTCAATCATCAACAAATTTTAATTTTCTTTTATCAACAAAATTTCATAAAATAATAGGAAAGAAAAGCAGGTTGAAAGAAAAAAAAGTTATTGCTAAATCTGCAAATAGTTTTTTTTTTTTTTTTTAGCAAAGTGTATTTGCTTTCGGTTAGTCAAATTTCGTTTTTCTATTTTAAAGATTTTAACCAAATTTTTTTAATTAATATAAAATTAAAGGTAATAAGTGACTGTTTTACTTTTTGTTCTGATTATTTATGCAATTAAAGTTTGCTGTATAAATTGAAAACTTGTTACTAAAATATTTAGTAATCCTTATGTAATAATTTTTTTTTGATTCAAATTCAGAAAATGGTTAATTTGAATTCTGGTGTCTCAATTGTTTAACTTTGGAAATATTTGTCAGATTATAGCATATTTAAATACATCATCTCTATCATCATTACTTTTGATATGAAAATTTCATTTGTCGCCAATTTATAGCGTTCACATTTTAAATTATTTTTACATCAGAGCATTTGTTGAATCCACTTTAATTTTTACAAATAAATTACAAATTTCTTGTTAGTTTTATTTCCCTTATTGATTTTCAATTTAACTTATTTTTAATTAAAAAATTATTTTTTTAAAATATACTTTTATAGGTTACAGGCATTATTGTTGCTAAATTCATAATCATATTAAAAAAAAACTTAGTTCCAAATTAATTATAGTCATGAAACAAGCGGATCAAATTGATTTTAAATTCTAGAAATTCTTAATCTATTAAATTATAGAAATACTAAAAAAATTCCAAGACATCTGTTTATGTTTTATTAATTAAGTGGAGGTAAGTAGAACAAAGTTTTAACTAAAACATTGTATTATAAATGCTAATGCTAAGTAATCATTTTATTTTGTCAACTAATGAAGATTAATTAATTTAAATCCAGTTTAACACCTTGAAGGATATAACTTTCGTTTTCCCTTTTCTTTCTCCATCTCTCTCTTTCTTTATCTTCTCCTCACTTTTCCACATATGGATTAATAAATATGAATTTTCTCCTTGCATATATCATACCATATCATGCTATATCCACCATGTAGCATATCATACCATCATGTATCACATAATCATATCATATCATATGTCACCCATCATGCCACATCATATCATAATCATATCTTATACCATATCATGCATACAAGTTATGCACCATATCATATACCCATATTATATAACATTTTTCATGCATCTTCTAAATAAATTGTCGCATATGAATTAGGTCAAAAAGGTCTCTTTTAATTATATATTTGATCCATAAATTCAAATTTTATATACCTATATTTTAAGTTAATTGATAAATAGTGATGAAATGAATAAATAATAAATAACATTAAATTAAAAGCGATTATCCGAGGAAGAAAAAGAATAATGATTTTATAGTTTCGGTGAATTTGGCTGAATAATTGCTTAAATTGAAAAAAAAAAAAAAAAAAATGAAACAAAATTTGCAAAAATAAAAAAATGCAATCTTAAAGTTTTATTTTGCATATTCTAATTTTGCTTCCCTCTTTTCCATCCTATCTTATTAATTTTGAATATAACTACGAAAACATTTTGATATACAAATTTATTTTTTAAGCACTTAAAAAGTGAATAAAATAAGAAATATGAAAACGGTCAATCAGTTGACCGATAGTTTTGAGATAAATTCTGCTAAATATATTAATCAATTTTTTCTAGATTTCACTTTTTCTTTTCTGTCATTTTCATTTTTTAAAAATAGTAAAAGAGGAGAAAGTATATATGTTGCAATGGAAGAGTTTAAAAGTCAATAAATAATTAAGTATGGTTGAAAAAGCTTTAAAAATGCAAAGAGTTACATTGTTAATATTTAATACAGAATAGGTTATAATGAAATGGATAAGTTGGTTAATTACATCAATACAACGATAATTTTAAGTTTTTAGAATACAAAAGAAAGACAAATTAAAGCAAAAGTAAAGCTAACTTTCAGCTTATAAATATAATTTCTATTTTTTTTTTTTTTTTTGAACAAGATTTTTGTACATTTATTCCAGTGCAATCTGCCATAAAAAACTTATAAAAATTTTGATAATTTAATTTAAATTGATTAAAATTGCCTGTTATATCATTTTCAATAATATTTTAGAGAAACTTAAAGGTACAGATTTAACAAAAATAGTTGAGAAAGCAATATCGAAAAATCAAATTAGTGTAAATTAAAAAAATACATGTTTTTTTTTCCTAGGAAAAAAGTTATTATACAATTTAAATGCTAACTAATTTTTTTTATCCTTGGCAAAACAATGACAGTTAACTTGATTTAAAAAGAAATGCTATTAATTGTACTTCATATTAAGTTGTAAATTTAATTTAAGATATAAGTTATAAATTTAATTGTACCTCTATTATATCGGAATTAAAAGGAAATGAAAAATTCATTAAATGAAAATTCTTATGAAATATTATATATTTATATAAAGAAAATTTATATAAATTCTTTTAAAACTTACTTTATAAAGATGTCAAATAATATTGAATACATACGTTTATTTGGTTTATATATTCATTCATTGCTAAAATTGTTACCATCAGTTGAATTTCATTATTTCAAAATAAAATAAAAATTTTTAGCATTCCATCAAGTGCTAAATTCATTGATAGCTAATGGTATGTAAAGTTTTAAGATATTAAGTTTTATCAATCTTAGCTAAATGATGTGTGCTAAAACGAACAGTTCTTTTTTTTTTGATTTAAAAAAAATTCGATGGGAGAAAAAAGGGGAATGCATTTATATTTGGTATTCATACTTTTTCATCACATTGTTTTTATTAATAGTTTGTTTCTACATTTTAAATCGTTAATCAGATATAAATATTTTATCAAATTAACTCCATCTTATTTTATACATAATCCATTACTTAACCTTTTTAACTTCTATAACTTTTGTTATGTAATGTTTTAATAATCAATTTTTTTTTGACATATATATGTGTATTTCGTCATTTGAATATTATATCAAAATTTAGAATTGATAATAATTTGTTGAGAAAACAAAATTTTATTTAAAAAATAAAAATGTTTCAGATAGTTTCAAAATGCATCGTTTATTTTTTATTCATTATAAAAAAATTTTTTCCAATTTTCTTTAAAAAATGTTATTAGACCCATACTATATGCAATTATTAAACTATAAATTAAATTATATGTCACAAAATTTCATAACAGATTATATTAAATGAATGATTTTAGAATGTGTGAAAAAATGTAAATATCGGAAATAATTTAATTTTTCAGTTTTCTTGTGCTTTTTTCCTAACAAAAAAAGAAATAATATAGAAATGCACTGATGATAGATTTCATCGCATTTCTGATACATTAAATTAAGAATGTATTTGATAGAATAAGATTGGGTACATATGTGTAAGCTTGAGATATAGAATATAAGCTTGAGAAAATAAGGTTGAGAAAATTAATTAAATTTTAACCTGTCAATATATTTGTTCACGTTTTTTCTTCAAATTTAAGAAGAACGAATCCAAATGAAACGCAGAAGTTTAACTTACTTACAATTTCACTTTTTTTCCCAAAAATTCTGAAAAGATTCTCATCATTAATTTTATACACTTATCAATTTTTTTTTTTGTCTTTTTGTTTTGTTTTATTTTGTCTTTTTTAATTTTTTTTTCATTTTTTTTTCTTTTTTTTGCTCATATAAATGATAATAAATTGCTGAATTCATTATGGCTATTCTTTTTCATTTTTTCATTTCAAAATATTTTATCAAAGTAACTTTAAAATTGTAAAAAAAATTTATTTGAAAAAATGACCAAATTAATTTAATATTGGTATTTTTTCTTTTCTATTTTAAGAAAAAACAAAGCAACAATCTGGTGTGTGAGCAACAATTTAAAAGAAATAAGGATAGATAAAAATTAAATAAGAAATTAAGGAAAGATTATTTTGATATAGTAGTATTATTGGCATATAATTATTCAATGATATAATGGAAATATCATCAAAGGGTAAAATTATTTTAGTAACTATGTAATACTTGTTGAAGTAATTTAGCCTAGCAATTTATTGCATAAATTATTAGACTTACTGTTCTTTTTTTCATCAATTTCAAAAATTTTAAAGTAAGCATTGCTGTTTATCGATTAACCTAATAATCAATAACAACATTTTATGTTTCTAATGAGATCAAAATATAGGACAAATATTTTACTAATAGAATGAATATTTTGATCTGTAAACCTAATGCATCCATTTCTACGAGAGTATACTGGTAAGTAGATAGTAAAGAATTATTATTTTATTAGTTCATTAACATTTCAAAATGATTTCTTTTCATTATTTAAATTATAAAAATGGTCTTAATTATATGATTTAAGCTATTTTTATGAATAAATTATCGAGCTCTTTAATTGAAAGAGTGAAACTTTAAATTTAATGCTTTTGTGTTTTTTTTTTTATTTGAAATAACTCATTTATCCCGAAATTTGACATTTCCAAATGATCGCATTTTATCTTTTCCAAAAAATGCATCAGCAGATAATTAGATAAAAACCGAAAAAACAAATCAGTAAAAAATCTGATATAAGGATTTAAGAATTTAGGTACGACTATCACAATGTAAGAGAAAGTGAGTGACAGGGAATCAGCAAATTATTATTATTTGTAGAAATTTTTGTAAGGCACTACAAAATTAAGAAATTATGCGATAGGAAAGAACGTTTGGGGAATGATGCAAGAAAAGTAAACAAGGATAATTTTCGAATGCGAAAAAAGGAAAGCGGAAAAGGAATTGATTAACTTTTATCAACAAACTATGATAAATAACCATTATTACTCTCTTGTTAACATTTAATTGATTGAAGATTGGTAATATTAAATTAATGATAATTATGCTAAATGTTGCAATAATAAACATATTTCGAATTTTTTCATAATTTATTAATAGATTAAATGTTCACAGATTATACTCATTTAATACAATTGGACAATAATTGCATTTAAATAATTTTAAATTTCACAACTTCATTTTACATCTTTTTTCTTATTCTCTAAAATATTCTCGCAGTTTGTAAATAAAATATTAATTAATTTCAAATTTATGATAATACATTTTAAATAGTTTCATGTGACTTATTGATCATATTTTACAAATAATATATTTATAATTTTTAGAACATATTTCTTTTCTTTTTTTTTTCTAATTTAATTTTAGGTAAAAATGATTTCACTGATATTATTTCTTGGAATATCCTGCATTGCTCCCATTTCATCACAACTATTTCAATCACGTCCACATTTTTATGCTATCAAGAAGTTTTCATTGCGTGATTTGAAAAGATTATCAGGTTTGGTTAAAATTTAAATTTAAAAATTTTTTTTAGCAAAAGAAAAGTTGTATAAAAAATTTAGTATTATCAATGTCGCACGAATGACAATGCAAATTGAAAAATTTATCATTTTTAAACTAGAAGAATTATTAAGCTTAAATAGCATGTAGTTTATGATAAATTACAATCTATTAATTTCATATTTTGCTTTTCTTTTTTTTTTTTTTGATTATTTGAAAAATATTTCATGAATAAATTTAGGTGAAAATATTGATGATACAGCAATGAATTCAAAAGATGGACAAATGTTGATTGAGGAACGAACACAATTGACACGGCTTAATAGGCTTCTCAAAAAACCGGTTTTCAATTTTGCTAATCTATTTCGGCGCAATTGACCAAAAATAATCACTCATCCTTTTTTTGTTTATTATTTTCATATATTCACATTTGTAATATCGCAAGAATGAAAATATGATATATAAAAAGCAAATATCATTATAATCGTAATCATAACCTTAATTATAATCATAATCATCCAACACTCATAATACTCACTGTTAATTATAATCAGTCAGAAAATGATCTCACCAATGTGATAGTGCATAATACATATGTATTATTGCTTAATTGATAATAATCACTTCTTGTCTTTTTTTCTATATATTTAGAGAATTTTAAAGAATTTTTTAAAAAAAGAAAAAGAAATCATTTTATAATGCAATAAAGATGATGAAAAGCAATCATTGATGCAGTAAACTGTTAAAAAATTTTTGCGTTAAATAACAATAAACATTAAAGAAAAAGTATGTAAAAATTAAACTTTTCATTAAGAAAGTGGCAAGTTAATTAAAAAAAATCATATAATTAACAAGAATTACTTATAATATTGATAAAAAAGTTAATTACAATAGTTGCCTTCTTTTTTATGTGAAGAAGAAAAAAATTAAGTATTAAATTATTAAGTATATTATTGAAGGACAAAATTATAAAATGAGAAATACAATACAAAGTACTTAATAGTATATAATGGCACTTAAAAATTCTTAATAATTGTTTAATTCTAAAATTTGATGCTAAAATTTTTAACATTTCTTAGAAATGATTAGTTGCATTACTTGTTAATCACAGAAAAAGAGAAAAATATTTATGAAATATCAATAACTAAGGCAAATATTTAATTAATATATTATTAAAGACGAATTATTGATAAGTATGATATATATATATATATATATATATATTAATTATTTCTTTATAGGATGCAATCTTTTTCGATTTTTTTTAATCATAATATCCATTTATATCTAATATTAGAATAGCTGATTCAATGCCATAATGTAATTTAGCAAATCCAATTTTCAACATTTTCAACCAATATTTTGCTTTATTTAAATTACCCATACTTAAAGCATTATGCCATTGTAATGCTGGCTCTAAAATTCCACCAAATAATAAAATACCATAATCATTATCAATGATACTATTACTACTGCTACTGGTAAAGATTAAATGACGAAATTCAGTTCGTTCCGGATAAATACCCTGTTCCGTTATAAATGCTCGTTCAATAGTTTGCATCCGTTTATTTAACATTTCTGCTTGTTTGATACTGATCGATTCATGACCCGTATTAACTGACTAAAAGAGAGAGAGAAAAAATAATAATAATATACTTCCTTTAATATTTCAATTGTTAATTTTCATTTTTTTTTACTATTAAAACTATATATGTAATGAATTTTAATAAATAAATTCTCTGAGATTCATATTAATTATGTAATTTAATTTACTTTCTAATTTCAATCATTCTGTTCAAAGATAACCACTTTTATATAATATTTTAGACTGTTAAAATCTATTTTTTCCATCTTCTCTTATTTTATCCATCATCAATAATGATGAAATTATGGTGAAATTATAAATCATTGCATCAGTGTTATACAATAAAGTGCGTAATCTATTAGTTATTTAAATTTGAAAAAATTATTAAATTTTTTTTTTTTTTTTAAAAAGAGAAAATCTGAAATGTGCATTAAAATAATATGAAAATAAATATATCAAATGGATATTAGATAAATACCTGAGTAATTTGCTGTATTATATTTGCAACAACCTGAAATCGTGTTAATGCTTCTCGTAAATTATCCATTACAATATGATATGTTTTTGTACCAATAGCATTTGGAATTCCAATATGTTCCAATTGTTGATCCATTCGATCAACAAAATCAAACAATACCAAACCATAATCGTGTAAATTAAATGGAATTATCTAAATTATAAAAAAAGAAAAGGAATATGTTTTTCTTTTCATATCTTCTTTTAATTTTAAATAATTTATCAATTTATTTTTACTTTTCATTAATTTATCAAGTTCAAATTAAACACGAACACAACGACACGCATACACACTAGAATGAAACAACAAAAAAAATGAATAAATAAATAAACAAAAGAAAAGAAAAAAAAGGAAAAAGATATTAGCAAAGAATAATTTTTAATTAACTAACTAAACTATCCGCGATGTCACGTCCAATTTCAAGCCATAACTGTCCTACTGCCATTAAAGCGGTATAATTTTGATCAACAAAATTATCCAATAACCAAGGAATTTCATACATTGTATGATAAAGCATATAAGTATATAATGGTGCACTTTCCAATTTCATATCAATCACAGGGATACCCAAATAAGTTATAAATCGCTAAAATTATTGAAACAATAATTATTGAATTAAACTAATATAATTTTTTCAGTAAATCTATCTATCTATCTATCTATCTATCTATCTATCTATCTATCTATCTATCTATCTATCTATCTATCTATCTATCTATCTATCTATCTATCTATCTATCTATCTATCTATCTATCTATCTATCTATCTATCTATCTATCTATCTATCTATCTATCTATCTATCTATCTATCTATCTATCTATCTATCTATCTATCTATCTATCTATCTATCTATCTATCTATCTATCTATCTATCTATCTATCTATCTATCTATCTATCTATCTATCTATCTATCTATCTATCTATCTATCTATCTATCTATCTATCTATCTATCTATCTATCTATCTATCTATCTATCTATCTATCTATCTATCTATCTATCTATCTATCTATCTATCTATCTATCTATCTATCTATCTATCTATCTATCTATCTATCTATCTATCTATCTATCTATCTATCTATCTATCTATCTATCTATCTATCTATCTATCTATCTATCTATCTATCTATCTATCTATCTATCTATCTATCTATCTATCTATCTATCTATCTATCTATCTATCTATCTATCTATCTATCTATCTATCTATCTATCTATCTATCTATCTATCTATCTATCTATCTATCTATCTATCTATCTATCTATCTATCTATCTATCTATCTATCTATCTATCTATCTATCTATCTATCTATCTATCTATCTATCTATCTATCTATCTATCTGTCTATCTATCTATCTATCTATCTATCTATCTATCTATCTATCTATCTATCTATCTATCTATCTATCTATCTATCTATCTATCTATCTATCTATCTATCTATCTATCTGTCTATCTATCTATCTATCTATCTATCTATCTATCTATCTATCTATCTATCTATCTATCTATCTATCTATCTATCTATCTATCTATCTATCTATCTATCTATCTATCTATATAATTAATTTTCGAAATAAATTTTATCACCTATTGTAAGAGATTGATAAAGTGTAAAAAGGAATGGAAAATAATTAAGTAACCTGAAAATCAGAACCAGTTCCCGGTATACTAATACCGGGAATTGATCGATCACCGGTAATTGGTCCTTTTGGATCATAAAATTTCCACGAATCTAATAATGTCATCCGTTCTGCCTCTCGCTCTAACATATTCGGACTTTTCACTCTGGTTTTTGAAAATAATTTAAAAAAACAACATTTGAGTCAATTTGAATTAATTGTAATTCTGACTTTAAAATTTGAATGAAATGATTAATGATACAAAATATTTGATGATATTACTGATGCAACATAATCAAAAACGAAATTTATTATATATATAAATTAAATCAATTAAATTAAATTTCCTTCTCGAATTAAACCCTAAAAATATTCGTAAATTTGATTATAATCATAACTTTATACGTGAACTTCAATTTATACACTAATTTATAAATTTATACGTATAGATGTTATCTGTACATTATTTAAACGTTTTTGTTTTTCATTTTCTTGTTTTTTCTTATCCATATCACATATGATATTTTTAAAGTAATTTTCATTTTAATAATTCCAATTGCAAATTTACGGGGAAAGAACCTTAAAATGGGAAATCTATTCTTTGTTAAATGAATTTGAAATGTCATAGAATAATTACTTAGCAGCTGCGCTGACAACAACACGATAAAGCAATGGGACGGCTTTAACAGAAAGTGACGTGTCACCGTTGATATTGTCAACATTAATTACTGCAATAGCACGTTGCTGAAGTGGTTTCATGAATTCTTCCACCCATTCTGTGCTTCCTTTAATTCAAATATTTATTTTTTACTTTTTCATGAAAAAATGTTTTTTGTTTTAATGTATTATATTTGACTTAATTCTTTTTGGAAAAAAAGAAAAATTTTTTTTCATAATAAAATACATAATATTTGAAGTAATTCATCGTGAAAAAATATTTTCACAATTGAATATACCTCTCCGATGCTTTGTCAATAATATTTGACGTAATTTTCCGTGAAAAAAAAAATGCAATCACCGATTAATCCAAATTCTTCCGCATCCCATAAGCAAAACATTATTGTGCGTCGTGGGCGCCATTTGATTGACTTTTTCAGTGTTGACAAAACCCGTGCCATCTCTAGCATTGTACCCGTGGCGGAAATTGGATCAATTGAACCCTTCAAAAAAGAAAAGAATAAACAATTATTTTCTTTTTTTAAGTTATCAATTATTTAATCAAATAAATAAGTTAATAAATAAAATTTATAATATCTTATATTGAGATAAAAAATATAATCACTTCATTAATTTCATCTTTATTTATTTATTTATTTATTTTTATTTTTGTCATTTGGACGATAATGTTTTTACGTGAAATAATTATCGCTTATGTTACACAGTGATATTAAAGGTATTAATGGTTTTTTATTTCTACGTGTAATTGCCACGTAATTGAGAGGAAAAAAAAGAGAACAAAACATATTCAACAATAATTTGCTTAAATAATAAATAGTTAGATTATTTTTAGAAAAAGGAAGTACTAATTAATGCTTAACAAAAAGATAACAAAAATGAATAAAAAATAGATCCATGACTTTTTTTTGAAGATACATATTTTTCTCATTGATAGAGAAAAATTTTACACTGCAAAGTTTTTATTTACTGATATCACATCAATCAAGAGAAATAAATAATAAATATAAACATAATTAAATAGATATACTAACATAATTAAGTGTAAATATAAATAGTATATAATAGATACGACAAAATCAAAATGATGAAAATTACAGTTGCACTTTTTTTGATAGCTTATATATTCATGATATTATAAATATCTTAATGATTAATTATCAGTAGTTTTAGTACTTTAAATGAAATAATTGACAATAATTAATAATAATATAATAATACCTTAACCCAGGCATCATAATGATTACTGAAGAGTACGTAACGATCCGGTTCTTCACGTCCAAACATTGTTGCTACAATATTGGTGACAATACGACGTGTGCAAGCAGAATGTACGATAAGACGAAATATTGCTGAACCAGTGATACGATATGTCACATTCATAGATCCGACCCAACCATGCAACTAAAATTTCATCCTTTAATCACTTTATAAATTTTTTTTTTTCGGTCATTTGAAAATATTAAAAATTTGTTAGCCTTAATTATTATTAGTAAACCATAAAGAAGTATGCATTCGTATAATTAGAAATGAGCAAATAATTAAATAAGGTTCGGCTGAAAGGCTAAATATTTATTACATTTTAAAATCAAATATTTTAAATAAAATATAGGTAGTTAAAAATTAGATAGATACAAATAGTTAAACAATGAAATACAGATAGTTAGTTAATGAAATATCGATAGTTAAAAATTAAATAAATATTGTTAATTAATGAAAATGATTAAGGAAGTACATTGAAAATTTAACCTTAACTTGTGGTCCATTAAGATTTTCCATTATTTTTCGGGCATCACGATAACCAATAGGCATTACCGGAATTGATGGCATTATTTGTTTTTCACGTAAATTTTCTTCCGTTTCCATACGATAAGTGTAGTATTTCGATGGTAATAATGGTGTTTCCGGATCACCATCCGTTTTTAACAACGTTCCACGTTGTGCACCTGATTCTGGTAACCAAATTTCATCTGGAAATACCTGAAATACCATATATGAGGGAAACAAATCTCTTTCCATTATTGTGGAAGATTTGAAAAAAATAATAATTACGAAATTTTTATGTGCAAATTCAGATTAAGTCATTAAAATTGCTTTTTATTATGAGTGAAAAAAAAGAAAACATTTTATAATTGATTAACCTAAAATTTAAGAAACTGAAAAAAAAAAGAAAGAAAAACGGAATACGTTAAGCACTAAGTATCAATTAATTCCTTCCTTTTATTTTTTTGCTAAAAATTTTGGAATTCGTTTTATTGAAATTTATAGCATTCAAGTAATTTAATTAAAAACTTTTTTTCTCCCCTTAAAATTACCTTTGCATTATTTCGTCGATTTGTATAATCAAATGGATCACTGTATAAAATCATTCCAATAGCGCCATGTTTAACAGCAAGTTGCACCTTATCACCACGAAATATTGCACCATAACGACACAATGCTATTTTACCTTTCAATGATATTCCATACTGAAATTACCTTACTTCCATCACAATAAATAATTTTTGCATGTAATTTTCAAAATTTCCTTTTATTTTGTGCAAATATTCCACTGACATTATTTCTAATGAGCAAAAAATTTCAGTAATTCATGTTAAATTACAATCTGAGCGCAATGTCGCTCAGATTGTAATTCTCAGTTTCTGATTTTCTAGAAGCAGAAAATTATGTATTTTGAATAATTTCTTCATTTTTTATAATTAATTTCTAAAATACTTGAATCAAAACAAAATGTAGTTATTATTAAATTGGAAATAATTTTAATATTTAATATGAATATAATTAATATTTAATGAGAATGATTTTTCGTATTTAATATACGTATAGTTGGTAATTAATCATAAATAGTTTTTTTAATTTAATATAATTATAATTAGCATATAATTAGGAATGATCTCTTTACTTTTTAATATAAACGTAGTATTTAGTTAGAGGTGTTTTTCACATTTAATGAAAATACAATTAATATTTATTGAGAAATAGTTTTGTTTTTTTTCTTGCGATATTCGGTATGAATAATATGTACTGAATGAAACAGAAAACTAATGTTTCATTAATTTGGAAAAAGAACCAGCATTTATCATATGTTCATCAAAAAGAGTTTTGCGTTTGATTTTATATTAAGAGGTATTATATTACAGATATTAAATTAATCCAATAAAAGTTCTAATTTTAAGAGTATGAATTTTAATATTAAAACACATTATAAAACATATAAAAAAGTTTACAATAATATTTAATATAGAATAGCTAATAAATTAATCAAACGAAAATTCTAATGTTAATTGAACATAATAATACTATTTAACTTTTATATTCATAATTCAATCCAAATTCATAACTATATTCAAATTTAATCTTGTAATGATTTAGTTTTTATTTAGCTTGAAAATTTTTCTTTTTATCATTTCCAAAATGAATAGGAAAAAATGAAAATTTTTAAAGAATTGAAGTGTTTTAATTCTCAATACATAAATATTTTCTTTTCTTTTTTGTTTGTTCAAAAGATCGAGCAACATATAAATAAGTATAAAATGTATGAAGTGAATTAGTGATAATTATTGATTGAAATTAATGAATCAAAAAGGCGAATAATTTTCAATTGTTATACCTTATAATATTAACTGAAATTAATGAATTAAGAAAAGAATGATTACTACTTGTTATACCTTATATAATCGTTTGTAATCATTGATTGTTCCATAATTAACATAAACTATTGGCCCAATTACTGTACCATTCGCTGAATAAGCAGCCCAGTAAACTAATGCACGCGGATCATTTTGCTAAATAATCTAACTTTATTTCTTTTTCTTTCTTTTTTTCCTTAAATTATTTTATACGATAATTTTATTAAAATAAGATATGTTCGATTTAGCTTTTCATAATTTGAGTAATCTAATAAAACATTATAATTGTGAGGTACATATACATATATATGGAATTTAAAATATTATCAAAGAGAATATAAATAAAATTTTAAATATTTAATCAAATTTTTTTTACTTGTTCTTGTGCTTCTTTTGGACCAACTCGTTTAGCAAGGCCATTACTAAGCTCTTTCCATTTTTTATCGGCCATTTGTAATTCAATTCGATTTGGCTTTTCATAATTTGGATAATTTAATAAAACATTATAACTGTAAGTTTTTACATCATATCCATATGTGTTATACTAAAAATATTACAAATAAAATAAGAAATTTGTTCTAATCTTAGTTAAATTCCTTCAAAATTTTTTTTTTAAACCATCTTATAAATTAAATCTTAATAAAATATGTCGCTCTAAATTTTCGATGAAATTTCTTATTTAGCAGCAATTTCAATTAAATATTCACGCTATAATTTAAACAATAAATTTTTATAAACAATTTTTAGCATTTCAAATTTACACTGACTGCTTAAATGAAGAACAAAATAATTTAAAATAATTAATCATTTTACCTTATCAGCAATTTTCCTCATAAGTTCGGCATTTTCTTTGGTACCTGCAACATGCATTTTTTCGGAGAGCCATTTGATATTCTTTTTGATATTGGAAGCATTAAATTCATCCATCAATTGTTGACTAATTTGAGTTTGCTGTAATATTTATCCTCGAAATATAATTTAATTCATTTAAAAAAAAATTTCAATTGGAAAATAAAACAAAAGTGAGCAGAATTGCAAGATGAAAAATTAAATGTAAACGAAATACTATTTTTACAGTTTTAAAAAAAATGTGAAGTTATTATTTTTTTTTAATCTTTTATTTCTTTCATTTAATTATTTATATTAATCTGCTTGCTAATTGCATAACATTGTTTTGATAATCGATAAGCATATATCAAATGTGAATGATTAATTTGACAGGAGGAAAAGGAAAAGAAAAGAAATGAAAGCATACAAATGAAAAAATTATAGTGAATATTTATGAATATGAATAAAATAAAATTTAAGTATTTTTTATGAAAAAATGATAATTATGTTTGAATTTTGCTATTTACTTCATTCTCTTACAAATTTTTCATCAATGATTTTTATTTATTTATTATTTTGCAAATGAAAAATTTAGTGATTAGTAAATATACATAAAAATATTACAAGTTATAAGTGTCAAATATTGTAATTAATTTGAATACTTATCAATGTTTTATTATTATTTGATCTATTATAACTAACTACCGGAAGTAACACTTATCTATCATGAAGGGTAACAATAAAGTTATATCTTCGAAGGGTAACAATAAAGTTATATCTTCGCTCAAATGGAAGAACAATTTAAACAACATTTAAAGAGAGAAAAAGAAGAAGGAAAAACAATAAAAGAAAAGCTTTACATTATTCATTGAAAAATTAAAAAAAGTGTTTAATGTTCATTTATCAAATGATTACTCAGAATTATTGATATTTGAGTAAGTATTGCATTTCCAATAATAAAGAACATTAAAATAAGAACATTAAAAAATATTTTCTACTTATTAATTGATAATAACCATTGATTGATTAATTAATAAAAGTGATCGATTTATGATTTTCATTAATTAAGCAATCATTTGTGCTCCAAAAAAAAATTTTTTTTTTTCTAGAAATCTTGATTAAATAATCAATATAAAAAACAAATGCTGAAAAAACAAGAAAACAAACAAAAAAGGGAAAAGAAAAAAAAATTGATTAACCTGATCCGATATTTGACGTATTCGATGAGTAAAGGTAAAATTAGTTACGGTTTTACTAAATCGACTGTTGTTAGTACGTTGTGTACTCAAATATATCACCACTATCAGTAATATTGTTATCACCATAAAAAATATCAGTACAATAAATAATAATAATGGTATTAATGTTGTATTTTGTGTCATTGAAATTTTCGTTTTTGATTTTTTCGTTGAAATTTGCATATTTGATTTTTGATTAAATAATTGATATAGTGTAATATTATCATTATTATGATATAATTCATCTTGTTTGTTAATATTTTCATCCATTTGTCCAATATCATTCCAATCATAATTACATTCCATTGTTATGCAACTCCCAAAACTTCCGCGATTTTTTCGATTTAATAGTAACCAGTGAATTTCATCATCTATAAATTTTAATTTATTATTAATTCTTCATTGTATTCAATAAATTTTAATTAATTTCAAATAATATTTTTGAATAAAAAAAAAAGAATTTTCTTTTCTTCATTGCAAAAGATCATATGTTCTGTTTTATTTTATAATACTTCATTCTTGAAAAAAAAAAAGTTTTCACCATCAAATTCCTTTTTTGCATGTTTTTTTTTTTTTTTTTTTTTTTTTTTTTTTTAAGAAAAAGAATGAAAAATAAAAATATGGCAAGAAAAAAATGACATAAATTAAGAAAGTAGAAAGAGGTTTTAGCAAAAAAAGGATAAAATTAAAATTATACAAAAAAAAAAAAAAAAAAAAACAACAGATTAATTAATTTTGCTTACTTTATCGTTTGTTTTGTAAAATTGTAAATTTTTTTTTTTGTCAAGAAAGAAAAAAATTTCGCATTAAAATCTAATTTTACCATTTTGTGTATGATATGACGTGAATTGTAAAGCAGAAGCGGTACTAAGTGATGTGGAAGCAGTAGCCGTATTATGGCAATATTCTATTTTCGGCACCTTTTCATCACTTAACGATAACGAACGTTGTAAAATGTTGTTTGTTGATAATTCATAATTCATCAAATCTAATATTCCCTCTTTCATTGATTCGTCTATTTACTATTGCAAATTTAAAAAATTCACTTCAAAATCTGAAAATAAGTAGTAAACATTTTTAGTTTAATTACATGTTTTAATTTCATCTGATAGTTTATTAAAAGGAGAAATCAAAAAAATTAAAAAAAATTTGTAAATCATGAAAAAAAAAATCAAATTTATAGGAAAATCATAAAATTTATAGAAAAAAGCGTACAATTTCTTCAACGATTTATTGAAATATTAAAAACTTCTATTTCATTTCATTTAAAACAATTTCAAACAAAAAAAAAAAGATAACTTTAATTTGATTTTAAAAACACTAAAATTAATTTCTGTTGGTAAGTTTACAGAGTATCAACATAATTTTGTTGAATAACTAACATACTTTTTTATATAAATGCACATTGAAACGTCCATTTTAATGCTTTGAAATTTTCTTGTCCAATTATTTAATTGCGTAGTGTTTGATCTAAACTTTATTTTACCATAAGTCCCAAAAAAAGTGAAGGAAGAAATGTAAATATATTAAAGAAGCAGTTAAATAATTAGTTTCTTCTATCTGTCATAATAATAATAGTAAATAAAAATAATAATAATGGTAATACTAATAAGAATAAAATAAAAATAATAATGGAATAATAACACATGAATAATAACAAGCATTCCCGAAGGAATTTAAACAGAAGCATAGTTTATCAACAACTTATTTAAATCGTAAAAAATCAATTTGAAGAATAGTTTCACTTCTTTAGCTGAATGGAAAAGAATAAAAGAAAGGCGTAAAGTTTGCTTTACTATTTTACACATTCAAATAACTATGTCTATCTGTTGTTCAAGCTCTTTTTTTAAAAAAAAAAAATCATTATTACTTCAAATGAATTCTTTTTCTTTTTTTTTCGTTTTTTTTTACAATATTCTTTATTGGTTAGTTTGGTTTTTTTTTTGTTTCATCCTCTTACAATTTCTTTTTTTTTTTTTTTCTATTGATAAGAACTTTTGCTAACAACGGAAAAAAAGAGGAAAATTTTTCTAGCAATAAATGAAATAATTAATATTTTTGAAGTCATTTTAAAAACAAATCTTTTCAAATTTGAACATAACTTTGATTTTATAATCATTCGATTGAAAAAAAAAGAACAAATTATTTGACAATATTAATCTTTAAATTACAAATAATTATTTGACAACGATCAATCTTTAAATCACAAATACTGATTCATGCATTATAATTTGTAAGTTTGGATTGTTCCTTTTTTATGTTGTTTCCTTTACTTTTAAATTTAAAAAATTTTCCTTTACTTTTCTTTCTTATTTTTTCTTAACCAAAAAAAAAGAAAAAATTAGATAACGTTTAAATATTGAAATATTTCTAACTTATAACAAATATACATTATACAAACTATTCATATAAATATAAATAAATTACTTTGTACAAAACTTATATTCAAAAATTGGAGCAAAAAAAAAGTTGAAAAGGAACTTTAACCTTTCAGATAACATTTTGATAATCATTGTTAAATTTCCCTCATAATATAATTCATTGCTTACATCACTACATCTATTTAAAATACTAAAGGGAGGAAGGTAGAAGAGAAAGGGAGGAAGAGAGAGAGAGAGAGAGAGAGAGAGAGAAGGAAAAATAGAACGGGAAGAAAGTTTAATCATACTATTTTTAAAAGGAGTGTAAAATTATTTTCATCATATTTCCACTTCAACTGCTACTCAACCATTCATCATTTTTACATAGATCAAATTACAAATTCTAAATTTTAGTAACCTGAAATATGATATATATAATTGAAATAATTAGTAAATGATAAATTAGTATAATGTAGAATAAGATAGAATAAAAAAGAGAGGGAGAGAGAGAGGGTGAGAGGGAGAATAGAAAAGTGTTAAAGAATAGTTTTAGAAAATGAATTAGAATGATGGGAATAAAAGGGAAAAAAAAAAGAAAAAAAGATAAAAAGCAAATGTGTTTTGTTTGTCAAATTGTGAATATTTTTTTGTTTGCCACTTTAACTCAGTGCATCAAATCTTTCCATTTTGCTTTTTGTTTATTTCATTCTTTATGACAACAAACAGTTTGTTAAAATGAAAAGCCTTTCAAATATTTTTTTCTTTTCTTTTTTCGCTTTTTTTTTTGCTTTTTTTGCTCTTTTTTCTTTTTGTTTTGTTTTTTTTTTTTTTTTTGTCCTTTTTTTTTTATTGTTTTTGAAGCTGATATCTATCATTCATTTCCAAAATTTGAATCTTCTTTTTTTCAAGTTGATCCTTTAAAAAGAAAAAGAAGTGGAGTAGTAAATGATTATATTATCGTTTAAAAATTGAAATTTTAATTTTAATCTTATCCAAAAATTTTTATCTTGGATTTTGGAGAAAACTTTTTTTTCTTAAATTTTTAGGAATAGATTTCTTTCTTTTTTTTTTCTAAAATTATTAGCAAATATATGTTTGTACTAATACTTTTAATCAGATTAAGATTGAAATTTAAGTTTAATTTATGCCAGGAATTTTTATAAAATAAACAAGAAATGAGGGAAAGAAATTAAAATTTGTTTTTAGAAAGATTAAAAAGTGCTATGAGTTAATTTAAATGAATGAAAAATCGGATCAGTGATGCTATTCTATTTATATTATTGATTTAAAACAATTAAAAATTCATTCAGAACTAATTTCAAATTCAAAACCGCATCATATAATATAACAGTTATACAAGAAAAGTTAATTATGCAAATTATTGATCAGATATGCATCTAAAACGATTGAAATTCATTCATATTCAATTTTATCTTTAACTGAAGAAGACATAATTCATAAAGTTAAATTGTACGTTTTTTTTTTTCTCTTCGAATTTATGGTCATTTCCTTCTCATTTGTTTCGAATACAGAAGAAATTCATCAATCTAAACTATGTAGTATTCTTGATCAAAACCAAATAATTTTTGTTAAAAAGAAAAATAGTTTTGCGGAATTATATTTCACAGTTTTCTTTTTTTCTTCGTTTTGTCCGTCTTTTAAAAGAATAATAAATTTAAAACAAATTTGAGCAAACCAATTTTAATAATTTCAATTCTGTATAGCAGTAACAATGGAAAAAATAATCAAAATAGCAAAAATTTTTTCAATTTAATTTTTTCAAAAATTTAATTAATTTCAAATTTTTCATATTAAAAATAAAAAGAAATATTTGAAAATTATAATTAAAGAAAATAATTAATGTAAAAATGAAATAATAGTAAGTTTTCAAATTAAATATTAATGAAAGGAGAAAATGAAATATAAGTGGATCGTAGCAGAAATAACTAACATTACTATCAGAATATTTGGTACAAACATCTGGAAACGATGAAGATAAGTACTGAATAATACCAAAGCGATGAGTTCTACTGGCACAGTTACTACTACAAAAAAAAAGAAATACTAATTTTGAACTGATAAAAAAGAAATCTCATATGGTTTCAAGTTAAGAATTCCTGGGCAAAAAAGAACCATTTAATTCGATGAATTTTAATTGTAAGAATAGTATTATTAACAATATGACTTATAACTAATAGTAAACACAAAATAGAAATGGAAATAGATAAGTAATATTGCTTCATTAAATTTTTAAGGAATAATTTGAGTAAATTAGAGGCTAAAATATCTAAGCCTAGGAGATTTTTTTCTAAGCATTAGCTAGAAAATAATATACTGGGATTTTGTGGCAATAATTCAACTGACCTGTTTTCATTTCTCGCCCTCTTTCTTTCCCTATCTCTCTCTCTCCCTCCCATTCCTTACCTTATCCTTTGTCCACACCTTTTTTTTTGTTCCAATCCTTTTTGTCATCATTTTATTGTTAGAGTAATGAATGCCTCATCAAATTTTCACTATATATTGATGGGAAAAAAATTGTTCAGCCATGCGGACAATGTCCGTTATTGTAACTACCACAATAAAATAAAAACAACAAAAATAACCATTAAAATAACAACAATTTTATTTGTTTATTAATGACATACCATTTGTAAGATCGATTTAATATCAAAAATGATTCGTTTTAATCATAAATCATTTCAAACATACCATTGACACATGTGATACATGAAATCTTTGACAAGGTTGACAAGTGACGACATGTGACATAGGTGGAAGAGAGTAGCCAAATCAGAAAAAAGATAATAAGTTATTAACTTTCTACCTCATTTATAGTTTAACAAATCTATCAAATATATCAAACTTTGAGTAATCAAAAATACCTGATATTTTGAGGTAAAATCATAACTTTTAATATTACTAACTTAGTAATAAATATCATTTCCTTTACAGCTGTATTAATTATGGTTTAGCAAAATCTACACATAATTTTAAATTATAAGCATAAAATTTATAAGATAATATTATATCGACCATAAGTCATTATATTTCCTTTTATCGTATTTCATTCTCTGGTAAGGAATTTCATAATAATTTATGCAAATTATAGAATATATTTCATTATTATCAATGGAATGAATCAATAGGATAAAACATTTATTTCTGAATGGAATTTATATGACTAATTATTGTAAATAATGAAGAAGGAGTAAAATTTTAAATTCAAAAAGTTTTAAAAATCTTTGATTTCCATTGTAAGAAAATCAAATACCAATAAAAATTGTCGAAATTTCATTCTAAAAGCATCAATCAATCATAACATTGATGCGATAAATGATGAAAGCATTCTTGTTAAATAATTATTTTTCTCATTACTTCGTCTTCTAATAATTCTAATTTGATAATAATAATAATAAAACGACAATAATAGTGTTTTATGCTAATTTAAGAACAAATTCGTTTTCTTTTGAATTTCTTTTTTGCTAACTTTTAACCAACAGAATATTAATGGTAATTAATTTAATAATATTTCAAAAAATATATAAATTTAGCAAAATTAATTAGCTAACATATGTATATGTAATGAAATCCAAAAGAAAAAAAATGTGATTTGGTAGTTGTCAAAAAAGAAAAAAACCATCTATCAA